TTTGGTCAGCCTCGGAAGACTTTTGCTTTGCATGCTCCTGGATGTAGATGTTGATCAACGAGACGGAGACCGTCTTTTCCAAATGCCTCGTATGCGCCTCGAACTCCTCTGTTTTCTTAGCGGTTATCCGGAAACCTGCTTCAAAAGCTTGAGAAAGAGGCTGCTAGCGGTCCAGCAGACCCCTCGGCAAGCATGAAACCATTTCCTTGCATCCACCAAACCTTTCTGATAAAGGGACTCTTGTTCAATACAAACTAGCTTCGACCTTTTCTTGCCTCGCATTTCCTTCTCCTCACCAGTTGATCCAACCATGCGACAATTCCACGCCATCCACGAAGGCTTTTTTTGGTCTAAGGCTTCTGAGACTTGGGACGCAGACTCTGTCTCATGCTTGGACTCCTTGCCGTCTACCGTCGGGGTCGCGTGCCCTCCGCCGCCGGTTGTCTACGCCAGCCATTTGCCGATCTCAGCTTTCCACTTGTCTTCTTTGCGCCTCGCTACCATGGCGGCACCGAAGTGGATGGGCGCCTCCCGTAATTCGTCCAGTGGCAACAAGCCAGGGCCGCAAAAGTGGAATGTGGGCTCTAAGCTGTGGGAGACTCAGGTGTTCCACAAACACACGGACACCTTGCAGAAATACCCTGGCCTTCACCGTCGACAGCGAGGGCGGCAACGACTCCATCTACCAAGTCTTCAGGAAGCAGGAGACACTGCTCAGCCCGGATGGGTTCGCCAAGGTCATCGGGTCCCGCAACTCGGAGCTGTTTAACGGGAAGCGGATTTACGTGGGCATGAGCGAGGCGGCTGGGGTCCTGGAACACCTCAACCAACTGGCGCGGGACGGAGTCGCCCTCGAGTTCTTGCATCCCACAGTCCTCACAAAGTGGGAGGCGAGCTGGACGAAGTTCGAGCTCCAGCACGTGCTCCGGCAGCTCAACAGCCGAGGCTACCCGTATGAGGCGAGGCCCCCCGGAGTCCATGACCCGCGCGGTCGAAACTTTCATGAGACTGTCTACCCGCATTTGACAAGGCTACGTAGACCTCTCGTGGCTACTGTCCATGGCTGCGATGACCCACCCACCCTCCACGAAGAGATTTCCGCCGTGGAGACATTGACGCCCAAGGATAAGCTGGCTACGAACCCCACGAACGCGAAGTGCCTGACAGACTTCCTCGTGGCGGAAGTGCTACAGGGCCACAACGTCCGGCAGGTGGCTGCCGCGGCACCCGGGGGGTCGGCAGCGGACGTCCAGTCAGTCATCGAGGACCTGAACTTTGAGGTCAGTGATGATGAGTTCGCTGCCGCGGCATCCACCCCGGCACCGCCGGCTCCGCGGCGGAAGATCCCGCGAGCCAAGGTTAAAAGTTGGTAGTAAGGGATTTGCTCAGGCTGGGAGCTTTCTCAAATGCGTGTGTTTTTCTTACATAATTTCATATGATTTCAGTGTGCGTTTTTTAGATGGGTTTGATATGATTTCATTAAAAAATGCTCAGGCGAAGATGTGGGCAGACAACCTCCTGGGATGAAATCTGTGGGGTGCCAAGATTGCTTGCGGGAGAGAATTTGAAGGCAGTTTGATTGAGTGAACGCTTGGGTTTGAACGCTGTTCTGCGGCCTTTCTGTCCAAACGTGGTGTGTTGCCGGAGACGGGGCTAGCGTTCAGGGCAGTCTTCCGTTGGCAGCACGACCCGTACGGGGAGATTCGTAGGGATGCCTCTTGGCAGTACATGCAATTGCTTTGGGTAAATGCAGTGTTTGTGTATTTTATGTACGTTTTTGCAGTAAACGCGGTGTTTCTGTGTGCAAGTGTTTGTGTATTTCCCCAGATAGCTGAAAGCTATAGGGGTTCTAACTTCTAATGAAGAAGAGAAAGTGATTTGCGAGCTTGACGGCTGGGTGCTTGGGGGTATGCAGTTTGGGGTGCTGGTGGAGGTGCTGTTTTGCGAGCTTGACGGCTGGGTGCTAGGGGGTATGCAGTTTGGGGTGCTGGTGGAGGTGCTGTTTTGCGAGCTTGACGGATGGGTGCTAGGGGGCATGCAGTTTGGGGTGCTGGTGGAGGTGCTGTTTTGCGAGCTTGACGGCTGGGTGCTAGGGGGCATGCAGTTTGGGGTGCTGGTGGGGTTGTCCCTGCTGCTGAAGTTCCTACCCTTGTTAAGGCAGTTATTAATCATGTCCTTAACACCGGCTACGCGGAGGTGCTGTTTTGCGAGCTTGACGGCTGGGTGCTAGGGGGCATGCAGTTTGGGGTGCTGGTGGAGGTGCTGTTTTGCGAGCTTGACGGCTGGGTGCTAGGGGGCATGCAGTTTGGGGTGCTGGTGGAGGTGTGCCGCTTTACAAGATTGACAGCCGAGTGCTAGGGGGCATGTAGTTTTGGGTGCTGGTGGAGGTGCCGTGGTGCCAGGGGGCATGCAGTTTGGGGTGCTGGACGGCCGAGTGCTAGGGGGCATGTAGTCCTGGCGAATGTAGTTTGCTGTTTGATTGAGGTGCTGGTGATGGTGCATGCGCATGTGCTGATGCAGGTGCTGTTTTGGGGTACTGTTTGGGGTGCTGTTTGCGGTTCTGGTGACGTTGTGGGCGCAGTTGTGCGAGATTGCCGGCGGGTGCTAGGGGGTATGCAGTTTGGGGTGGTGCTGCTGACCAACTTTCCAGACAACTGAAAGCCATTCTAACTTGTAATGAAGAAGGGGAATCGTTTTGTGAGATCGACGGCTGGGAGCTAGGGCATGCACTTTGGGGTACTGGCGCTGGTGCTCAGTTGGGGTGCTGTTGGGGCTGCTGTCTTGAGGTGTTGGTGATGGTGCGGGCGCATATGGACGGCAGGGTATCGTGGTTGTGGCATCATCATGATGCTGTCCGCAGCACCATGATGCTGTTGAACCGATTCGGACGTTGTTGCTGCTCTAAATGTCGTGAGCAATGGTTCGTGGTTCGTGGCTGGTGTATCATCATGATGTTGTCAACCACGTCATGATGCTGCTGTCACTGCGATGCTGCATTATGGTTCGCGGGTGTGGTGGCGCCATGATGCTGTCAACATCAGGATGATGCTGAATGATTCGTGGCCGTGGTCTCATCATGATGCTGCCTTTGCCATCACCATGATGCTGTTAGCACCACCATGATGCTATCCGCATCATGGTGATGCTGCCCGCATCATCATCATCATCATCATCATCATCATCATCATCATCATCACATTCTCATCATCATCATCATCATCATTATCATCATCATCATCATCATCATCATCATCATGCTGTCGCACTCATCAGGACGTCGTCTCTGCCTTTTGTCTGCTAGATATGTAGCGCGGAATCGTCGTGGCTGGAGCATCAGTGTGAGGCTGTCAACATCAAAATTATGATGCTGAACTCATTAGGACGTTGTCTGCGCGCGTCTATTTAGCGCACCATGCTGAGTGGCTTCGGCATCATCATGATGCCGTCAACATCATCATGATGCTGTCAGCATCATCATGATGCCGATGGAACCATTATGATGCTGCGTCATGGGTCGTAGCCGTCTTGTGCTATCTGGGGTCTATGCTTGTGTAATTTATGTACGTTTTTGCAGTAAACGCGGTGTTTCTGTGTGCAAAAATATGTCGAGTTTTCCGAGGCGAAAGACAAAACGGAGACTTTGTTTTTCCATTGCAAGACCGCTACAAAGCTCTTCGTGAGGTCACCCTGTTAAATGGTCGAACTGTCCAGGATGCGCGCTTCCAGGAACCAGGACAAGAGTCTCACGGGATGGAGGACGGGGAGGACGAACCGGCTGAGATTGAACCACTTCCCGACCAGGAGTGCCGCCAGGAGTGAAAAAAGCTGTGAAAACCGCATGTGCTGTTTCCCTCCCTTTGCGTGCAATTGCACGGAGAAGAGTGGGGGAAGGCGTGGGAGACCAGGATGCCTTGCGCCGAGGCATCCTGCTTCACAATGTCCTCCGCCAGAGCCACATCACGGCCTATTCTCACTAAACGAGCGACCCGAGACCATCACCATCCGGTCTTCATATGAGTTAGTTAATGCGTCTCATGATGCTTTTGCCAGTAAATCTACGTCCAGGTGACCGCTGACATGCGGAGGCCCAAGGTTCGCCAGAGGTCTTGCTGGCGGAGGAGGAAGATGAGGAATTCGACGACGGCGGCGGCGGGGCGCTCGTCTTTGGAGCTTCTCCTGGAGAAGCTCCGAGTCTTCGAGGCAGAAAGAAGAAGAGGAGGTATCGGAGCTCGGGAAGCCCGACAAGGTGGGCAGCAGGTCACGTGCAGATTTTAGGTACAGATGTCGTGGCGTGCGCAGCACTTTCGCACGGTCAGGTACAGATCTCGTGGTGGCTTGATAGATGGGAGAGAGAGAGAGAGAAAAAAAAACATGACAAAGATAGACAGTAGGGCCAACAAACAGCTGGATAGCAAGACATGTGAGGTAGATCGCTAGATGGGCAGATAGCTGCATGGACAGATAGGTAGATGATAGACAGACAGACAGACATACAGACAGATAGATAGACAGATAGAAAGATAGATGGATAGATAAAGAGATCAATGTGTAAACAAAAAGCAAGAAGTAAAAAGAAAGAAAGGGAGAAAAAAGAGACAAAGGAAAAACAAGAAGGGAATAATGACAGATGGAAGGAAAAGAAAAAGAAAGAAGACAAGAAAGAGGCAAAGAACTATCGCTGTTTATATTTCACGGAAACAAACCGTTAAATGCAACGGGAGGGGGAGGGGGAAAGGGGAGGGAGGGCGGGGAGGGCAGGGAGGGCAGGGAGGGCAGGGAGGGCAGGGAGGGCAGGGAGGGCAGGGAGGGCAGGGAGGGCAGGGAGGGCAGGGAGGGAGGGGGAGGGCAATCTTTCGCAAGATGTTTTCAGTAACAGAGAGGCTGCTGTCGAAGCATACACGGATACGAGGTGCTTGAGCCTTCCGCGGCTTCGCTTTTTTTAATTCTCGTGTTTCTTCCCCCGGCGGCGGCTGGCTGGATCTCTGAAAATTCTTCTCGAGGCAAAGGACGGCGGGGGCCGGTGCCCATGAAGCTGAACTCCAAGGAGAAGCGCTTGGCGGAGGCATCGGGTCGGGTCATCGGGTCATCGTGTCATCGGGAGGTGAGAGGTGGCCGATCGGGTCCATAGGCAGGGAAGCAGAGGTGGAATGATTCCAGTGACCTTGAGAAGACCTGGCTGTGAATTGACACAGAATGTCAGTCTATGACACATGAATCGCAAAGTGAAGTCAAATCAAATCAACAGACTGATTGGTCCATGGCAGACTGTAGCAGTGCCAAGTTCGCTTGAGCCCAAACTCCACAACACTTGGACTCGGTCATTCCCGACCTTCAAGTTGAGCCCAAATTCCACAACACCTAGACTCGGTCATTCCCTACCTATCGCGCCAGCAAGAGGACGTACGTGCGAAGATGAATCCAACGGATCCTGATGAGGGGCAGACCCTGGAACGCAGCAAATTGAGCAGGATTCTAGAGGAAGGCAATTCAGCGCCGGCGCGGAATGCAGCACGCTTCCAATAGAGAGTCCAGCGGATCCAACGAGAATGCAAACAGGCTTCTATCGATGTGAAACACTGCAGGATCCCAACCAAACACAGGACTAACCAGACTGCAAACAGGATTTGGTGGGAACCCTAATTGTTACTTTAATGCACTGGAACCATAACTTTTCACCCAAAGATGAATCCTTTGTTTTGTGGTCTATAGGTTCATTACCAAGACATGCGCAAGGAAAATATGCTCTGACTACAAGCCGACCCTTTCCTCGACAGTTCCCCCATGAAGGGAAACCGCTGAAGGGTTGGGTCTAGTTCATGCTGAGTGCCAAGTTGGGGTGGGGTGCATACTTGATGGGTTTCTCAGGGGGAATCGACCTCTTCAGGCGGCTGTAAGAAAAGAATCATTTTGTTCCCCTTCTTGGGTCTAAACCCAAGGGAGGTCTACACCCATTGACACCAAGTGGGTTGCTCACGTTTCCCTTGACAGGATGAAACAATCTCGTGAGCGCTCGAAGGCTTTTCCACCGTGGTGCACCGCTCGGGCGGGGAGACGTGAGACGCAGGCCTGTGGCATGGCCTGGGTGGCGGCGGAGTTCAGCGTCGAGAGGGAGGAGTATGTGGAGGAGATGTGGGAGGCCTACAAGCAGGACCCGAAAGCGCCTGCCAGTTCGGTTGCGATCATTATGATCATCATGATCACCAAGATCATCAGGATCAGCAAGAGCGTCAAGAGCACCAAGATCATCAGGATCATCAAAATAGTAGTAATAATAATCATCATCATCAGCATCATCATCATCATCATCATCATCATCATGATCATCATCATCATCATCATCATGATCATCATCACCATCACCATCATCATCATGATCACCACCACCATCATCATCCTCATCAACATCATGATCATCATCACCATTGTCAGCATCATCATCATCATCAACATCACCATTGTCATCGTCATCATGATCATCATCACCATTGTCATCATCATCATCATCATCATCATGATCACCATCATCATCACCATTGTCATCATCATCATCATCATCATCATGATCATCATCCTCAACCACATCTCATCATCATCATGATCATCATCACCATTGTCATCATCATCAACATCACCATTGTTAGTATTGATCGCCATCATCATCATCAACAGTACCATTGTCATCATCATCATGATGATCATCATCGCCATTGTCATCATCATCATCACCATCATCATCAACAACATCTCATCATCATCATGATCATCATCACCATTGTCATCATCAACAACATCACCATTGTCATCATCATCATCATCATCCACCATCATCATCATCATCATCAACATCACCATGGTCATCATCATCATCATCATCATTCTGGTCATCGTCACCACCATTGTCATCATCATCATCATCATGATCATCATCACCATCATCATCATGAACATCACCATTGTCATCATCATCATCATCATTGTCATCATCATCATCATGATCATCATCATTATCATCATCAGCAACATCACCATTGTCATCATCATCATCATGATCATCATGATCATCATGATCATCATCATCATCAACAGCATCACCATTGTCATCATCATCATCATGATCATCATCACTATTGTCATATCATCAACATCATGATCATCATCATGAACAACATCTCATCATCATCATGATCATCATCACCATTGTCATCATCATCATCATGATCATCATGATCATCATCATCATCATCAACAGCATCATGATCACCATTGTCATCATCATCAACATCACCATTGTCATCATCATCATCATGATCACCATTGTCATCATCATCAACATCACCATTGTCATCAACATCATCATGATCACCATCATCAACATCACCATTGTCATCATCATCATCATCATCATCATCATGATCATCAACAACAACATGGTTATTGACATATTAATATGCATATTAGGCTCAGTCACGCCAGCTTGGAAGCACCCGCATGTTTGTTTGATCATGGCCATGCCTGCCCGCTGCGCTTCGCTTCTGGTTTCTGGAAGCTCGATCTGGCTGTGGTTGTCAAAAAAGGGTACCCAAAATGGCTTGCCCTGGCAAAAGGAACCAAGGACTCAAATTTGGTCCATATCCTGGTGCTTTCATTCTGACCCACACCCATCTGTGATTCTGGCAGATTCCCTGGTGGTCCCGTGTGTTTTGAGCTTGTTTGCGCCTACAGCCGTCCATTTCTGGGGCCCTGTTTCAAAGAATGCGTGTTTTGAGTTTTTTGGCACCCAAAAACTGCAAAACACACCTTCTTTGGAACAGCCGTCCATTAGCTCCTTACAAGCTCCTTATAAAGCTCCAAATGCAGCTCCTGAAAGAGCTCCTCGCAACCTGATGGTCATTTGGTTGCTGGTGATTCCCTGTTCCCCTGGTGGTTTTCTGGTGGTCCGTGGTTGCTGGTTCCCGGTCCCCTGCTGTCTCCTAGTGGTTTTTTTGGTGGTCTTTTTCCCTGGTGGTTTTCCTGGTCCCCTCCTTATTTTGTCGTGGTCTTAGGTGGTTTCTTTGGCGGTCGCCTGGCTCCCGTGGTGGTCCCCTGGTGGTCCCCTTGGTGGTCCCTGGTGGTTTTCTGGTGGTCCCCTGATGGTGCTCCCCTCATAGTCTTCTGGTGGTCTTCTGGTGGTCCCCTGGTGGTCCCCTAATGGTCCTATGGTTGTTTTTGGTGGTCCCCTGGAACCCCTTCCCCCAAAACATAACAACGGCTTTATTTCCTGTGGCTCTTTGGTGTGTCTTGCCCTTTGTGGGACTCAGGAAGCCAAAAGGAAGGCCGCGTTTTTCGGGCACCAGACACGTTCTCCAGTGCGCCAGCGCCTGGAGATGGAGCGGACCCGCTGCAGGACTTCCTCCGTGAGACAGCGCGGCCAGACCAACAAGCTGGAGCCGGAGGAACTGGAATTTCTACCGCATCCTACCCCCCATTCCCCGGTTTGGCCTGGTGGTTGGTGGTCCCTGCGGTGGTCCCCTGGTGGTTCCCTGGTGGTCCCTGTGGTCCGCTGGTGGTCCTGGTCATTTTTGCTGGTGGTCCCCTGATGATCCTTGGTGGTCCCCCCTCTGGTGGTGTTGTGATACTCACTAGTGGTTTTTCTGGTGGTTCTTTGATGGTCCCCTGGTGGTTTTCTGGTGGTCGTGGTCCCCTAATGGTCCTATGGTTGTTTTTGGTGGTCCCCTGGAACCCCTTCCCCCAAAACATAACAACGGCTATATTTCCTGTGGCTCTTTGGTGTGTCTTGCCCTTTGTGGGACTCAGGAAGCCAAAAGGAAGGCCGCGTTTTTTCGGGCACCAGACACGTTCTCCAGTGCGCCAGCGCCTGGAGATGGAGTGGACCCGCTGCAGGACTTCCTCCGTGAGACAGCGCGGCCAGACCAACAAGCTGGAGCCGGAGGAACTGGAATTTCTACCGCATCCTACCCCCCATTCCCCGGTTTGGCCTGGTGGTTGGTGGTCCCCGCGGTGGTCCCGTGGCCCCTGTGGTCCGCTGGTGGTCCTGGTCATTTTTGCTGGTGGTCCCCTGATGATCCTTGGTGGTCCCCCCTCTGGTGGTGTTGTGATACTCACTAGTGGTTTTTCTGGTGGTTCTTTGATGGTCCCCTGGTGGTTTTCTGGTGGTCGTGGTCCCCGAATGGTCCTATGGTTTTTTTTGGTGGTCCTCTGGAACCCCTTCCCCCAAAACATAACAACGGCTATATTTCCTGTGGCTCTTTGGTGTGTCTTGCCCTTTGTGGGACTCAGGAAGCCAAAAGGAAGGCCGCGTTTTTTCGGGCACCAGACACGTTCTCCAGTGCGCCAGCGCCTGGAGATGGAGCGGACCCGGCGGCTGCAGGACTTCCTCCGTGAGACAGCGCGGCCAGACCAACAAGCTGGAGCCGGAGGAACTGGAATTTCTACCGCAGTTGGTGGTCCCTGCGGTGGTCCCCTGGTGGTTCCCTGGTGGCCCCTGTGGTCCGCTGATGGTCCTGGTCATTTTTGCTGGTGGTCCCCTGATAATCCTTGGTGGTCCCTGGTGGTGTTGTGATACTCACTAGTGGTTTTTCTGGTGGTTCTTTGATGGTCCCCTGGTGGTTTTCTGGTGGTTGTGGTCCCCTAATGGTCCTGTGGTTTTTTTTGGTGGTCCCCTGGTGGCCTGGTGGTTTTCTGGTGGTCCGTGGTGGTTCCCTGCTGCGTGGTGGTTTTCCTGGTGGTCTGGTTGTGCGATGGTTGTTAGTGGTCCCTGATGGCTCATAGTCCCCTGGTGATCCCCTGGTGGTCCCCTGGTGGTCCCCTGGTGGTTTCCTGGTGGCTACTAGCACGCGAAGAATGGCATAGAGCTCCAATCCAATTTGAGCGACCGCTAGATCCGATTACTAGTATATCCTGGGGGATAGGGTCACTGCTTGGTGTTCGTCCCAACCCCAAGCTTGCACCTAAGAAGTCTGCCGCGAGGTCCAACGAGAATGCGCCGCGTGTGTTCTTCTATCAGCGAGCTGGGGACATCACGATAATGACGGGGCGGTTTCAAACACTCTACTAGCACAGCGTACCGCCGTAGAACGGGTGGCCGAGATATATATTCGATGGCCACCTGACGCCGGAGCTCTGCTTCGGTGGAACATTACTGTCCGGTGGAACAGAGAAAGCCACCAGCAGGGCTGTAAGTTCCGTGTCGAGCCAAGGATGCGGAGGCGGCCCTCGCTCTGCACCCGCTGCCGCGAACCCCATGGACGTAAGCTGGAAGGGGCAGGCGACTCACTGGATTAACCCCAAGGATCCGCGGCCCGTATCCGACGACACGCAGCACAAACTGGCGCTACGCAAGAGCCAGGAATCGGAGAACCAAGCACTACAGAAGAAGTGCAACCGCTATCGAGACCTCTTGCTGAGCATCATTAGCATCCGAAATGTTCGCATCAGTCTGGACTGCGTGTCATGGACGCGACGAGACGTGCCCGAGCAAATCGATGAGCCGTCCAACAATGCATGCGCTTCGATCTGGCAGCCGCCGCCTTGGGAGCCAGCCTCGGTGCGCGACAAGTGCCTCGACTCCCTGTTTTTTCGGTGCACATGCGTGCTGGCATAATAGTTTGAAAGGGTGCTCGTTTACCGATGTTCGACACATTCACCTGCTATAGTAAGGCAAAGAACTAAGGGCATGAGAGTTAATGCCTCTCAGAGTCCCTGGTGGTCCCCTGGTGGTCCGTTGGTGGTCCCCTGGTCGTCCCTGGTGGTTCCTGGTGGTTCCTGGTGGTCCTCTGGTCATCCGCTGGTTGGTGGTTTTGTGGTGGTCCACTGGTCTTCGTGGTCCACTCACTGGTGGTGCACTGGTGGTCGACTGGTGGTCCGCTGGTGGAGCCCTGCTGGTTCCCCGCGGCTGCTCCCCTGATAGTCCCCTGGTGGCCCACTGGTCGACTGGTGGTCCCCTAATCTTCCCTGCCTAGTGGTTTTCTGCTCGTCCACTCGTTCACTGGTGGTTCTCTGGTGGTTGATCCTCTGGTCCCTTGATAATCCCCGTGGTCCGCTGATGGTTGTTGGTGGTCCCCTGGTGCCGCTGGTGGTCCCCGTGACCCACACCCATCTGTGATTCCTGGCAGATTCCTGGTGGTCCCGCCTTCTGGAAGCTCGCTGGCTGTGGTTGTCAAAAATGGGTACCCAAAAATGGCTTCCCCTGGTCCAAGGACGCAAACTTGTGGTCCATGTCCTGGTGGTTTCATTCTGACCCACATTTTCATCTGTGTTTCTGGCAGATTCCCTGGTGGTCCCCTGGTGGTCCCCTGGTGGTCCCCTGGTTTAATTTTGATCCACATTTTCTGGCGGATTCGATTCCAACAAGTTCGGCGCCCCCGGCCTTCCACGTCGCGCGGGCTTCGAGGAGTCCGGCCTGGACCGGGCCGCCGTGAAAGCGCAGGAGTCCCAGCGGCCCCTCTGAAAAAGCCGCGGACGGAAAAGAACAAAAAAAAAACACACGGCGTGCGGAGAGTGCGGCGGGCGGGGGAACGGGGGGAATGGGACTGAATATTTTTTTGGGTCGGTTTGCGGAGCTGGGCATGCAATGTTCTGATCAAAAGCGCGGTTCCCTCTATTTCAGCCATGTTGAAATAAGCTCAGGTGAGATTTTTCAACAGCATGCGGGGCTCCTTTGTAGTGCTCGCACCACCCCGCAGCCCTTGCAGAACCTCGCGGAACCCTCCTGGAACCTGGTGAAACCCTGGTGGGTGGAACCCTGGTGGAACCCTCGTGGAGCCTTACCTCAGGGCCGCCCCGGACCACCCGGAGCCTTCTGGGCTGAGACCCCAAAGCTTTCAGCTGTTGGGGAAAAAGAGAAAACACATTCTGTAAATAAGGCATGTTTTTGTTGCACGGTTCATGTTTTTGTTTGAGTTGAAAGATGATTTTTGGGTCACGGATGATTCGCGCGGCAAGTGCCAGGGTGGCCTTTGGCAGAAGATCAAGCTGCCGGTCTATGCCGGGCTTTGGTACTTCTTCAATGCCGCTGCCCAAGTTTGGTGTCAGTTCGCTTTTTCCCGGTCTGGCATGTGAGGTCCAATACAACATCCAGAACAAGAGGCTGGGGCTTAGGTCGAGAGACAGGTTCCAACCTGGAAGCCTTGCAGGTTGCTGAACGTGTTCCACGCCAACTGGGCAGTCTCCTGGGTGCAGTCCGCAGCTCGGTCACGCGGTAACGGAGGTTTCGCCATGTGACGGAGCCGCCGCGCCCTGCGCCGCGCACGGAAGGCTGGCGGCTGGAATCCCCATCGCCCTGCTGATGTGGGGCAGCGGCTTCATCAAGGTGAGATGATGCGACGGGTTCGGATGTGGCTACGTACACCTCAAGGGTCACGTGTCTTTCTGGATGCTGATTAAACCACCATATATGTGGTCCAAAGTCCAGTTTGCTTGGGATCCAGTTCGCCACAAGTCCATCCATGGAAAAAGGACAAGGCAGCGACAAGGCACGAATTTTTCCCACCTAGCCACTGGGAGGCTCGGAAGATTCAAATGTTCAACCCCCAAATCTCCAACCCCGTTGCCACGGAGTGAGTCGCCGGCTTCGACGGCTTCGGCTTCGACGGAGGCCCCGAAGCTGACGAAGGACGACCTGCTGAAGCTGGCGCCGGTGGGCGCCGCCTTCGCGGCGGGCCAGGCAGATGGTTTAGGGTGTAGTGGCAGCTGCCGGCTCCGAAAGGAGAAGCCACCCTTGCACTTCCACTTCCCAGAGCCCAGAGCCCCCAGTTCCACTTTTGGGAAGCGGACCACTTTGGAGCAGCCCTTTATGGAGTCCGCGTCTTGTTCCTTCAGCCCAACCCCGGCTCTCCCCTCTCCCCTTTCGCCGGCAGTCGCCGACGCACGACTCGATTTGGCTCGATTCGACTCGATTCGACTCGCTGGTTTCCGCAGGTGGCCACGGTGGCGTCGCTGGGCGCCGTGGCGGTGTCCTTCACCCACGTGGTGAAGGCCCTGGAGCCCGCCGTGAACGCCATCGCCTCCGCGCTGGTCCTGGGCCAGGCGCGGGAGCGCGCGGGCGAACGCGGGGGTGGGAAGAGGGACACGTCTCTCCTCGTGGTGGGGTGGAGTACGACACGGGGAAGCCCGGGAAATACTTGGAGGAAGGACGAGTGAATATTGGGTGTCTCAAGATTTGGGGTTGGTACCTTTCTCTTGGTTTGAGAGGGAAACCTGCAAGGAAAACCACTAGGGCACACTGACAAAGGACGAACCTTAATTTGCTGCATGCAAATTGTCAAGGGATCGCAGGCGGAAGGCGGTGTGAGGCGATTGGACAACCGAGAGGCAACAGGACGACACTTGAACACGAAGATGTGAAGGAAGTGCGGTGGTTGGAGCAATATCATACAAGCATATCGGGGCCGTAATGCATGCCTTCAATTTATGGTCGGTGATGAGAGGGTTTTGAGGAAAAGTGATATTGGAAAACCCCCCATACATCATGTTCCAAGGAACTGCCTTTGCTTCATTTTCACTCGCAATCCAATGTACGGGCCAATCCTGTGGGATTCAAGCTGGCATCGGCGTCTCTTGGACCCGGCCCCTGTGTGGCTCATTCAATTGGATGGAGCGAACTGAGGATCATGACGATTATGATGATGATGATCATCATGATGATCATGATGCTGATGATTCTGATTTTCAAAGTTTGGGTCACCTTAAATATCATGTTGATGATGACGACTACGATGATGACTTTGATGATTTGGGGCATCTGGATGCCCTGAAATATCATGTTGTTGATGATGATGACAATGGTGACAATGATATCGACGACGACGATGGGTCATCTTGATGCCATGAGTATCACGATGATGATGATGATGATGATGATGATGATGATGATGATGATGATGATGATGATGATGATGATGATGATGATGCTGCTGCTGATGATGATGATGATGATGATGATGATGATGATGATGATGATGATTCTGATGCTGATGCTGATGCTGATTTTGATGTTTTGGGCCATCAAGATGAAGATGACGATGATGACGACGTCAGCGACGCTGATGATTTTGATGATTTGGGTCATTTTGATGCCCTTAATATCATTATCAGCATCAGCATCATCATCATCATCATCATCATCATCATCATGATCATCATTATCATGATCACAGCATCATGATGATTATGATGATGATCATCATCATCATCATCATCATCATCATTCTCATCATCACAGCATGACCATAATGACATTTAAGGGCATCAAGATGACGCAAGTCATCAAAACCACCATCGTCGTGGTCAGCGTCGTCATCTTCATCAACATGATTTTCAAGAGCATCAAGATGACCCAAATCATTCAGATCAGCATCATGAACATCACGTGCATCATGAGCATCAGGATGCTGATGATGATGATGCTGCTGCTGCTGCTGCTGATGCTGGTTTTGAGTCATCTTGATACACTTAAGTTTCATGATGGAATTGGGCGATTTAGGTCTTCCACCCCATGGTCTACGCCTCGCTGCTGCCGGTCTTCGCGGGCGTGGCGCTGGCCTCCTCTAAGGAGCTCTCCTTCACCATGCGCCGACCTCGGGACGTGCGGCCAACACATATCGAGTGTTTCCAAAAGCTCCGGAACGCTACGGGAATACTATTCTCGGAAAACTACCGGAAATGGATGTGGTTTTGGTAGCCATTACCCCGCTAACAAGATCCGAAACAACGTCCGTTTGCACGAAAGTACTACGGGAAGACTAAGGAAGACTACGGGAGACTTCGGGAACACTGCCAGAAAAAACGAAAATGGAATGACCCCTATAAACCATGTCTTGTGGTTTCCTTAAGAGGACCCCTGGGTTCATTTCGAAAAGAAGAATCAAACCTCCACGTACCCGGAAAGCACATGCGAATGGTGGAGTCCACAGGCATCGTCAATGCGCGTTGGTTCGCATGCTGAGCATTCAAGTGGCCGGTGCCTGCTTGCAAGCGCACGAGTGATTCAAGGGGGTGGTGACTCCGCAGAGTTTGCCTTTGCTGGATCCATCATTTGTTTCAACTCGTGGGCATGTAAGTCTCGTACGTCCCTGTTTTACAGGGACGGCAGCTGTCACAGCTTTCTGAATGTCACTACTTTCGGGCCACCCGAGTCATTTTTTAGTGGCTTCCCATTACCACACCTCGTGGGTGCATGCCGAAGACGTGTCTTTTGGTCCTTGCCCTTGGTTTGGACCTCGTTCTTCGGTTCCGGCCGAATGAGAACACGTCGATTTCTTTTTCGCGCCCCGTTTTCGGTTTGCGGCGTGCGTGCGCGGCTGAGGTTCGGCTTCTTGACGGCCATGGCCTCCAACTTCTTCTTCGTGACGCGGAACGTGCTCGCCACGAAGTTCGGGGACGTGGGCGACATGGGCACGGCCGGGGGGCCTAAGGCTCCGGCGGCTTCCCCTCTCGCGCTTTGGAAGCGGGTCCGGTGCTTTTGCGACAGATCTTTTTTTTTTGTGCCAGGGCTGCGTTGGTTGGCTGGACGGATGGTTGGGGTGATGGCGGCTTCAGGAGAAGACGGAGCGGAAGACCAATCAGCTGGCCGTGCTCACGGCCGTGGCTGCGACCGCCAGGGGCCCAGAACCCCGGCGTGAAGCGGAGCGCGTGACAGCTGGAGACGGAGGGGCAACTTAGAGGATCTTTGGAGGTTTCCACTTTCCGCAGAAACTTTGGCGCCAGGAATCTCAGATGGATTTTTGGGTCAAAATCAAACCACCTGGGGACTGCAGGTTTTTTGTCTATGTTTCCATTTGCCAGGGTTCTATTTTGGTAGGGTTACCCTATTTTTGACCACAGCCAGATTGGGGTTGAGGTGCTGCTGCCGGTGGTGCTGGTGCTGCCCGGAGGTTTGCTCTCCTTCGGCGCGGCTTGGAAGGCCAGGTATTTCGTCACGTGGAGAAAGTCCGGCAGCCGTGCCGCGCTTCCGCCAGGCAGCCCTCGCCACGGGGGTGAGCTCGCACAAGCTGGCGTGACCCCCCCGATCCGATGCCCTGGGGAACATCCGGACATGGCTGGCTCCATGGCGCGCGAGGTACATGATGGCAGCTTCTGGCTTCCACTTCTTCATGTGCTCACGGCTTTCTTGCAGCTGATTCGGGTTGTGGAGCTGAGCCTGCACAATGATCCTTCGGGCGTGTCACGGAATGATCCGCAAACATGTTCGACACTGTGGTATGATGATCATGGCGATGATGTTGCAAGCCGCTGCAAGCGATTTCACAATCGGGCGTGTGTTGCAACTTTGCAGGTACCAGCTGTCTTCATTCTGGGTGCTCTCTTGCGTGCCACCCATCACGCACAGCGCGCCGAGCTCGGAATTGCGGATGCTTCCAACTGAACCTCACACACACAATCACGGAGGAAACCAAGTGACTTTGTGCGTTTTTAGCATCAAGATGCTTGAACTTCCTGGCTTGGTTTGAAGAGAGGATGGCAGTTCTTGCCTTCTCAACTCGATCCTGGCTGTAGGGGCTTTTTTCGCTCTCAGGTGCTGAACACCCTGAAGAGGGTAGTGATCATCGTGGTGCGCCGCGGTTCCACCCTGCTGCATGGGTTTCGGTGTTGGGGCCTCGCAGGTGTCCATCATCGTGTTCCGCACGCCGGTCACGGTACAGAGTGCCGCAGGTGCGGTCGGAAGGGTGCTCTCTTGACCGATGCTCAAAGATTTCCTCGGGACCTAGCCAGCCCCGAGTTTTGTGGAAAGAACCGGGGCCGGGCCATGTGTGGGTCAAAAAAAGGCTAACCCCAAAATGAAACCCTGGCAAATGGACACATGGACTAAAACCTGCGGTCCATATCCTGTTGGTTTAATTTTGACCCATAGCCATTCTCACTGCCCATCGGTGAAGGCACTGCCGTCGCCATCGGCGGCGTGTTGCTGTATTCCCTGACAAAGGCCGGGCCGGCGAGTCTCTATTGAACAGGAGAGCGGCATCGAAACACATCGCTTCATTGGAAGCCCGTCTCTTGCGAACGTCCGAGCGCACTTGGTGCCTTCGAATCGTCTTCACTCCGCCGAGACTCTGATCAGACTCTGATCAGACTCTGATCAGACTCTGATCAGACTCTGATCAGCACGAACTCCCGCTCAGCAAGCTCGTGGAAGCAAACTTCAGACCGGTCACCACGGGGAGTCAAAGTTGCAGCAGCCAGGCCCACTATTCCAAGAAGACGCCTCAGCCTGAGCTTTTTTTTTTTTTTTTTCCCGGTTTTTGTTTCTGGTTTTTCGCAACGGACCCATCTGAGAAAAAACGCCCCGAAAACTTCGGCGACTGGCCACTCAGGTCGGAGGAGAAGAGCAAAGAAGTGAAGCCCCAAGCATGAGGCCTCGCCTTCGGTTTCACCGGCGGATTTTGTTCTCCGGCCTGCGGGGGGCCACGGACGTGGCTCAGCCAAGCTGCGCAGCTCTGCAATTGTTGTCGCATGTGTAATGACTCAGAGAAGCCACGAGTGGCAGACTTCTGGGGCGATGCGCTGGGCTTGACCCAACTAGCTCGTGCGAGCTAGATCGATTTTTGGGACGGACAGTCTCGTGCGACGGAGAATATCCATGTGGCTGAACCCGAGGTGCCATTTGGGATGCTCGAGCGGGACCGGGACCGGGACCGCTTAGGATCGACACGGAGCAAGATCGAGATGTCAGCACTGGGCTCGGGATATTCGAAGCGACGGTTTTCCCCGCGGCTCAGCGGCTGTCGCGCTGCCCTTTCGGCACCTTCCGGGTCGAGAGTCGAAAGACCTGGCCAAGAGGCGCCGGACGAGTGAGGGACAGACCGGTGGTGTTGGAAAGACACTTTGGATACGCGGAGAAGCAAAATGGATCGCTTCTTTTTGTGCTCAGTCTTTGCGATGGCTTCATGGGCCCGCTCAGAAATGGCCGCTTGTGGTGACTGCTGCTGCGCAGCCTCACAGGTTCAGGAGGCACCAACAGCAACTAATGAAGCATGAACAAGCAACCTGTTGAGGATGCCACGGTCAGAACAAACACTGATGCAAACTTCTGGATGATTGCAATTTGGATTGTGCATGAGCCTGGGTGCAGCCAGTTCACGCAACTGAAAAATGATGTGCACAGACCCGCCAGGGCCAGAACAATGCAGACTTGACTCAATTGCAACATGACCTGGTCGAGCGCCCAAGCATCGAGGCTCGGCCCGAGGCCCGGGATGGTGCGACCTCCGACTTCGCCGAGTCGTGCGAGGCTGGGCTCGGCGGGTTGGGCGTTGCTTCAGCCTCACAGATGAATGGCGCAGCTGCAAACCACTCAGAGCTTTTGCAAGCTGGCCAACCGCAAATCAACTTGGATTTGCTTTCGCGCGCACTGCCTTTTGTGGTAATGCCCGTGCAAAGGCCTGACGGTTGCCGCAGCCACAGGCTCCGGGTGACAGTCGGTCTTTAATACACAGAGCGGGAATTGGTCAACACAGCAGGAGAAAATAACTGATTTGATGTTGTTTGATATTGATGCAAGATGATGTGTCAGCCTGAGTCAGATGGCCGTGGCGCAGGCTGGCAGTGTGCGTGCGTGCGTGTGCGTGTGTGTGCGTGTGCGTGTGCGTGTGTGTGTGTGTGTGCCCCCTGTTCCTAAGGGGTCTTCGGGGTTTTTGCTTGTTCCTTGGAGAGGGGGATTCCACCTTGACGAATGCCCCGGAATGCAGTAATTCTGTTGGCAGATGGCGTTCCTGATGAGGATTGCCGGCAGGATGAACAACTACCGGGCTTACGTCAAGCCGAAACTCCTCTTTTCACCTTTCAGTTGCTTGGGCGCGCGCCTTCGCAGTTTCGATGTCTTCCATCAAGCGTTTGGGCGCGTGTGTCGGCGCGCGCGTACGTATGTGCATATGCTGCATCACGCACGAAAGTCCTTGCAGGGGACCATCCATTTGCTGTGTGCGATGGTCCAACGAAGCGGCGCAGCAAACGCGGATATCCAGGCTGATTACCCTGACGTTCCTGCAAGAACCTCCTGTGATGTAAGGTTCTTTGTTCTCCGGTAGAACCCTTGGACTCTTCTGTGTTAAAACGCCTTTGACTCGGCTTTTCGCACTTGCACTCGTGTTGTGTTTGATTCGACAGCGAGCACATCTCGCTCTACAAGTGTGGTTCCCACGGCTCGTCCAACGTGGCGTCGTGGGCAGACTCGCCATATGCGGGAGCCCCCCGCTGGGGGAAGACATTCAGGTTCACAATTCAAGTAGTCCGTTCATCCGAACGTCGTCAAGTTGGTTTCACGGGCTTGAAAAGGGGCGCGGGAAACCAGGCCATCGCACCGTCATCCGCTGATGAGCCTTGTAGATTGTGAAGTGTCATGTCTTACGTTTTTCTGCGGTGATCTGCCTGACTGCTTGCATGGGGAAGTGATTCACGGTGGTGTGAGCTGTCGTGTGAATGATCGACGTCAGGGTGCTCAAACCTTGTGCTCGCTGGTGGTCTTGCCGAAGTCAATCTACCTCATCGCTGTGAAGATCTCGCCGCGAACCTGATCCCAAGTCGTTGATTGCCTTCCAACTGTGTGGCAGTTTGGGCCCCTTCGTTTGCGCTCCTCCCTCCACCGCCGCCGATTCGATCATTCTTTTCTTTTCATCTATTGACTACTTCCCCCTCATTGACTCATGACCCCTTTGCGTCAATTACTACGACTTCACCTTCGCTGGGGCCGCTTTTTCCTCTGACTCGCCGGGCTCACCGTCTACTTCGGCCAGTTTGAAAGACTGTTGCTACTCCCGAGACCACCGCTAAGCACGGTGTTGTCCGATCGGTTCGTCCTTCCTTCCTGCCATGCCCGTTTGCTCCAAATTTTGCATCACCTGGATCGCTGTGTGCGTGAACATCTCTGTCACCTTTGCCAGCCAAACGTCTTTGGTGTTCCGGCTCGAGGCTCTGAGGGCTTACGCGTGATTTGACCGACGCTGCAGAGCGCGTGGTTGTGGGGCCTCCGCAACCGTCTCCTCCACTTCCACAGTCGCTGCTACCTCCAGTTCCAGCAAGGTTCAGCCCGACACCGCCGTCGCCTCCGCGCAAGCCGTATCAGGTACTGGTTTCTGTGTCTGGCGTCCACACTCTCACGGCGTTGTGAAGTCCAGGACTGCGGTGCCTCCACCTGCGGCTGCTGATAACCTGCCTGACTCTTACAGCCCCGAGCGACACCCAGATCGCGCAACAACGTTGGGCATCGCAACGTTGGCGGCGACGCGTGTGATGATGTTGAGAGGGCCTGCGTCCGCAGATTTCCAAAGCGTCCAGGAGGATCTTGGGCAGCAGGGAGAGAAACGCTCATCCTGCTGCCTGACTCTTCCAGCGTATGCCAGCCCGCCCCGCCATCCCGCAGCAGGATGAGCGTTTCTCTCCGCTGCTGCCCAAGATCCTCCTTGATTTGGAAATCTGCGGACGCAGGCCCTCTCAACATCATCACACACGTCGCCGCCAACGTTGTGATGCCCAACGCTGTGATGCCATAGCCAGTGGTCGTTCTCAGCGCATGTTATCTGTCCTTTTTTCCTTCAGTCATTTCCTCGCTTGTAGCTTGGCCCGCAGCCCTGCGCAGAGCCTGTTGGTGCCCATGGTCCAGTTCAAAGATCGGTCGAATTTCTGGCTCAGGCAGTGCAGCTGTTCGGCCTGCGGATGACGGTCATCTCTTGCCTACTTACGCTCACGTGCCCGGGCCGGGTGAGTTGGATACCTTGCGCCGGTGTGCTGTTCCTCCTCAGTTCGCAACGAGTTCTTTTAGGAGTCCTTGTTGCCGCTTCTGCGAGCGGCAGACGCTGGCCGCCTAAATGCCGCTGCTCCTTTTGCTGCCAGCATCATCAACCTCGCCTCTCCATCCTCGACGGCCCGGTCCTTAATCCTTGAAAACTATTGGGCCGATGCTTCCTGAATCTTCAGATGCTCCTTGGCGCTATAGGGCCGGCCGAGCTTGATTGCGTTGCAGCTGTGTGATCTGCGTGCTTGTCCTCTGCCCCTTCAGGGGCCCGACTGTCAGTTCAATTCCGACACCATTTCATGTCAGCAAAGGCTTGTGGCACTCTCGTGCTACCGCATGAAGCTGTGGGCAAGAGGGGTGATAGCGTTTTGTACCTGCACACGTGCTTCACACCTGCCCAATCTCGATGCTTTTCGACCCCTTGACCGCGCCACTCAATATTGCCACACTCAAACTGATCAGATCCCTTTTTTGGGAGTTGAAGCGTGTGTGTGTGTGTGTGTGTGTGTGTGTGTGTGTGTGTGTGTGTGTGTGTGTGTGTGTGTGTGTGTGTGTGTGTGTGTGTGTGTGTGTTTGTGTTTGTGTTTGTGTTTGTGTTTGTGTTTGTGTTTGTGTTTGTGTTTGTGTTTGTGTTTGTGTTTGTGTTTGTGTTTGTGTTTGTGTTTGTGTTTGTGTTTGTGTTTGTGTTTGTGTGTGTGTGTGTGTGTGTGTTTGTGTTTGTGTTTGTGTTTGTGTTTGTGTTTGTGTTTGTGTTTGTGTTTGTGTGTGTGTGTGTGCGATTGCGTGAGCGTGTTCGTGTGCGTGTGCGTGTGCGTGTGCGTGTGCGTGTGTGCGTGTGTGCGTGTGTGCGTGGGTGCGTGCGTGCGTGCGTGCGTGTGTGCGTGTGTGCGCATTTGCGTGTGTTCGTATGTGCGTGTGTCGTGTGTGCGTGTGTGTGTGTGTGTGTGTGTGCGTATGCCTCCGTGTGTGCGCGTGACATGACGTGACAAGATCCCGCATTCAGGTGCTCAACTGTTCCAGGTCTTTGCAGACGACTCCATTGCGCGCTCAAACCTCGCGCTAATTCAGAACATACTTGGCGCGAGATTGGGCAGAACCCCGGAACCAGCAAACGTCAGAAGTGCAGCTCGCTTCGTTTCTGATGCTGCGTTGCAGGCAGAACAAGCTTGTCTGATGCCGCACGCCTTGCACGAGGTCGCGGTCTTCGGGCTTTCGCCGATGGTTACTGCTGAGCTCTGCAATCCAACAAGCTTTCCCCGTGGCGTGAATGTGTCGGGCATGATGCAACGCTATGGCGCCACAAAGGCCCCGATTCAGCCAAGCGGAGCGGCTGCGGTGATTTTGGCAAACCGAACGACTGAGTCAGCTGCCTTGGCCTGCAACCAGGCCCAGGATCAAAGCTTGGCCCGTGGCGTGAATGTGTCGGGCATGATGCAATGTCGCCGCAGCACAGTGCCCTTTCAGCTTGTCAAGCTTACGGGCCCGCCGCTTCCACCAAGGGGAGCGGCTGAGGTGATTGTGTGCACTTTGTTTGCTTTTGAAAACCCACCGTCTGAGCCGGCTACCTTTTGCAAGTTTCAGACGTCTCAGCAGCAAGTTTTGGGCTCCGCGTCTTCTTTGTTTGCTGCGCGTTGCGCCAGTGAACTCGGCATTTCTGCGTTGCTTGAGTGTACTCTATGCCTTGCATTGTTTGCTGGTCCCGCAGTCCCTTGGAACAATCCAAGTTTGGCCCGCGGCGTAAATGTGCCGGGCATGATGCAACGTCACCGCAACAAAGTGCCCTCAATTCAGCTTGTGAAGCTTTTGGGCCTGCTGCTTCCACCGTCGCCTGTTTTTGAAAAACAAGCGTCTGCGCCCTCTGCCTTTGCATGCGAGTTTCAATCATCTCAGGCTCGTGTTTTTGGCTCGTGGTCCTCGTCGTTGTTCGCTGCGCGTTGCACCAGTGAACTCTGCATGTCGACATTGGTTGAGTCTTTGTGTGTGCCGTGGCCCTCTGCGCCTGCAGCCAGTTGGAGCAAGCCAAGTTTGGCCCGTGGCGTGAATGTGCCGGGCATGATGCAACGTTACCGCAGCATAGTGCCCTCAATTCAGCTTGATAAGCTGGTATGCTCCCTTCTTTCACCAGTGATTCCATGCACGTCGCCTGTTCTTGAAAACCGAACGTCTGAGTCCGCTACCATTCGCAAGTCTCGGACGTCCCAGAAGCAGGTCTTGGGCTCCGCCTTCTCGTTTTTTGCTGCGCGTTGCGCCAGTGAACTCTGCATGTCTCCATTGCTTGTGTTTGCTTTGTGCTTTGCGTTGCCGGCTTTCCCTGGAGTCCCTTGGCACAATCCAAGTTTCGCCCGTGGCGTGAATGTGCCCTTCATGATGCAACGCCGCAACAAAGTGCCCTCAAGTCAGCTTGTGAAGTTTACGGGCCCGCTTCTTCCACCGAAGAGAGCGGCTGCCCTGATTTTGAGGACTTCGCCTGTTCTTGAAAACCAGGCGTCTGCGTCCTCTGCCTTTGCATGCGAGTCTCGAACATCTCAGGCTCGTGTTTTCGGCATCAGGGCGTCGCCGTTTGCTGCGCGTTGCGCCAGTGAGCTCGGCATTTCTGCGTTGCTTGATTGTACTCTGTGCTTCGCAAAGTCTGCTGCAGTCCCTTGGAGCAATCCAATTTTGGCCTGCATCGTGAATGTGTCGGGCATGATGCAACGTTGCCGCAGCATAGTGCCCTCAATTCAGCTTGAGAACCTGGTAGGCCCGCTGCTTCCACTCAGGAAAGCCGCTGCGGTGATTTTGTGGACGTCGCCTGGTTTGAAAACAGAGCTTTTAAGTCCGCCAAGTCTCAGACGTGTGCGTTGCGCCAGTGAGCTCGGCATTTCTGCGTTGCTTGATTGTACTCTGTGCTTCGCACTGTCTGCTGGCCCTGCAGCCCCGTGGAGCAATCCAAGATTGGCCTGCGGCGTGAATGTGTCGGGCATGCTGCAATGTCGCCGCAGCACAGTGCCCTCAATTCAGCTTGAGAACCTGGTAGGCCCACTGCTTCCACTCAGGAGAGCCGTTGCTGTGATTTTGCGGATGTCGCCTGCTCTTGAAAACCGAGCTTTTGAGTCCGCCAAGTCTCAGACGTCTCAGCCACAGATTTTGGGCTCCGACTCCTCTTCGTTCTTTGCGGCGCGTTGCGCCAGTGAGCTCGGCATTTCTGCGTTGCTTGATTGTACTCTGTGCTTCGCACTGTCTGCTGCAGTCCCTTGGAGCAATCCAAATTTGGCCTGCGGCGTGAATGTGTCGGGCATGATGCAACGTTGCCGCAGCATAGTGCCCTCAATTCAGCTTGAGAACCTGGTAGGCCCGCTGCTTCCACTCAGGAAAGCCGCTGCGGTGATTTTGTGGACGTCGCCTGGTTTGAAAACAGAGCTTTTAAGTCCGCCAAGTCTCAGACGTGCGCGTTGCGCCAGTGAACTTGGCATTTCTGGTTTGCTTGATTGTACTCTGTGCTTCGCACTGTCTGCTGGCCCTGCAGTCCCTTGGAGCAATCCAAGATTGGCCTGCGGCGTGAATGTGTCGGGCATGATGCAATGTCGCCGCAGCACAGTGCCCTCAATTCAGCTTGAGAACCTGGTGGGCCCGCCGCTTCCACCAAGGGGAGCGGCTGAGGTGATTGTGTGCACTTTGTTTGCTTTTGAAAACCCACCGTCTGAGCCGGCTACCTTTTGCAAGTTTCAGACGTCTCAGCAGCAAGTTTTGGGCTCCGCGTCTTCTTTGTTTGCTGCGCGTTGCGCCAGTGAACTCGGCATTTCTGCGTTGCTTGAGTGTACTCTATGCCTTGCATTGTTTGCTGGTCCTGCAGTCCCTTGGAACAATCCAAGTTTGGCCCGCGGCGTAAATGTGCCGGGCATGATGCAACGTCACCGCCACAAAGTGCCCTCAATTCAGCTTGTGAAGCTTTTGGGCCTGCTGCTTCCAGCGTCGCATGTTTTTGAAGAACAAGCGTCTGCGCCCTCTGCCTTTGCATGCGAGTTTCAAACATCTCAGGCTCGTGTTTTTGGCTCGTGGTCCTCGTCGTTGTTCGCTGCGCGTTGCACCAGTGAACTCTGCATGTCGACATTGGTTGAGTCTTTGTGCGTGCCGTGGCCGTCTGCGCCTGCAGCCAGTTGGAGCAAGCCAAGTTTGGCCCGTGGCGTGAATGTGCCGGGCATGATGCAACATTACCGCAACATAGTGCCTTCGATTCAGCTTGATAAGCTGGTATGCTCCCTTCTTTCACCAGTGATTCCATGCACGTCGCCTGTTCTTGAAAACCGAACGTCTGAGTCCGCTACCATTCGCAAGTCTCGGACGTCCCAGAAGCAGGTCTTGGGCTCCGCCTTCTCGTTTTTTGCTGCGCGTTGCGCCAGTGAACTCTGCATGTCTGCGTTGCTTGACTATTTGTGCTTCGCGTTGTCTGCTGGCTCTGCTGTCCCCTGCAGCACGGTGCCCTCAATTCAGCCTGTGTCACCGACAACAGCGACTGCGGTGATTTTGCGGACTTCGCCTGTTCTTGAAAAGCGAACGTGTCAGTCAATTGCCTTTGCTTGCAAGTCTCGGACATCTCCAGGTGTTTTTGGCTCGGCGTCGTTGTTGTGTGCCCGTGACGCCAAGAAACTCCGCATGTCTCCGTTGCCTGCCAGTTTGGGTAGTAGTGCTATGGCATTGCCTGGCGCAGCCCCAAGTGCGAGGCGGAGGCGAAGCTGAAACTTTGACCAGCTGTGAAGCGTGAGAAGCTTTGACCGAAGTCAAGCTTGCATTCTGAGCACCTGTGCATGTCGCCAGCGATTGGCTTTAAAAAGGTCTAAACAGCTCCCTTGGTGGTGCTTAGCAACAAAAACAATGATGACAACCAGTTTTTCAGTTTCTACTCGTGACATCAATGACGGACTGCGCCACTAAGCTTGCTTTTGGCAGAGTCGGTTTCAATTTCTCGGCAATTTGGCTTCGCCTAGGCCCTGCTTGGTTTCATATTGAAGACCGTTGTGAAGCAGTTTTGGCCGATCAGGCATTGGCTTCTGCCGACAGCGGCACATATCTTCCAGACCACATCATCGACGTGGCTGAGCGCAAGAGCAGCCAGTTCAGCATCCGCAGTCTGTCCCTTTGTCGCAGACTGCGCGAGAAAAGGCGTTGAATCGCATGAGATTTGGCTTGCGACTAGGCTGAACTCCACAAGACTTGTTTGCCTTGGCACCCATTTAATTTAGCCATGAAGTATGCAGGTTGTAGCTCGGGGAATCTCGGCGAGTGCATTTGCGGACCAGCACGTTGATTGGCGCGTCACATGCTCGAAGAGTCTGCACTTTCGGACCTATGTCCAGTCTCGAGCTTTTTGCAGGAAGCCTTCCTCGGCGTGCGGCAGGCGAGCGAGGCCGGAGGCTTCTTGCGTCTTCAAGGGGCTTGGGTGACAAGCTTCTTGCGGCCACTTGGTGAGGCGTTTTTGTGTTTTGTTTTCCCTTTCCGGAAGTGGCTGGCAGTGACAGAGTTTTCGTTTCATATGAAGATGTTTTCCTTCCGTAGCCGCCTCAGCCCAAGTGTTTCCAGCCTGGGGAGTCACGCGGGTTCTTAGAAGCCGGCAGCTGCCAAAGAATTCTATGCTTGACAGGCGGCAGCTGTGGCTGAGATCAAGGACTGGTCCGCTTTGTCAAGCCACGAATCCACGGTAGGAATATTCGCTTCTATCGTGTCGTTAAGACGCGCCTGAGCTCCTTGTGGCTGATGTTTGAGAATCAACATATTTTAAATTTGCGATTTCGGTGAAGATCTCAATGTGTGTCGCACTGCCTGGCGTTTTGCGAACCTGACATGGCCAGAGGGCTGCACATGCATGCAACACTAGCAAGCCAGGCAGCCCTCGCAAAGGGGGTAGCTCGCGCACCGTGTGGCGTGACCCCGGCGATGGCTGAGAAGATCCAGAAAAGGCCGTGTTGGCTGGGTGCGAGGTACATGATGGCAGCTTCTGGCTTCCACTTCTTCATGTGCTCACGCGATTTGCAGCTGATTCGGGTTGTGGAGCTGAGCCTGCGCAATGATCCTTCCGGCATGTCACGGCACGATCCGCAAACATCTTTGGCACTGGGATATGATGGTCATGGTGATGGTGTTGTAAGCCGCTGCAAGCGATTCCACAAGGCTTCGTTGCCACTTTGCAGGCGCCAGCGTCTTTCTGGGCGCTCTCCTGCGTGCCCACCTTACGCCCCAGCGCGGCGAGCTCAGGGTTGCGGATTGCAACTCGACCTCACACACAATCACGGAGGAAGCCAAGGGTGCGTCAAAATTAAACCACCGGGATATGGACCACAGGTCTTGGTCCATGTTGGCACTCACCAGGACAAGCCATTTTGGAGTTGCCCCATTTTTGACCCACAGCCAAGTGACTTTGTGCGTTTTTGCACTCCGTGGCATGGGTTTGAAAAGAGCCGTTGAGCTGCTTTTCTCCTTGCCGATGGATCCTGGCGCGTTTGAGAATTTCCGCCTGAGGTGCTGAAGAACCCGAAGTGACCGCGGAGCGCCGGGGTTCCTCCCTCCCGGACAGGCTTCGGGTTAGAGGCCTGGAGCGGACGGGCACGCCGGGTGCAGAGTGCCTCAAGTGCGTGAGGGCTGGGGGGGTCTTTGCCCGATCAAAGATTTCCTAGGGGCCAAGAAACCGCGCCGCAGGCTTGGGGGAAACCGGGGCTGGGCCGTGTTTCTCAATAGACTTGTGAATGCCATCGCCCTCGGTGTATTCCCAAAGGCTGGGTCGGCTAGCCCCCTTTCGCGTCCAATAGTAGGAACACGAGCAGTTTGAAATGCAATTGGAAGCCCGGCTCTTGCAAGCAGGACTTGGCCTCGATGAATCACCCAAAGCTGCAGCCCGAGTTTTTTCTTCTTCTTTTTTTCTCCGACTGACGACTGGTGACCAAGGTCGGAAGAGGTGAATCCCCAAGGCCTTGCCTTGCTTCCGTTTGAGACATAGAGATCTGCACAAGTCCCGAGGTTGTTTTGTTGCCTTGGATGTACCTTGGCAAGCATTTGAGCGCAAGTCTTCAGATCCTGGCCAATGGACTTTGGACCGATGCGCGCCACCCCTCTCCCCCAAGCCGCCAGCTTGGATCGTGACGAGTGACGAGCCAGGTCTGGCGCCTCTTCTGGCGACCGAAGATCTCGGACGCCAAAAGAAAGAGGAGACGCTCGGTGTTGATCCAAACACCCTTCATGATGCTCGAGCATCCCAGATGGCAGCACGGGAAAAAGCCACACGGACAATTCGCCGCTCTTCTTGCGCGAGACAGACCGGTGCAGGGATTTTGGTGCTCAGTCTTTGCGATGGCTTCATGGTCTTTGCGATGGCTTCATGGGCTCGCTCAGAAATGGGAGTCGACAGCTTGTGGTGACTTTCTTGCGCGCAGCCTTTGCAGATTCAGGAGGCACCAATAGCAACAAATTGAATTAAACATTGGACAAGAAACTGTTGATGATGCCACAGTCAGAACAACACAGATGCAAACTTCTGGATGATTGCAACTTAGATTGTGCATAAGTTTGCACAGCACACCAGTTGCAACTGAACCACCCGCCAGCCCACAGAACCAGAACAAGTTAGACTTGCCTTTACACCATGAAGACACATGGCAATGGCCAAGAATTGAGGCTACCGAGCTTGGGCGACACCATTGGGCACGGAGGGAAAGGCTACGGAGAGTTGTGCCAACTCAGCTGAAACGCCGGCCTCAACTCCAAAACCCGATGTGAAAAAACCATCAAAATTACTTCTGTTGAGATTAATATTCGGCGTTTCATTGGTATTGCGGAAATGCACAGAACCATCGCAAACGATAGGGGACTCTCAAAAAGCGATACCCCTGGAAAACGATGGAGACGCCGGAAAACGATAGGGGACTCTCAAACTAAGAAACGCGAAACGGCTGTAAGCAAGTAATTTCGACCGTGCCTAATGTGGCGCAAAGAAAGTCGGAATCGTTTGACGGTCGGCGGAAGTCTTTCGATATGCCAGGTTGGCTCGGCTCTGGGCCTGCGCTCTGCTCAGCGTTTGGAGCCTCAGTGTTGGGTTAGTCGGCTGCTGAGCCTGTTTTGCTAGTTCGATAGGCGAACGAGCACTGGAGTGACTTCAAGAACAATAGGCTGCTGATTTCACACTCTTTGGATCCGAGTCCCTCTAAAACCATCATGGGTATGGGGGCCAACCAACTTAACTCACCAGGCCAGGCCAGGGGACCGGTGCATGGCGTCCATGCCCTCCGAGGGCGCCTCGCTGGGCTTCGGCTGCGGCTTCCGAAGCCGGGAGACGGAGCTCCGGGCCGCTCGGGTGGCCAGAGGCGCGGGGTGGGGCCGGATCCGTTGGGGGGAAAAAGGGGCGGCGGATTCTTGTGGGCCTTCGGGAGCTTCAAGTTTGGAGGTCATGTTCTGTTGGATGTTTGGAGGTCCCAGAAGCCAACAGCTAGAAACCTCCGCGGAAAAGTCAAGGCCAAGTCCCCCAACGCGGAGCCGCAGCTCTTGGATGCTGCCCAGGGGCCCGGGCCTACAATTTGCTGGAGACCAAAGAAGCCGAGCTGGAGCGGGCCGCGCTCACGCGCCCGGTCCAGCGGGAAGGCGGAACGGGTAGCACGGCACGGCGTGGGTCAGGCATGGGTCAGGCAGTTCCAGGCCTCTTAGGCCTCAAATTGGGGTAATTAAGCCCCCGCAAAACAGAGTGTCGGTTTGAAAGAGCTCCAAGTAAATGTGGCTTCCCTTGAAACAAACTCATACATGTCTTGTGCACCCCTTGGACCTGTTCCGGAAACTTTCATTGAACCGGAATGTGATGATATTGTGATACAACAAACTTCTCGGTTTGGTCTGTTGACTTCTTGGCACATCCAACGACGCCAAGAGTCGTGAATCGGCATCCATGATTTTACCCTCGGCTCTTAGACCTTCCGAGCCATCGGCAGTTGCGGCGAGCGTCTTCAATCCCCTGCTGGACGAGCTGAACGGCATTCCCCGGCTGGACAAGGCCATTGGGCTCACGGGTCAGGGGTAGAGGGAGGGAGGGAGCCGGCAGAAAGGCCACTGGCCTTGGCTCAAGTCCAAGATGCTCAGGGTGGGCGCCCCAAGCCGGGCCTTGAAAATTAGCTTCGCTGGAGCGAGGAACCTACCAGCTGGGCTGTGCGTGGTATGGAACAGTCGGCGCAAGATGCAGCAATCGACACCGGTGCAAGCGATGCTGATGCGGCGCCTGGTGGCGTGCGTGGTTGCGGTGTCTGCGGCCCATCGCACCCAAACCACAGCGAACGAGGGCCACGTCTGCCGTGTTTGCAAGAAGTCTTTGCCATCCCGCAACCAGCTCTTCAAGCACCTGCGCTCGGAGCATCCGAGAGACCACATCAATTACACATGCTCTGCATGTGACGCATCGCCGGTGCGCGGCACATGCTTCACGTGCTCGGACTCCCGGGTACTCTGCAAGGAGTGCTTCAAGAGCAGGAGGGGGGAGCCTGAATTCGCCTCCGCTTGCTTCTTGCCGCAAGACACTCCAGAGCACATGAAAGGGCTGGAGTCCAAGCCAACTGCGAAACCTGCTTACCCGCCGGCAGGCCCCGCGCTGCAGGTGCCGGACACTCGATTTCCCAGATCTCTCCTGGACGCCTTCAATCAGCGCGCACTGGAGGAGGAGCCTTCATTCCGCACCCCTAGCGAGGTTTTGTCGCAGACGGTGCCTTGGGAAGATCTGGACTTCGCCTGGCGAAATGGTCTCCTGTGCGGGGTGCCTATTGGGCTCAAGTCCACATTCGCGCCCGAGGACGAGGAGCGGTGGCTGGAGTTGGCCCGGGAAGACCCGCAGAGAGATGTGGCCCTCTCTCCTCGTCGGCCAGCTATGACGCCCCAACTGCTGGTAGCACTTCTTCGTTACAACACTTGCAAGAAGGAGTTCTCTTGCAAGGATCTCCGCGCCTATGCAAAGTCTGTGTGGGACATGCGAGACTCTGTTGAGGAGTGGCAGGTGCTTGCGGAAGGGACGCCCGGCGTTTGCACAGAGCCTCGATCCCGCTACTCGCGCAGCAGCGAAACACGTGAGCATCTCAGCAGCTTGGTGAAGCTAAGCGAAGATAGGAGATCTAGATCATCCTGCCTGGACGCCGAAGAGACTGCCTTCGGATTCTTTCAGAAAGTTGACCAACAACAGTTTGACTCCTTGCGCAGCCTGGCGGAATCGCTCTACTACTATCAGGGTGGCGTGCCGGCAGACCAGTGCTACGCGTTGGTGGCTATGGCGTGCAGGAGTGGCTCCGTGGTGAACGTCGAGGGATCCCGGGGGCAGCTGCGGGTGCGACTCAAAGGCGATCACCTCGTGCGCTTCGTCCACCGGGGCGCTTGCCAGACGCTGCGGGCGGACGAGGCAACCCGGCTGACCCCAGAGGCTCTTAGGTGAATAGTTCTTCCCTTCCGGATCCACCAAAGAAAGCTGGGCGAAGGAATGAGCCAGCCAAACCTTCCATCGGTTTGAGGTGCTTTCAACTCGCGGGGTGGAGCAAGCGCTGCGTTGCCAGCGAGTCTACGGGGGCTCCTTTGCCAGGGAGCTCTGCCAGGATCATGAGAGGACGGCTTTCTGCAAGATGTGGCCTTGGGTCGAAAGCCAAATCGGTTAGCCCCCTGAGTTCAATCCCAATCCAACCACGAACATAGGTAACCTAAAATGGGTGGTGCACCTGCCCCAAAATGGTGCCAAAACGTTTTTGACGCACGGCCATGCTGTCTCGCTCCAGTTCCGAAGCCCTGCTGTCCATTCGGTGTCTCACGGCCAGGAGCTTCTGTCCACTTGGTGTGGACTGCCCGTTTGTGCATCGAAGACTCCAACAAGAGGGAGGTGGGGTGACAAGCTGGGGCCGCGCAGATTAGAAGGCAGAAGATCAAGGGAAATGAGTATGTGCCCCTATGACCCTTCTAAACCTCATACGTACAATATCACATCCACATTGTACAAGCAACCAGTTTGCAAGATGCTCATTTCGTATGAGACGGTTTCCCGGCAATAGGCCAAAACCGTTGGTGAGTGTGCGTGGGTTTCTGGCAGGAGACAAGCGCTTGGAGGATGTCCTTGCGGATGGCAATTGCAAAGTGCAAGATCTGCAGCTGCGCGAAGTGCTGTGGGAGTCAATGCTCGAAGGGATTTTGCGGGTGCCCTTGGATGACCTGCTGCAGAGGTGTGTCGGTTCCAAGTGTGTGTGTATATATATATATTAATATATATATATATATATATATCGTGGAATGCCGGCAATGTGCGCAAAAAACAACATGCGTTTGCTTGGCACATTCCTGCCGCGCTAAGCGCTTGGTGTTTATAGTGTTTCTAGTGGACACCCATGCGTTTGCCTGGCTCGCTGCGCCGATCCGATCCCTGTGCGAGGTGGTCCAACAAGAGAAATGCGACGGAGGAGGAGGTCCTGGCAGCGCTGCAGGAGGAAGTGAACGGCGGCAACATCAATCTGCTCGTGGTGGCGAAGTCGGCTGAGCTCGCCCACGAATGGCAAGGGCGAGTGCTGGAGGATCTCCGCTCCTGGCGGACAAAGCCAGAAGGGGTTGGCGTATTTGCGTCTCCTGTGCTCACAGCGCCTCCTGCGAAACTTGTGGACTGCCTGGACGAGTACTTCCAAAAAGAGCTGCTTAAACGCATTTGGGGTTCTGTAATACCCCTCTTGATACAGGTCAGTCAGGATGCGCCCCAAGCGAACCCCGGTTGGCAAACCGATAAGGAGGAACAAACCGATGACGTTTTGCAGAAGCGACGTTGCGATTCTCCTGGAGCACGAAGCATACCGCACTTCGCACAGCGCACTGTGAAAAAAGTTGCGATTTTGAAGCCGGAGCTGCAGAAGCTACTTGGTTAGCCGTTTTTCCGGAGCGAACTACTCTCGAAACGACAAGTTGCGATTTTGCAGCTAGAGCCATGGAAGTGCGTTTTCGCATACCTTTACTAGCTCCAAAAAGGTGCGATCTGATAGCGGAGCTGCGGAAGTGCATTTTGTCTGCTAGACTTGTACTGAGCATCGCGATTTAAAAGTGTGTGAAACAACAAGGCGGAACAAAAACGGCAACTTTGGAAACGAGGAACACAAACTCAGTGGGCTTTTGTACAACCGCTCTTTCGCACAAAGAGTGAAGAATGAATGTGGATGAAAAGGAACTGCGGGATCGCATGATGCTTGCCTGCTTGCCAAGGCAGTTGGTTATGCGGGTTGCGCATCTGCAGGCTGTGTCCTCCTCATGTTTTGCGTTGCAAATTTCACATCGCCGCTGGCTGCGTGTGGGCCAGAATGCTGGGTACCGCTACCACACGCAGCAGCGGCGCAAGCGCGACTACATCTTGTGGAAGAGTGACCAGGGGCTCCGGTCTGGAAAGTTTGCAGCACGCAGCGATCAGAAACAGCGAGCAGAGGATTTGGCCACGTTCATGGGGGACCGCTCTGCCTGGCCGTCGGATGGAGTCCTGTTGGAATCTGCGCGATTGTTCGGGCCTCCCTCGTTGCGACCTTCGGAAGAGAGCAGATCTCGTTTGGCGGCCCTCTTCGATATCCTGTGGACCTTGGAGACAGGGACGGACAAGGATGAGGCGGATTCTCTGTCAGGGGCCGGGCAAGATGTCGATGACGAGGATGAGAATGAGGAAGACACCCAGACTGAAGCTGGTTCAGAGGGGTGTGAGTCGGAAGAATCAGAAAGCAGCTGCGAGAAAGGGGAAGCGCTGCGCATGTTCCCACCTCCGTTCAAGGTCGAGATGAGTGTTTGGCCACCGCCTCTGTCGCCCGAAGAAGTGGTGCAGCAGGCATTTGCTCAGTTGGAGGCTCAGCAATGGCAGTCTTCGCTGGAGGCCGTCAGAGGAAGACGCATCTTGCAACTGACCCCGCCCTATAAGATGCTGCAGCACATGCTGCAGAAGGTCAAGCACGGCGTATCAGATGACGAAGACGGCTGCGCGCCAGAGGACGCCCGCGTTCTGCTGACGGCCGCAGGGCTGGAGGAGGGGATGGCGTGGGTCGGTGTGGAGCCCTTCAGCAAAGATCTTTTAATCGCGATGTTGACGGCAAAGTGGCGCTGGACTATGTCCGGGAGGCTGGGGCGGGGGCCTTTCGTGGATTGGTTTTGATATGTTTTGCTGCAGCTTGGGTTTTGATACAGCTCCCCCCCTTTTCATTCAGAACTCGGGTTGTCCATTGCCTTTTGTGTGAGTGACGGCTGTTCCCCGCGCGTTCAACCGCAGCTTCTTTCGTGGATGTGTTGGCTTTGACCCCCGACAGGCCGGGGCACTTGGATGCGCAGGACCGGATGCGCGAATGCACTTGCATTCGGTTCATCGAGGGTTGAGCTCCTTGCGTGCTGCCGGATGTCAGGAGATCCTGGCCGGATTTCTGCTCGCCCGTTCTTTGAGCAGCAACCGTCGAGGACGTAGCCACAGCCTGCGCTGGCGCCTTGCTTTGCAAGATGCGTTGGGAGGCTCTTTTTTCTTTTGCGCGTGCAACGCGTTGGGCGGATTTATTTTCGCATTTGGCGCTGCGAGGGCCATCACTGGGGCGCTGAAGCGCCACAAGCTGTTGCGCGGCCGGCTAGATATCACTTCCAGTGGAGGCCTGGTCTGGGGGATCCCTTGGACAGACTTAGCGTCCCCTCCCCCCTTCAAAAAAAGAAGACAGACCCAAATAGGTTGTCGAGGTCCAAGGCAGCATCCGGGTTTTTGAAAACGGAGGGGAGCCGGACAACAGGTCGATCACCTTTGGTAGGCTGAACGAAGAAGCCATTTGTTTCCAAAACGTCCAAGGTGTCAGTAGCTGGTTGACACTTGTGCAAAGCAAATCCGAACTGGGAGGCTCTTAAAGAGAAACAACATCACAGCTCTCCAAAAACGGGAAGGGTCCCTTTCTTCTGGGCACCCCCCCTTCCAGACACTACGTAGGGAGTAGACCGCCTTTGCCTCGCGATTCCATTTGCCCAATAGAAGGACGAAATGCGACGTACCCAGTGACTCCCAAAGATCTCGATGGGATGACCATTTCGCGGCGATTTTGTCCCTGACAGGCAGCATTGGTATGGGCATGGATACATCCGGCTCTGATCATGATCTTCTGCTGAAGATCAAGGACGGGGACGAGGGCATGGTCCAGCTTCTGTACGAAGTGGTCCAGGACTTGCAGAGCTCTGGCCAAAGTGTTCGCCTCCAGCGGGCAACTGCGGCGAAGAAGGATTTTGCGGTGGGGATCACGGGCTACTACCGTGACAAGGAGTTCGATTTGGTGCCCTACACCAACCGGCCAGGCAAGGAGGGAGAATTCCAGTGGGATGTGCAGCGGCAAGTTTGGCAGCCCATCTTGCACAAGGACCTCGCTCCGAAGTTGCAGCAGCTTTCAGAGCAGCACCCTGAGGGCTTCCTGATCATTCGACTGCTGAAGCTTTGGAACGAGGACCTCCCAAAGATCCGCTCCGGTAGCTCGGGTGGCAAGGCGCCCCTGATCTCCGTGCACATCCCTCTGCTGGTGCTGGCGGCGCGCGACAGCGGGCAGCTGGACGCGCAAGACAAGCCTCAGGGCTACCTCCTGGCGTCGCTGCGGTTCATCGAGCGGAACTGGCGCCGCGCGGAACTTCTGGAGGTGACGCTGCAGGAGGTGCAGGCGTCGCCGCACCTGGAGCGCATCACCGCCAAGTACGGTGCCATGGATGGCTTCCCCGGCCTGGTGCGCGAGTCCATCCGGGTGTTGGAGGAGGCGTGTGCGGAGCGCGGGCTCGACAAAGCGGCGGCCGAGCGGGTGATCTCTTCCGCTGGCGCGCTCTTCGGGCCTGCGGGGAGGTCGAAGTTGTGAGGCTAGGGGAACACGCCTCCGCAAAAAAGACGTGCGCCGCTGCCAGGGAGATGTAGCAGGCAACTTACGATCACCTGGACTCTTGGTAAGTTCGCAGGTCCGGCCCGAGCATCTTGTGGGGGCCGTGGACATTGTGCTGGAGCAGTTTCAGTCAGACGTGACGAGGCGAGCGCTGCGCGCATTCTTTGACTCATGCCTTTCGCTGCTTGGGTGATGGCCGTCGTGTTGTTTGCCTTTGCCATCAACTACTGGCCACATCTCACGTTCCCCATTCAGCAAAGTTTGCGCTCAGGATCCAGGACAACCTCTACCAAAAGTCCCTGAAGCAACAGCGCCTCTCTTACGAGGTGCGTCGTTTGTAATGCTGGGAGCACCTCTCTGAACATTTGAATGTAATGAAAGTTGGTTCTTTGGGCTTGAACATGTGTCCATCGGAAAGGCTTAAGTCCAAGTTTTTTGCAGGTTTCTTTGGCTGGCTCTTGGGTGAACATGTGGCTGTGGCTCAAATCAATGTAGCATGGCACCTTGGGAAATGGAACCAAGGACTAAAAGCTGCGGTTTGCCCGAGCTCTTTAATTTTGAGCCACACCCATGTGGTCTTAGCCCAAGTTTCCGGAGTCTTTCCCTTCAACGACCTCCACAACTCCGCAGGAGGTGCTGGGGCCCTTGGAGGTGGCGCTGGACCGCGGGGGGCCAAAAAAAAAACCGACAGATCCGGCGGGTTTTCCCTCAAAGCCGGGGTTTTCCATGCTCGGGGTTGGGGGAATTGGTTTTTGTTTGACTGTTTTATCTGTTGTAACTGATGTTCCAAGAGTGGATTCCCTTTCTTCTTTTGGGCTCCAAGCGGATTTTCCCCAAAGAAAGCCACGCCCAAATTCAGGTTTGTTTTTTTCCCTTGACGTGTGAGGGGCTCTTGTAAAGGCTTTTTAAGGTGCTCATGTGAGCAACAAACGGTTTTCTTCACCCAGGTGCGACTAGAAGCGGGGCTTAGCTGGGTATGAACTTTGATGACCCCTTTCCGGCTTGCTCCCAAAGAAGGCTCAACTGAAAGACAGCAGTTGAAGAGGTTCAGTGCTCAGGAGCGTGCCATTTGCCATTTGCACAGCTGCTTTCTTGTCGTACCCAAGACACCTCCGAATGGGACCAGGAATGACAAGTTGACTCAAGATCAGCCCAAAAGGCAAAGTGAACGCCTGCCCAAAAAACAAGTCCACAAGAACTGTGCGAAGCACTTCAGGCCAGGATTTGGTGATACACTTTTGCCGTTTTAAAGGTTGCCGCGGTAGTTCGAAGCCTTGTCTGAATGTTCCCCTTCCGTTTGGACTAGAAGGCAACTTCCGAGGTTCAGGCTTCGAGCCTTTGATCAGGGCTGAGCGCGCAAGGTGGTTGCTAGCCCGGAAAGAGGCAGAGTCTCTTCCATCCCTGTCAAAAGGCATGGAGCGCTTCCACCGGAGATTGGTCTGCTTCGCCCGCGGACATTTCATTTTCCAAGTCCACTTGATTGGTTGCGAAGCAGGCTCTTGATGGACCGGCCTGGAAATACCCATTTGCCCACATTTCACCCAGAAGGGGCTGAAGAGGCACAGATGGCCCCCACAAAGCGATGTGGGCGGCCTCAAGGATCGCATGGGTTGGTGAGAGGCCAAGGATCGCATGGGTTGCTCAGCACACCATTTGACGCGCTGAGGCTTGGAGAAGGTCTGGGGTGCCATGACTCTGCTGAGGAGGGCTTGGCGGATCTCTCCAAAGGCTTCGAATCGATTTCGTCGCGTCGCGAGACCTGAGACGTGAGACGTCGGGCAGATTGACGAGATCTACCATCTCACTTCCTACCGGATGTCCACGGCAGCATCCATCCTGGCGCAGTCGGATTTGTTGCATGAGGCTGGCCCGCTTGAGTTGCGCGATTCCCGGATGTTTGAGACACTTTGCGAGTGCGTGCTTTCTTTTAGCCAATGGCTCAGGTGTAAGAGGGGTTGCCTACCATCCACTGTTTCTCATAGGGGACCCCGGTTTTGGGCTTTGGGTTTCAAGGGAAAGCCAAGGACTTGGGAAGCCGCCTGGAGGAATTGGTCCCCAATTTGAGAACGCCCCCTTTTCGCCGCTCGCCGGCGGTTTCCCGAAGTGCGGCGAAACGTCCTGGGACCCCGAGGCGCTGTGGCGCTTGAGCCAAGAGGACCTCAGTGACTCGGTCTTTTTGGGCTGCGGGGTGAAGACCAATGGAATCCCATTTTGGGGGGTTGGTGAATTCACCGCCCATGTTAGAAAACCTATTTTGGTGGTTGGAGCTGTATGAATCTATTTGTTTCTGATATGTCACCTCTTGCAGCCATGATTCCCAGCTGTCCGGTGGCCGAGGTGAGCCGCAGCGGCGCGTGGTGCAGCCGGCGCCCCGGCCGGCGCTCGCCTCCCGCCCGCCCGGAGCGATCTCCTTTTTCTCTCGGTTTCTGCGGGCCCTGCGGAGGCGGACCCCGCCCCTCCAACTCCCCGCTTTTGTTTTGGGGTGGTGTTGGGAAAAGCCAGGGGTTTCCATGGTGTACGGCTCGCTTTTTTTGGGGGTGGTGTTGGGAAAACCCGGTTTCATGGGGTCTCCATGGTAAATTCCTCCCCTTGTTTCGGAGTGCGATTTGTGGAGCCTCTGCGAAGAACGGAGGTAATTTTTTGACCGTGGAAACCCGCGGGCTTTTCAGAAAGTAGCCTGGAAACTGGGGGTATTTGTAGTAGGGGGAATTCGAGGATGGGACCAGAGGTAGGTGGCGCTGGTTGCAAGCGACCAGATGGTCAATGTCTTGGCTCGGGACAAATTTGAGGCGCCTCACACGTGAAGGATATCTCATGGGTGCCTCGGATGCAACGCCAGGGCATAGCCAGTGCCAATCATAGCATCTTGGTGTTTGCCGAGTGCAAGTTCTGAAAGGATCAATGGCCCCATGACGTGGACCTGGTGACCCAAAACCATCGGAGTTTTGGACGTCGGCATGTCAGGCGTTGGCATGGACGACGCGAAAGCGCTGAGATCCTTGGAGGAAGGCTCGGTTGGAGGAAGCAAGATGCGCGATCCAAACGGTCGACATGTTTTTTTCCGAAAGTGAGTTGAACGGCTGGAGAGGATCTCCCCCTTTTGGATGAGTCGAAAGTGAGGTCAAAAAGGAAGCCAACCAGTTGAGGGGCGGCGCGTTTTTTTTGTTCTCGAGCAATTGGCTCCCTTTGTTACGAAAAACAGGAAGCCAACAGAAGAGATGTTGTTTTTTTGGAGCCATTCCCCATGAATCCCTGTTTTGCTTGCTTGGCTAAATCGTGGCTTCTCCTGGGAATCAGGTGTGAAGCGACTCGGGCAGCTGGGCGCCATCTTTGCGGAGAACCTGGCGTCAGAGGCGCCAAGAGCGTTTCGGGCGCCCAATAGAACCCTTCGAGGCCACCGGGGAATCGGGTGGTTTGGACTCCATTCTCCTTGATCTAAAGGGTCCCGAAGGTTGGATGGTGGGTCAAGGGAGGGGTACGTGCGTGGCTTGCCAGAGAGGCGGGAGGTTCTTGTAGATTTTTTGCGGACATCTTCGTTTTTTTTTGTGTTTCGGGACTGAAATGGATCGGCGGTGCCGAGGGCTATATTTCAGGAGATCAAAGGAGTGCCCCGGAAGGCCACGCAACAGCAAGCGGGGTTTTGCCGGGTGTGTGGCTATGACAGGCGCCGCCTTAGGGCTCTGTATCTTCAGCCCTTGGCAGGCGCCGGATGCCTTGAAAAGCGAGGCGCGCATGTCTCACAGGCTGATTTGGGCTCGTGTTTTTTTGGAGTTGGTCCCCCTTTTGCAGTGGTTTTTGAATGGACACCAAAAGGAAACCGTTTCGTCATTTTGGGGGGCCCGACCTTACAAATGACATACCTGCTTGCTTGCACGGCAGTGATCATCTTGGGCCATGACCTTTCCATTGGCTTTCCCTCATCAGTTCACTGTCCTCTTCCGACGTCGAAGGCTGGCCCAGCTCAAATCGCAGCGATTTTCGCGCACGCCGTTTTTGAGCAAAGGAAGGGGCCCCTGTGGCGCAAAGAAATTTGCGGAGACGGGGTTCAAGCGAGCCGTGCGCCAGGCGCTCGGAGCCTCCCAAGCGGAACATCCCGAGAAGGCGTTCGTGGCGTCCAGGCGGCGTTCCAAAATGAGCTTGGCCCAAAATGTCCCGAACATCTGCTTGTTCGGAAGGGCGCCAGTGGTTTGCAACTGGTTGAAACCGGGCCTCACTGAAGCGGTCGGCCTGGCACGTGTTTCTGGCCGCAGCAACTTGGTTGCAGGCTTGGCCTTGGCCGAGGCGCCGGGAAGAGCGGCCCGCGCGGCGCTGCCAGCGAGTCGAGTGAGCCGCGAGGCAACCTCGGCGTCATCGCGGAGATGCTGCAGCATCGCCAGGCGCGGCGAAGCGCGTTTCGCCGGGAGAAGAAGTTGGGCCAAGGAACTCATGGTGAGATTGAGGTGGTTTGGGCCGTGGCCAGCTTCACCTTGTTGTACATTTACATATTGTATAACTATATATATATATAAATACATATATATATACACACACACACACACACACACACACACACACACACACACACACACACACACACACACACACACACACACACACACACACACACACACACACACACACACACACACACACACACACACACACACACACACACACACACACACACACACACACACACACACACACACACACACACACACACACACACACACACACACACACACACACACACACACACACACACACACACACACACACACACACACACACACACACACACACACACACACACACACACACACACACACACACACACACACACACACACACACACACACACACACACACACACACACACACACACACACACACACACACACACACACACACACACACACACACACACACACACACACACACACACACACACACACACACACACACACACACACACACACACACACACACACACACACACACACACACACACACACACACACACACACACACACACACACACACACACACACACACACACACACACACACACACACACACACACACACACACACACACACACACACACACACACACACACACACACACACACACACACACACACACACACACACACACACACACACACACACACACACACACACACACACACACACACACACACACACACACACACACACACACACACACACACACACACACACACACACACACACACACACACACACACAGACAGACAGACAGACAGACAGACAGACAGACAGACACACACACACACACACACACAGACAGACACACACACAGACACACACACACACAGACACACACACACACACAGACACACACACACACACACACACACACACACACACACACACACACACACACACACACACACACACACACACACACACACACACACACACACACACACACACACACACACACACACACACACACACACACACACACACACACACACACACACACACACACACACACACACACACACACACACACACACACACACACACACACACACACACACACACACACACACACACACACACACACACACACACACACACACACACACACACACACACACACACACACACACACACACACACACACACACACACACACACACACACACACACACACACACACACACACACACACACACACACACACACACACACACACACACACACACACACACACACACACACACACACACACACACACACACACACACACAAGTTTCCATGTTTTACACGCACGGTATACTACATATACACTAGAAGGACAGACCAAGATAGGCGTGGATGTGATTTATCCACTGCAAATCGGGGCAGATTTCACTCACCAGGCGTAGGCGCGTGGATTTCAGCCTTTTTTTGGCAGGCCTGGGCTGCGTCCCTGGGCTACGAGACCTTCGCCGACTTAGTCTTCGAGTCGCGCACCGCGTCCAAGGCCGAGGCTCGGCTTCTTGCGCTTCAGCTGTTGGCTCAGCGTATGGGTCAAAATTGAGATCACTAAAGGACCGCAGGTTTTCGTCCATGTTTCTCCTTTTACCAGGGCAAGCCATTTTAGGTACCTATTTTTGACCCACGGCCATAGTTTTGCGGGCGCGGCCCCCCGAAAAATCAGTGGCGCACGGCACACGCGCTGCAAAGAACCACTCAGAGCTTTTGGAAATGGCTGTCTAACCACAAGCTTCATTTTGGTTTCGCCCCATGCAGCTGGGGCAGTCTCGGCGAGTGCACGTGGGGACCAGCACGCTGATTTTCACCGACATGATCGGAGACTGGATCGGAGAGTCTGCAAACTTGCAGGTGGAAGCCTTCCTTGGCGTGCTGCGGCAGGCGAGCGAGGCGTGACAAGCTTCTTGCGCCGACCCGGCGTGGCAGAAGTGGCGGCAGAGTTTTGGGTTCATGTTGGTTTCCTTTCGTAGCCGCCTTAGGTCAAGTTGTTCCAGCCTGGGGAGTCACGTGGGTGGTTAGAAGCAGGCAGCTGCCAAAGAAGTCTATGCCGGCTTGGCAGGAGGCAGCTGTGGCTGAGATCAAGGACTGGGGTTTTGATTGGGGCACACCGCAACCTGCAGTCACTGAGTTTCGGGTGTGTCCATTGGGCAATCGAACGGCTCCGTTTGGTCGCAAACGCCAAGCGTGTTTGTCGAGTTGAGACGCCTTCTTGTTGAGGACCTGGAGTTGGTGGGTGCTCACATGCGGGACCGGCGCCTGTCGCGCGCAGGGAGGTCTCATTCATTGGTTGGGGCGAAATTCTTGATGTACCTGGTGTCTTCATGCGATGTTTGCGTGGAACCATACCGGATCGCATTCTGGAAGCAACCGCCTTGCCCATTAATATCACGATTGCATGCCGTCGATTCCAAGGACCTTCCTCGAACAGCGGAGGAGGCGAGGCCGCGGCAGGTTTTCGTTTCCCCCCCCAACCCGCTGCCGGGCGCCAAGAAACCCCGCAGGAGCCGCAGCTGACGCTCCCCACCGCGTGGCGGCCTCCGATGGGGGGGGGGGGCGATCGCATCTCGAAGCTCTCGGGCGCCCGGAGGCTGCGGGGCCTCTTCCGACTCCTGGAGCGCCTCTTTGGAGCCCGGCGCTTAGATCTACCGTTACGATCGGGGTGGATCAAATTTGAAGTCGCCGGAGATTCGGGTATGGGTCAAAATCAAACCACCAGGGCAGCGCAGGTTTTACTCTACAGGGTTCCATTTTGGGTACCTATTTTTTGACCCACAGCCATTCGACTTCACCATGCTGGAAGGTGAGATACCTTGCCAAAATGCTGCAGGTCAAGATGGAGCCGGCCACGGCGCGAAACGAGGTGCCGATCTGGCACAGGAGCCGCGCAACCAGAGCAGCAGCGACTGCACATTGCATGTGGTGCAAGAGGTCCGCTTGGTCAAGCGACTGATCCACGGAAGGAGTATTCGCTTCTATCGTGTCATTGACATCAAGACGCAGTTGCCTGAGCATGTGGCTGTGAGTCAAAAATAGGTACCCAAAACGGAACCCTGGCAAATTGAAACATGGACTAAAAGCTGCGGTCCCCTGTTGGTTTTGATTTTGACCCATACCCATGTGACTGATGCTTGGGAATCCGCAAACCATGCGGCATGCCCAGAGGCAGCACCCCATTGCCGGGCTTTACCTCGATTTGCGCAGATCTCAATCTGTGGCACATTGCCGCGGTGCTTTTTTATTGGCGGTTTCTGACATGACTAGGAGCTTGCAAACCTGAAAATCAGTCCGGCAAACAACGGAAAGCGCCTGCCACGGCATGCGATGGCTTTCCCTTGTTTTCCCTTGCTTTCCCTTGCCTTCCTTCGCTTGACCTTGCTTTTTCCCTTGCGTTGCCTTGCTTTCCCTTGCTTTCCTTTGCTTTGCCTTTCTGTGCCCGTGCTTTCCCTTGCTGTCCCTTGCTTTGCCCGTGCTTTTGCTTGCTTTGCCTTGCTGCCCCTTGCTTTACCTTGTTTTCCCTTGCTTCCCTTGCCTTGCTGTCCCTTGCTGTCCCTTGCTTTCCCTTGTTTTCCCTTGTTTTCCCTTGTGTTCCCTTGCTTTGCCCGTGCTTTTGCTTGCTTTGCCTTGCTGCCCCTTGCTTTACCTTGTTTTCCCTTGCTTCCCTTGCCTTGCTGTCCCTTGCTTTCCCTTGTTTTCCCTTGTTTTCCCTTGTGTTCCCTTGCTGTCCCTTGCTTTCCTTTGCTTTGCCTTTCTGTGCCCGTGCTTTTGCTTGCTTTGCCTTGCTGTCTTGCTGTCTCTTGCTTTCCCTTGCTTTGCCTTGCCTTGCTTTACCCGTGCTTTTGCTTGCTTTGCCTTGCTGTCTTGCTGTCTCTTGCTTTCCCTTGCTTTCCCTTGCTTTCCCTTGCTTTGCCTTGCTTTGCCCGTGCTTTTGCTTGCTTTGCATTGCTGTCCCTTCCTTTCCCTTGTGTTCCTTTGCTTTGCGTTGCTTTGCCCATGCTTTTGCTTTCTTTGCCCTGCTATCCCTTGCTTTCACTTGTTTTCCCTTTCACTTGCTTTCCCTTGCTTTCCCTTGCCTTCCTTTGCTTTGCCTTGCTTTGCCCGTGCTTTTGCTTGCTTTGCCTTGCTCTCCCTTGTTTTCCCTTGCTTTCCCTTGCCTTCCCTGGCTGTCCCTTGCTTTCGCTTGCTTGTCCCTGTTTTCTTTCTTTCCCTTGCTTTGCCCGTGCTTTTGCTTGCTTTGCCTTGCTCTCCCTTGTTTTCCCTTGCTTTCCCTTGCTGTCCCTTGCTTTCCTTTGCTTGTCTTTGCTTTCCCTTGTTTTCCCTTTCCCTTGCTGTCCCTTGTGTTCCTTTGCTTTGCCTTGCTTTGCCCGTGCTTTTGCTTGCTTTGCCTTGCTCTCCCTTGTTTTCCATTGCTTTTGCTTGCCTTCCCATGCTTCCCTTTGATTGTCCTTGCTTTCCCTTTCCCTTGCTTTCCCTTGCTGTCCCTTTCTTTCCCTGGTTTCCCTTGCTTTCCCTTGCTGTCCCTTGCGGTCCTTTGCTTTCCTTTGCTTGTCCTTGCTTTCCTTTGCGTTGCCTTGCTTTCCATTTCTTTCCCTTTCCCTTGCTTTCCCCTGATTTCCCTTGCAGTCCCTTGCTTGCTGTCCCTTGCTTTCCTTTGCTTTGCCTGTGCTTTCGCTTGCTTTGCCTTGCTGTCCCTTGCTGTCCCTTGTGTTTCCCTTGCTTTTTTGTTGCTTTCCCTTGCTGTCCATTGCTGCCCCTTGCTTTCCCTTGCCTGGCTTGCTTTCCCCTACTTTCGCTTCCTTTGCCCTTGCTTTCCCTTGGTTTGCCTTGCTTTGCCTTGCTGTCCCTTGCTGTCCCTTGCCAGCTTGACCCAAGTCAGAGCAAACCAACAACTGCACAACCCTCCTGCACTGAATCACATACAGGCAACAACCCAAACCAGCGCCCGTACTTACACACTCCGTGTCGTCTCCCTGCCTGGGACCTGCAAACCAGCCTTGCGGTGGCAGAAAGTGCTCCAAAAAATACTCCCAAAAAATGGGAGAATTTTTCCTGCGACATCCCCAGCATCGCCGACCACCACACAAACTTCCAAAACAAGCGACATCCCCTGCATCCCCGGCATCCCCTGCACCCCTTGTGCGCCCAAGTCCGGCGAGGCCGGAAGCAAAGTAAAATGATGTAAAACTGGCACGCTTTTTGGCCCGCGAGAGCCACAGACGAAAAGGTCAGACATGATAGGCAGCGTCGACGAAAAAGCGCGAAAAACACAGGGAAAAACACCAAAAAGCAGCCTTGCGGTGGCAGAAAGTGCTCCAAAAAAGACTCCCATTTTGGGAGTATTTTTCAGCTGACCAGACCTGCAAATCTCCCGGAACGAGGTTACCCCCCCCCCCCCACCCCCCACAACTTCGTACACTAACTCCCAGCGCTTCAAGAAGCGCTTTCCGTCATCGGAGCACCAAGGATAGCAATCAAAGAGAGATTCATTTCGTAGCCTTGTGGAAGGTGTTTGTGTGGCTCTTGAGTCTCTTGCCTGGCGGAGGTGGCCATGGGTCAACAGCCCCCAGTGAACATCCCAATCCAACCACGAAAATAGACTCAAATGGGTGGTGAATTCTCCTAGCAACCAAAATGGGATCCCAAAACGGTGTTGACCCGCCAGGTTTCTGACGTTGGCCTGTCTGTTCAACCATCCTTCCAGAGGTTTCAGCACGGCAAGAAGCTGAGCTCGGGCTTCTGGGCCGTGCGGGGCCGAGGGGGCCGAGGCTTCTTTTTTCCCCAGCGAAGAGAAGCCGAGCCGGACATCCAAAGGCGGCCCTTTAAGGAAGGAACCTCCGAACGCTTCAATCAAGAGATGCGTTTTTAGGCGCTCTCCGACCTCTCTTTCTTTTTTTGGAGTGAGTTACCCGGGTTTTTGGGTGGTAAAGGGAAGCCAACAGACAGGGAAACCACCCTTTTTTGGGGGCCCCCAAAAAAGACGACGAGCCACCCACGTACTGTATCAGTCAGCGAGACATTTTCGCAGCCGCTTCGGCCCAAGCCAGCCACTGGCTTGACACCAGGCAGGCCTCCCGTTTGCTTGCTCCTGCGACTGAATTGGCTGTGGGTCAAAAATAGGTGCCCAAAATGGGTTGCCCTGGCAAATGGAACCATGGACTAAAACCAGCGCTCTGCTGGTGATTTAATTTTGGCTCATACGCAATTAACGCAGAAGTGGCTGTGGTTGTCAAAACTGTTTTGGGATCCCGTTTGGTTGGTTGGTGCATTCACGACCCATTTTATATTTTAGTGGTTGGATTGGGATGTTCACTGGGGTTACGGGATTTTATTAACGGCCACAGCTGAGCCACGTGCTCCAAACCCGGGGATTGATGAAGGTTAGTAAGGGACGATCCCCTTGCCACAAATAGCTGCGGATATCCGCCTTCCTAATTCTGCACATGGTTCTGGGTAGACCATTTTACTGCCCGGCTTTGACTATGACCCACCATATGTTTTGCAGAACGCGGCTTGGTTTTCTTGCTTATTCTCAACAGGAATGACAGAATGACCCTGCAAACCATCTTCTTTGGTTTCCTTCAAGGGAATCCCAAAACGGTTCATTCCCAACACTTACTAGGTCATTACCTACTGAGAACCAGCCTGTTTAGCTGGCTTCCAAAGGAGCAGCCAAGCTCCTAGCCTAACAGCGGCTTGGGCAAAACATGTACACATCTCCGAAGCGCGGGATCTCAGGTTCACCTCTACGTTTTCATATGGCAGCGCACTGTCGCTGATTACAGCCCTACAGCCCCTGTGCTGAGATCCATAGGAGAGGGCAAGAAACATGAAGAGCTGGAAGGTGGAGTGTCCCAAAAACAGGGTCTCGGCCCTTTGCGAAAGTCCTTAGAGGAGGCATACCCTTTCCTGACACTATAGAATGGGTAACCTTAGACTCATCAAGTTTATAGAAGCTGTCCGAGAGGTGGGGGTGCGCAAGAAAAGCAAGGGCCGTTTTGTAGCCATGAAATTGGGGGACTCAGGGGTTCAAACCAGAAAGAGGCAAGAAGAGAAGAGCATACGCAACGCAAAGGTTTGGGGCATGGAAAAGCTACTGTGAGGGAACCCATTACAAGCAATCATCAAGGCGAGTTCGCTGGAATGGTCCAGGTAACCCATGTCCGTGTCTCAGAAAATCCTGTTCAAATTAGGGAATCGAGTGGCGATCTTGCTGCTTCTGGTTTCGAGCTGTCGCATGCGGGCCTGGGCCGGACCAGTTTTTGTTCGACTGAGGTTGTGCTGTTCCTTGGACCACTTTGATGGGAATGGACCGTAGACCAAAAGAGTTTCGCCAAAAGCTGAGGCGCGCTTTTTTCGCCCCCGACAACAAAAAGGTCGTATCCAGGTCCGAAGTGGAAATAGAGGGCTTGGTGGGGTCAACACCCCGCATCTTCAGGTGTGAAATCAACTTGGTAAGACGGGGAAGGCAAAAAGAAGCTGATCATCAGAGGTGCCCTTAAGATGGGGTTTCCTCAGGTCGACTCGAATCTGGTGAGTTCTGAATATCAGACGCTGTTCTGTTTGGAGGGGCCGCCCAAAGACGGGGGGGCAAAAACAAAATTCCGCGGGCCCCGTGTTTGGTTTTGGACCGAGTCGTGCTCACGCCTCACATGTCTCAGGTCCTTTCGCACCGAATCTGCCTCACGATGATGCGATTGTTTTGGTCGCTTGTGCTGGTTGCCGGCGCAAGCGAGACAGGGCTTAGCCCATTAGCCAAAGACATCCTGATGAGTCTCTCCTCCTCCGGAAATCCCGCGGTGCGAGGCTCAGAGCTGGAGCGTTGCCAGATCAAAGAAGCCGCAGACATCAGCGCCTTTTCTGCGCCGATTGAGGTGATGCGGCGAGATGTGTCTGGAGAAAGGCACTCAGTGCCCCGGCGGGAGGGCAAACATGTGGCCTCGAGCAAAACCCCCGAAAGACGGGTTGTTTTGGACGGCCATGATGTCATGTCATGCTGCGAGATCCGAGGATCGACAGGCCGCGCCTCTCGGCAGAAAAAAGAGACGCGCGTGCCACGCCTTCACGCCGGTGGCGCCGCTTCAGAGTCGCCGTGGTTGATGCACCGAGCATAGGTGTCACTTTTTGGTTGCTTTGGTTTCAAAACAGAGGGCGATTCCTGGTTTCTACCTGGTGGTTCCATCAACTACCAGGGGAATCCATCTATTTTCCCAAAAAAAGACACCTATGGCACTGGGCGCGTGTTTTTTTGGCCATAACAAGTCCGAGGCAGTCCCGTGTGGTAACGAGCCTCAGCACCCTGGCGGACGCCAAGACGCACAAGCTAGGGCCCGATGATGCCGACATGGAGGAGGACCATGCGGAGGCTTAGCAGTGCTCCTTAAAATAAATTCATGTTGCATGCCCATTTGAAACAAGGCTTAATTTTTCAACGCCAAAAACAAACGGGAAGCCGCCATTTACAAGTTGCAATGTTCAGGTGTATAATGCATCTGGATCCCCGCTTAAGGAGGCATGCACTGGCAGATGGGCAGATGCGCCTTCGTAGGAGGAAACCACGACTTTGCCGCCCGACGAAGAAGAAGGTGCAGCAGAGTCATCCACTACGCACCTTTGGCGCGCAAACAAACATACCGCGGGACAAAAGAGATGGGATGCTCGAACATGGCCCGAGTTTCTCCTTTTCTCTTCCGGGTGACTTTTTGCCAGACGCATGAGAACACGGAGAGATCTAGGGATTCCCGATTCTTTTCAACCACCGTTCCTTTCAAAAAACAGCTGTTTCTTTATCCTGGGGTTCTGATGGTTTTCTGGAAAAATTCGGATATCTGGAAAGAATGGAAATGGAAGTGTTCCCTAGATGTATCCAGCACGGCCCTCTCGACACAACAGCGCCTCCGCTTGTTTGACGGATGAGCCATCGAGGTCTGCGGGCGTGGAGGAAGAAACGGAGACGTCGACCGAGGAGGACGCTGGGCCAGTGTATGCAGTGCCATACCTGTCCGTTTTTGCTGGCCAAGATGTCCTCTAGGGATGGCCATTAGGGAAACCACCAAAAGGACGACTTGCTAAATTCTGATTCCCCACTCTTTTCAAGCATCGTTCTTTCCAGAAACCGGCCGTTTTCCCTGGGTTTCCGGAGGTTTTCTAGCAAGATCCGGATCCCTGGAAAGAGTGGACATGGAAGGTCGCCTGGCGAAATGGGAGAAGTTAGCCCTGGTCATTTTGGGGGTGGCTTGGGGGTCGTTTGATCCACCCCCATGGCTTGCATAGGAATCTTCCACAAAGTTGGTCGAGTCCACGGCCTTGCCCCGTTGAAAACAAACCCAGTGGAGCCGATCTTGAGCCATGTTGGACCCTGTTCACATGGCGCGGAAAACCGAGCCATGTTCTGCTCCGAAGAAGTCCTGACGGGCCGTTTCCTCACGAACCCTGGGCAACAAGGAGGGCTGTTTTCTTGTGGGGTTGCACGCAGGAGACGACTCTGGAAGACACGACCACAGAGGACGAGCGGATTGCTGCAATCGTGGTCAAGCCAATTCACGGGCATGGTCGAACGTGATTTTGTCCTTGCTGACCGGATGTGAATTTGCTCACTCGCAGATTTTTGGGCAGGAGGAAGAAACGTCAACTTCCAAAGTCAGGAGAAGGGCTCGCGATTCGTTGTTCCAACTAGTTATCGTGCTGAGCTCGTTGATAGTGTAGTTATTGTGCTGAGCTCGTTGATAGTGTATGTCACGTGCCTGTCGGACGTTGGCACGCAAGCAATGCTCGCATTGTTGCCATTCCGGGCAACGAGATGATTGTTGAGGACAACCACCACGAACAAGACCTCCAGTACAACTGAACCGAAGACCACGACTGGTAGCACGACCAAGTCAACGACTGAGGCTACCACAACTACCAGCCGCAATACTACGGAGAAGGCGACATCTAGCAGCACCACCAAGGCCACAACCACTGAGGCAACTAGCACAACCAAGTACTCAGACACAACGGAGTCGACAACGGAGACGACGACAAAGAAAACCACCACAACAACGAAGTCGACCACGACAAAGTCAACCACGAAGTCGACCACTACCAAGTCGACCACCACCAAGTCGACCACAACAACGAGGCCGACAACGACCACAAGGAGCCATCGCCCAGCGAGCCCGATCCTGCCTCCGGCTGCGCCGAGCCGTCGCCCAGTGAGCCCGATCCTGCCTCCGGCTGCGCAGCCTAAGGCGCGGCCTTAGTGAGAGCGGGCGGGGGCTTGCTCTGGCAGGGGAAGGAGCATGGAGGCCTTTGTAGGTTAGTTTGAGTAGAAATAGATGGCGCTGGCTTGGATTGGTTGTATTCCATGAGCCATTTGTGCTCTTTTTTGGGGGCACCTCTAGGGATATTTGCGGATGTCAGATTATTTTTTTCAAAAGGGCCCCTGGGGAGATTTTCGTGAGAGACTGGACGGGGCTCTCGTGAGGCTTTCGTGCCTCCGGCAACGACCACGCAGAGCCCTGCATACCTGGAGGCCAGCTGAATCGCTCGGGTCAGAAATCAGACATGGAAGGCAGCAAGCGCTGGGCCAGTTGGGAGTCAATGCCCCTGCCCCCTCACGGGGGCTCGTCTTTCTTTGCTTTGGGCGCCACTTTTTTGGGGTAAAGGGGAAACCAACAAGGACAAAACAAGGCATGATTTTTGGGGGTTCCGAGTCCGATTTTGAGACCAAGCCATATTTTGGGTGGTGGCTTTGAAAGTGGTAAAACACTACGTGGAGGTCCTCCCTTCTTGCCCCCAATAGGCTCAAAAAGAAGACAGGGCTTCGGGGGAACTCGCTTCGGGTCAGGTTCGGGGGTCTTATCTAAACTCTTTCCTGCAACGCAATTTGGGGAGTGCGACTTTTCAACGTTTTATCCCAAGCCTGCGAAAAACGAAGAACATCCATCGAGTCAACCGATCTGGACTTCCCAAATGGCAAACCACTTTGCACACCGAATCTACAAGTTCTCAAAGTACCAAGACACCTTGTTTCATAACTCCATGAATACGCTTCCAAGACCTACATCTCGGATCTGACCGGGTCCCTGGTTGCTGTTAGCCACCAAACACCGATTCGGCTCCAAACCAACCAACGAGGGAAGCTGATGTCTCCATGGCACCCCTGGTCAAAACCAATGGTACCATGGGGGATTGGTGAATTTACCACCCATTTTAGGTTACCTAGTGGTTGGATTGGTTGGTGTTCACTGGGGGCTAACCGATTTGGATGAAACGCCCATGGCCACATGTGCTCCGACCGACGATGTACTCCAAGTGGCTGTGGGCTCGAAAAAAAACGGAGCGGAAGCATGGATCAAACCCTGCGGTTTGCCCCATCCTGTTTGATTTTGAGCCACACTCACAAGGGTCCCTCAAAAGTGGCTGGACATAAATCCCCAAACACCAAGAAACTTCCCCATTGAACTTCACCCCCTCCCAATGTTCATCTTCAGGAGCTGCTCACTTGGGTGTGGCTCAAAATTAAACGATCGGGGCAAACCGCAGGTGTTGGTCCCCATGTTTTCCACTTACCGATCGGGCAACCCATTTTGGGGCATTCCGGTTTTTTGGTTGCCACATGGTTTTCCACTTAGGGTTGATTTTGGTTCCGGTTTTTTGGTTGCCACAGCCACTTGGGCACCCCCCCCCGCCCGCCCCACCCCGAGGCCCTTCAGCAAGGCGCCGCCGCCGCCGCGGCCGCGCGCTCCGCCGGGCTCCCGCCTGCGCTGCAGGCGGAGCGCGCCGGAGAGGCGCGGTGGACGACCGGGGAATTTGCACCGGGGTTTTGGGATTTTGGTGTTTTCAGTTGTGTTGTTGTTGTTTTGAGTTCGTGATTATCTTGTTTCCAGTTTTTGGTTGTTTTGTGTTTTCGACTTTGTTTTGCTGTTTTGATGCTTTTGTTGGTGTTTTGCGTTCGTGATTATCTTGTTTGCAGTTTGTGTTGTTTCGTTGCGTTCAGTTTGGTTTTTGCAGTTCTGACAACTTTTGTTGTTGTTTTGAGTTCGTGGTTATCTTGTTTTGCAGTTGTTTGTTGTTTGCTTTGTTCAGTGTTTATGGATTTTGCTTCTTTTATGTTTGTTTTTGTTGTTTGGAATTCGGGATTGACTTGTTTGCAGTTTTTGTTGTTTTGTTTTGTCAGTGTTTATTGTTTTTGGTTGTTTGATAGTTTGGTTGATATTTGTTCGTTTCTTGTTGTCGTTGTTGGTCAATTTTGTGTTGTTGTTTTACTGTGTTTGTGTGCTATTGCTGTTCTTTTGTTGGTGTTTTGCTGTTTGTTTTGTGTGGATTTGGCTTTTTTGAATCAACAAGGTTAGTTTTTTTGTTGTTTTTTTTTGCATTTTTTTGTTTTTTTGTTGCTTTGAGATGGTTTGTAGGTTTGTTGAGTTTTCTGTTTTTTTGGTTTTTCGTTGTGTTGATGATGGCTTGTCGGTTTGATGTTGTTTTGAGGACTTTTGGGTTTTGTTCGTTTGTTGCTGCTTTGTTCGTTTTTGGATATTTTAAGGGTTTTTTTTGTTGGTTTGGTTGTGTTTTTGCTGTTGTTGTTGCTGACCGTTGTTTTGCTTTGTTTTTGTTGTTTTCATGGTTTCTGTTGTTTTTGTTCGTTTTTGTTGGATTGTGTGTTCTTTTTTTCATGTGTTGATGTACTTTTTTGCTTGTTTCGATTGTTTTTGTTGCTTTTGTTTGTGTCTTTGTTCTTTGTTTGTCTAATTGTGTGTAGCTTGTTTGCAGTGTTTTTATTGTTTTGATGTTTTCTTGTTTTGATGTTTTGTTTTTTGTTCGCGTGTTTGCTGGTTAGATGATGTTTGCTTTTTTGATTGTTTTTGTTGTTTGGATCTGTTTGTGGTAGTTGAAATGTTATATTTCTTAGTGTTGATGTTTGTTTGTTTTGTTCGCTTTTGATGCTTTGTCCTTTTTTGATCAATTGTCCATTCTTTATGTTTTAATGGTCTTGTGTTGTCTTGATGGTTTTGTATTTTTATTTTGTTGCTGATGTGTTTCTTTGTTCGTGCGTTTGTTGTTTTCGATGGTGTTTTGTTGGTTGTTTTGTTTTTTTGTTCTCGTTTTTTGTATGTGTCTTTGTTTTGTTTTGCTTGTTTTTCGTTGTTTTGATGTTGTTTGGATATGTGTGTGGTTTGTTTGATGGTTTCTGGTTCTTTCGTTCTGATGAGATTTTGTTGCTTGATTCAGCTTCCGAGTTGGCGGTTTGGTTGGAAGTTTGATCCCCCAGCCATTGATCCCAACGCAGTCTTGATGGCTTCTTGAACTCGTGGTTCACCCTCTCAGCTTCCCCAAAAAAGTGGTTTGGAATGGATGGGATTTGGATTTGAAGCTCTGGTTCTTGTAGAGGGTGAATGGGACACCCCTCATTGACCACCAATCCAAACCACCAGTTAGGAAGCTGACTCTCTTGTTTGGGATCCATCGGCGGCTTGGCTGTCCTGTTCCATTGTTGTTTCGGCTTGGCTTGTTGACTTCTGTTTGGTTTTGTTCATTTTCAAGCGGGGTGGCAACACACATCCGAGCGCCTCGTCTTCTTCTTCTTCTTCTTTTTTTTTAAACCAAGCTGCGGATGGCAAATGCTTAGGTGCCTCAGCTCATCCCACTCCCTTTTCGCATGGTTTTGAAACACTGCCATCATGATGCCCCCTCCACCGTTCTCCCCAGGCAGTCCCTTTGCAGCCAGAGTTTAAGATGTAAATGGCATGGCGCAGCCAAACAGTTTTCAGCCGGAGTTTCGTTCTTTGCGACATGTCCTGAACCCTGTCTGAACCTTGTTGATTGCCTTTGCCACGCGTCCCGAAAAGTTTCCCTTAGGCAACCACCGCGCCCTCTCATGGTCCTTTGATGGTTTCTTCTTATTTTTGGTGGTTTCTGGTTGTGCTTGTTGGCGGTTTTTGGGTTTTTGGGTTTTTGGGTTTTTGGGCGGTTTTGGGGGTGTTTTGTTCCTCCTTGTTTTCCCCGTTTTTCGGCCTTTGAGGCGTTTTTTCTTGCTGGTTTTTGGCGGTTTTGGGTTTGGGGCCTGCCTGGGCTTCTCTCCGCAGGCGGCGCTGGCCAGCGCCCAGGCCACGGGCGTGGCGGGCCTCGAGGCGGCCCGCGCGGCCGGGGAGGCGGCGGCGGGCGCCGCGCGCCTGGCCAGCCTCGGCGCCATGGAGCAGGCGGGGAGTCTCCCTCTATGTAGTTACATACACATATGCAGTTTTTTTCCCTTTAGTATCTGTGGAGTTTCCCTTTAGACCATTTAAACATCATGTATACTGATGATATAGACCATTTACACAGATTAAATGGAGTTTCCTTTCCGTTTTATGGAGTTTCCCTTTAGTATTTGTGCATATGCATGATATATATATATATATATGTATAAATGATTGCTTCATATGTATGGGTGTGGCTCAAAATTAAACGACCGGGGCAAACCGCAGGATTTGGTCCCCATTTTTCTTACCAGCCTTGGGGCCTTGGAGTGCACAGAGCCTGGAAGACGGCAACGTTCCTCGGTTTCATTCGGTTTTTTCTTTGGGCGCACAATTTCTTGGGGGATGTTTCTGGGACCCTGAAAAGTTTCCCCTCACGGGAGGTTCGGTCGATGGCCATGAGCTTTAAGAGTTCGAAGATTCTGAAACCTGGTGGGACGGGCACAAATCCCCGAACTTGGATCGCCGCGAGACGCGGAAGCCGAAGGCCGAGAAGGTTTTTGGTTTTTTTCGCTGGCGGTGAAGCCCTGAGTGTAGGGGTCGTGTGTGTGTTTTTTGGTATGGACGTGGACTTCTGGAGGAACACAATGGGATTGGTTCAGCTTTTGTAGGACACTTCATTTGATGGGATCCAAAGAGCTTGGCTGCTCCTTACGCCTGTTTTAAACAGGCTGGTCAGTAGGTGACCCAGGCTGAAATGAACCGTTTGGGGATTCCCGAGTGAAGGAAACCATTCGATGGATGGGTTTGCTCGGGGTCATTCCATTTCTCATTCTCTGCCAACAAGCTGCGTTTCTTTTTTGGTACTTGGACCTAAAAGGCTTGCCGATCAGGGTGAATTCACCCAACTAGGGGTTCATACCAGGGGTTCAGATATGGACCTGTCAGCCTTTGACGTACCATGTGTCCTTCTTTAGACACCCCCCCCGCCAAATGGCTTTGGTTTTGGGCTTTCCTTTAAAGCCACCAACCAGGGTACCATCAACATGCTTTTTTTTGGTACCACTTTTTTTTCCCCCCTCTCTTTTGGGTTCTGTCGATATGTAGGCCAAATGTTCCGTGACCACCGTTGCCAAAAACGCTTGAGGCGTTTTCAGCAGAGGAACTGATGTTCCGCTTCCGATGTTTTCCTCCAGGTGCGTGCGGCAGTGCTTGCGGCCGAAAGCGCGGCTCAGAAGGCGGGGTTTGGGGCCAGGGTGGATGTTGAGCCTTTGGATAGTGACGACATGAAAGTCAGCGCTCTGACAGGTGGGTGGGCCAGATGAACAGTCCCATCCGCATGGATCTCAATCTGGACTTTGGAGCTGGGCCTTTTTTCTGTCCAATCATGGCCAACTTGATGAAGGTGTCGTTCTCCCACCGTCTAAAGCCACGGCCGACGCGGAAGGCGTTCCCAGGACCCCAGTTCGAGACCTTCGGACCTACCTTAGTCCGAGACAAACTGACCGGGACAGACGGTTTCCCGCTGGACATTTTCGAGAGGGAGTGCAGGTTTTTCGGTTGATCGTTCTTTGAGATGACTTTGAGAAGGGTAAAATCTTCAGCCATAGCCGACTTGCTCACCTTTCGGTCTTTCGAAGTTGGGTCATTCTTAGCCCCCAAAGTTCTTCCCCTTTTCTTTTGGGGTCCAAACTGGGTAAGTGAGCCACAATCAAACTTCGTGCAGATGAAAGTTAAGGGACAATCCCAGCCAGAAATGAGCGCCTTCGCTATCCGCCATTTTAATTCTTGAAACATGGTTTTGGGATGACCATTTTGTATTTATTGATCGGTTTTGATTCTGAGTCACCCAAGTGAGCCATCGCCATCCATCTCTACCAAAAACGGTTCGTTTTTGAGGACTCAAGTGAGATCCATCGCCATCCGTCCATGCCAAAAAGGCCGCAAAAAAAACGAGCCAAAGTCTCAAGGAATCGATCCATCCATCCAAAGTAACCAGGAGTTTCCGCCAAAAAAGCGGACCGAAACCCCACTCCTCGCTCCAAAAAAACCCAAAAGCCCCAACTCCTCGCCGAAACTCGACCGGACCTCCCCGACTCGCGCGCCTCGAGCGCCGCGAGCGCCGCGACCGACTCCGCGAGGTGGGCCTGTCGCCGCAGATCGAGGCCACGGCGGCCGCCCAGGCGGCGCTGCGCGCCGCCAAGGCGGCGGGGCTCACCCGCGAGGAGCGTTGGACGGGACGGCCAGGGCAAAAGACGGATCTTGGGCTGGGTGTTTGCTTTTTTTCGAGGTAATGCCTTGTTTGGTGGGGTTCAAAGGGGTTTGCTGGTATTTTTCCTCTACAAGCCAATGTCTTGTTTGGTATTTTTTGAGGTTTCATTTCATGGGGTGGATTTCATGGCGCGTTCATGGGGCCTCTGACGGGCTGAGGGAATGGGGGACGACTTGGGTTGATGTCATGGTTCTTTGGCTTCACTTTTGGGTCAAGATGTTCGTTTCGGGTGAAGGTTTCAAGAAACTACGGCTCTTTTTCTTGGCAAAAAAGAAGCAAACATGTATCTTTGGGGTTTTGTTTTGGTTTTGGGTGAAGGTTTCAAGAAACGACTTTTCCTTACAAAGCCCAAAACCACTACTTAAAGAATATGATAAGAGTAGCAACAAGCAAAAGCACAAGAACCAGAACCCCCCCCCAAAAAAAAAAAACATGGGAAAAACACGAAACAACAACCTGAGATGGTTTCAAGCTCACTTCTTCGACAGGAGCAGGCGGAGGTCTCCGGGCGCGTGGTGGCGGCGGTGCGGAAGAGTTTGCGGGACGGCCTCGCGGCGAAGATCCAGGCGCGCGCGAAGAGACGAAGAGACGAAGAAGGCGAAAAGGCGAAAAGAGGATGGGTGGCTTGTCTCTTATTTTTGGGGTAGCCCAGGAATGTTTGGTGGAGTTTAAAGGGGTGTGGTGGGACTTTTTAAGGAGGAATGCCTTGTTTGGTGGGTTTTTAAGGGGGGTTGGCGTTTTTTTAAAGGAGTAATGCCCTGTTTCGTGGGGTTCAAAAGGGGGGAATGGCTTGTTTGGTGGGCTTTAAAGGGGTCTAGTGGGTTGTTTAAGGAGTAATGCCTTGTTTTGTGGGGTTTAAAGACGAGAAATGCCAAGAGAAAAACCCGCAAGTTTTGGGGGTCCAAAAAAGGACGAGCCACCCAAGGTGTGTGTGTGTGTGTGTGTGTGTGTCCCTTTGTGGGTTGGTTGAACGGACACCAAAAGAAAACCCGCCATTTTTAGAGGGAACTATGTTGACCAATCCCCAAACTCCAGGAGGTTAGCCCAACACATCCAAAGGGGAAGTTGAAAAAGGCCAAGAACAAATCCCGAGATTTGTCCAGCTTTTTGTCCAGGGCGATTTTCGGCGGTTCACGTTTTCAAAGGCGAGGGGTGAGGGGGCCTTATTCGCTTGAGTTGCCAAAGCGTCGATTCCAGGCATCTTTTGCAGGGCTCCTTAAAGGATACATTTTGCACATGTGAAACATGGTTTTTTCCACCACCATTTACAAGGCAATGTTCAGGTTTACAATGTAAGGATCCCGGTTTTGCCATGCCAGCAATGGGTGTTTCTAAACAGGCCCTTCCTTGCCGAGTTTGTTTCCTGGCTTCCTGTTTGGAGACTCGGCGAGGAGATCCACCAGCAAACCACCACGGCCATGCCCATGCCAGCAAAGTGCCTGGGCTCGACGGTCTTTTTTTTTTGAGTTGGCACCCCTTTTTTGGTGGGTTTTTAAAGGACGCCAGAAAGGACATCCACCATTTTAGAGGGCCCCCCGAAAAAACTGACATCGTGGATCTTCTCTTTGAGTTGGAACCCCTTTTTACAGGTGCGTTTTTAAAGGACACCAAAAGGTTTTAGAGGGGTCTCCGAGAAAAAAAACAACTCGCCCACCTTTTTCCGCACGTGCTTTTCGCCGCGGCCCATTTCCCGAACTTGTGGCCCGGTTGGCGGTTGGGATTCAGAGTGTCCCCTCTCGGAAGATGGGGAACCCCTACGTATGGGATGGTTTTAGCCTTGGTTTCCGCCTAAACCTCCAAGACATGATCCTGGAAACAAAGAGACATGACTCGGTTTCCTGGAGTCTGCCCAATCATCCCTCCGTGATTGTGTACTTGGAGGAAGCCGTTGCGACAAATTGACGAGTTTTTTGGTGCTGTGAAAAAGCGCATGATGTTGGAGGCCCCACAGCAACACAAGATTCCCCGACTTCTGTCCGGCAAAGGGCGCGACTGTGGGAGGGGGGGCACGGCACGTACCGGGCCTATGCACTGGCTAAGATGCGGTTGCTCAGAAGGCCCTCTGGTTGTAATGATTGTTTCAACCAACTCATGAAATCTAGGCTCCTGGCCCCCTTTCAGAGTGCCAAGCTTGCCAAGATCTGAGTTATGTGGCGCCTTCTCCCAAACTCATCGCCTTTCCTTTCAATCTGCGCCAACCTAGAAGCTCCAAAACACGGACTTTCGAGGCAGCGCATGGGCCTTCTGAACCAACCTAGAGGCTACCCACGGGTCGCTTTTTTCTCCCAAAGGACCATCGGTTTTTTGGGGCCTCATGGGCCCCGTGTCCATTCTTTTCATGGGAAGAAGAGATGCAAATAATAAACATGAAGTGATAACACATATGAAAGATGAAGGGAATCAGATAGAACCTGGGCCTGCCACCCTGGTCGCTTTTCTTCTCCCATGGCTGGGCCTGGACGCGTTTTTGTTTCTTGCCCATGCGCCCACGTGGTCTCACCCCCCCGCTCGCCGAGGATGTCCGACGCGGAGGCGCTCACCTCTGCCGTGGCGGCGGCCCGCGCGGCCGCGCAAGCGGCGCAGGCGGCGGACGCCGCGGCACAGGACGCGGTGGTGGCGGCGGCCGCGGGCCCCGTGGCCCGGCGAGTAAACTGCAAGATTCTAAGACTGCTCAACTTCCGGAAAGCAGAATTTGATGGCCCATGTCAGCAACTGGAATCGCTCCATCTCGCCACTTTGGGCAGGACAATGAGCAACACAATCCTCGAAATCTATCCAAGCCAGTTCAAATCACACCGTGTTTCTTTAACGGTCAGCCTGAGCATGTTCGGGGTTTCTGTTGCACCTCCCAAAAAAAAGACATGCAACAAAAAGGCTGGCACCTCCTAACCCACCCAAACAAGCACCCTCCCACCACCCACGGCTTGATGTGTGCCGTCGTTCGCTTTTCAGAGCTGGGGCACTTGGCCTCGAAAGGTAAGCGAGAGCCAAGAACATACCACCATGCACTGTTAAAGATCAATGACCTCAATCCCAGACGGCGCCTGAGGAGTAGAATCCCGGGAAGCCAACATGACTGACGCAGAGGGCGCGACAAATCAAACCAATCCAACAGCCGGGAGTGGGAAACTGGCGGCGAGTCGCCCGCGAGCCGCTCAGGGCGAGAACCGGAGCTTCCCTTTTGGAACGCCTGGGTCACCAGGCTTTCCGAGCGCACCGGGAATGCCGGGTGTGCCGGGCGCACCGGGAATGCCAAGTGCACCGGGTGTGCCGGGAGCACCGGGTGTGCCGGGAGCACCGGGTGTGCCGGGGGTGCCGGGCGTGCCGGCCAGTCCCGGTAGTGCAGGTGCAGGCGGGGCCAGAAAGTTTCAGAAAGAGAAGGGAGAGAGAAGGCGAGAAGGCGTGTTGTATGTATTTCGGCACTGTTTGCAGGCGATGAGGTCTCGTCCGCGCTTAAGAAGCTGGCGGACACCGTGTCAGAGAAGCTTGGCCGGCTCAGAATCGGCCACACTTGCGACCGGGGTGCCCATTGTGTTTTGTGTGATTGGCTGTGGAGCCACGATTTGGATACGGGGCAACACGCAGATTGCAGTCCATGTGTCCATTTACCCCTTACCCATTTGGCCGTGGCTCAAATAAATGTACCAAAACGGCACCTTGGTAAATGGAAGCAAAGACTAGAACCCGCGTACCGCGTCACCAAGCTCTTTAATCTTGAGCCACACCCATGTGGTCTTTAATTTTAACTTTCCGGCAACGGCCTCCCATGTCTAGAGAGCCACGGCCTTGCCCCTCCGAGGACCTCGGCCAAGATCGATGCCTCGAACACCAGGCTGGCAAGAGTGGAGGATATCGAACGCCCCTTGGATTCCAGAGACGCGCGCACAGGTGGGCTTTTCCAAGTTTGGTTCCTGATTTGTGGCCAGTGAGCCAAACTTTGGGGAGACCAAGTGTCCGTTGACAGCCCTTGGCGGGTGGGCAGGCAGGGTTCCGCTTTTGGACTACCCCAAAGTCGACTTAAACCCAGGGGTGGTTGATTTCCCCAAAAGGGAAACCGGGTTGAAGTCTACCTTGGGGTAGACCAAGAAACGGAACCCTGGTGCAAGGTACCATTTGGGGAGCGGTGACCGGCGCGTTTTCTCAGGAGATCTCTCCTTCGAGCTGGGTGCCGTCAGTCATAGCCTGGAGGACCTCAACAGGAGCATGGCGGCTTGGATCGCAGGCATGGGCGTCCTTTTTGGTTCTTTTGCTCGAAAAATGGATGGGCTTCGATTCCTTTTTTTTACCTGGCGGTTTGATTCCATCTACCAGGGAAACCCATCTATTTCTACTAAAAGGACACCTATGCGCCGGTGAGTCATAACCCCGGGTGAATGATAACCACCCCCCCAACCACCTTATTTCAGGTTGGTGAAATATTATAATTCACCCAGATAATCAAAACTAGTGGTCGACCCAGAACCATGCTTTAAGAATTATGAAGGCGGATATCCGCAGCTATGTTTGGGATTGTCCCAATTACTAACCTTCACTTACCCGAATCGGTTTTGATTGTGACTCGGGTCTTTGGCTGGTCCGCGGCAAGGAATGACCGAGTCCGAGTTTCCGGGTAGGAAAAATGACCCCTTGCTTTGGGCACAAGAAAGCAAACCAGTGGTTTCCCCTTAAAGGAAACCACCACGATGGATTTTCTCGGGGTCAGACTCCATTTCTCATTCCCCGAGAACCAGCAAGTTTCTGTGCGCTCCCCCTTCTCTCTTCTTTCCGCTCAGCAAGCCTCTTTTCCAGTGGGTTTTTGTATGTTTTGTTTCGTTGTTTCGTTGTTTCCTTTTTTTGTTGGGGCACGGCTCACGGCCGGCACCGCTTCCGCGGCCCCAAACGCCCCGCGGAATTTCCGAGGCGCTGCCGAACCACTCCGCGTTCAACGCGCCGGGCGCGGCCGCGCCCGGGGCTGCGGGGGGCGTCGCCGGCAGCACCACGTCCGCGCCGGGGCCCGGGGCCACGACGGCCGCGGCCGCGGCAGACGCGGCCACGCCCCCGCCCTTCGCGCCGAATCCGGAGGTTCCGCAGGGGCCCATGACCCAGGTGAAGATTCCGGCATACATGAAGCTCGGCACCGATCTGGAGCCAACCACCAGCAAAACACGCAGGTTTGAGGTTTTTCCGTGACGTTTGTTTTTTGTTTTTTCCGACCCGACATGGGGTGTTATCCAAAATATGTGACCCTTTTAGGACCTGGTGCCGCCGGTACGTGCCGCCTTAAGGGTCCCAACGTGTATGACCAACTTCGTTCCCTCTCAGGGTCTCTCTCCAAGCACCAAGAAACCACCAGGTGTTCGTCCTTTCCAGGCGTTTGATGTTGGGCCCCTTGGCAGCCGGCAAGCCCTTTTGGCGGAAACCCTTTCGCGCCCCATCCGCCTCAGGGCCTGAGCCACCTCTCAGCCAGCCGCTTCCCCAGGAACGCCTCGGAGTCCCCGAAGTACTGGACGCAGTCCGGGGACGTGGCGCCCAGCCGGGTGATGCAGCGCCTCGGCTTCTCGAGAAGTCGCGAGCCGTGGGTTTGGGTGGGACGGATTTTAGAAGGACCTAGAGTCTCCGTGAGCCTTAAAAAATGGGTCCATGACCGCTTAATTTTGGGTAGTGACCCCATGTTTTAAGGGTCGCGGAGACTCAGGGAGACCTTTTTTGTGGTGCGAGGCCCAAAGGTCCCAAAAAACGTCTGTTTTCCATGGGTTTCCGGAGGTTTTCTAGAAAGATCCGGATCCCTGGAAAGAATGGGGAAGGTACCTCTAGAACAGCATGTTGGAGATCTTCACTTAGACTTGAACATTTCTGATATCGGAGACTTTCAGTTAGATGTGTACTTCGGCTTTTCACGGGAAGTAGAGCGCATTTGAGAAGAGACCTGGCTACGCCAAGCGCTTGTGTTGCCTTGAGACGGCGTTCAGGAAGCCAGTCCACCCGCACAACAACCAGGAGGTAGTGATCACAGCAGCGGATGTGGCGACAATGACCCCGGAGCAGGTGGGAAGCCGGGTGCGTCCAATTTTTTGGCAGACCCCAAAATGGCTTCGGTTTTCTTGGTGTCCATTCAAAACCCACAAACAAGGGGGTACCAACTCCAAAAACAAACAAGACAGACCCGCATCCTTGACTGCTGTTGGGTTGGATTTCTAGACTTCAACTTTTTGGAAAATCAAGTTGGGTTTTCCACTAAACCCACAAACAGTTAAACACTTTTTGCAGAGGGGTCGTTGCAGCAACCAAGCCATTTGCGACGCACTTTCAGCATTTCGTCCCTTGCCATTGCCTTGGACCCGGTCAGGTGGCCACCATGCTCACGCGCGACCGCGAGCTGCTCGCAGCTGTCACCTCGAAGCTTGGCCGAGACGCAGACTGGGCAGGCGAAGATGTCGGACATGCTATGTATGTATACACATAGTTACATATATATATATAGAGTATCATTGTATTATTATGATTACTATTATTGTTATCATTATTAGTATTAATATTAGTATCACCATCCTCCTCCTCTTCCTCCTCATCCTCCTCCTCCTCATCCTCATCGTCATCGTCATCGTCATCGTCATCGTCATCATCATCATCACCATCAGATTCATACTCATATTCATATTCATATTCATACTCATATTCATATTCATATTCATATTCATCATATTCATGTAATGATATTATAATGTCATATCACATATTATATATATATATATTATTTCATGTTATGTCATGTTAAACTATATAATACCGTATACATCGAATCTCTCTCTATATATATATAGTAGATGTATATATATATATATGTATATATATATATATGTGCACAGGTACTGGCATACTTATTGAGGCATCCTCCATTTACACATGTTAAACCAAGCTTCGACTTCGAGGAAGCTGGTGAGCGGCAAGCGCCTGGCGGACTACGTCTTCGACACCGACACGGCGAAGCTGCCGAAGACGGGGCCCACGGACCAGGCGCTGGACGCCATCCTGGAGAACCCCACGGTGGCCAAGAAGGCGCTGAAGCTGACCCTCACGGCGCTGGGCAAAGGCCCGGAAGTGGGGCCCGGGAATCCGATCTTTGGGAAGTGTTTTGTTTTTTTTTGGGGGGGGAAGTTCTTTTTTACCATGTCTTTGAGCCACATGTTAGGCATTTAAATGGCTCACTATGGTGGTATTATGCCTTCAGATTTTCCTGATTTACCCAAGATATGTTTCACCCTTTAACCATTTTGCCCTCCATTTTCCACCTAAGATTTGAGCAAGTTTGGTACCCTCCTACCCACTAACATCCCAGTGTCAAAAAGGCCCTTTCTGAGAGGAAAGTAGTCTTTCTACAGGGGTTTGTGCACTTCCATGTTAGCTGGTGGGATTTTGGCACATGTTTTCGAGCCACAGCACTCTCAAAACCCGGGTGGAAGGTGAGTACAGGGCAGAGATCCGCCAGAAGAATCGGTACGGAGATGACGCCTTTCATTTTTTCTTGAAGCGTAGTTCTGGGTTTGCCATGTTTGTGGTACCGATCGGTTTTGAGTGTGACATTACTTGCTTGGCGAGGCGGTTTGGCCCCTGGATCTCTTTAAGTAAAAAACAGAAAAAGATGAGAGGCATGAAGACGCTGTCCTCCGGCAAAGAGCTGGCAGATGATCTCTTTGGCGCTGACACTTCCCACCTGAAGCTTGCCTGCAGATGGTCATCCGGGATTCTTGGTGAACCTTTTGCAAATCCTGGAATTGGGGAGGGGGGGGGGGGGTTTGGGATTTCCCCGCCCCTTCCGTAAAAAAAAAGGGGGTACAATGGGACAATTGGGGGGATTTCCCTGCCCCTTCCGTAAAAAAGAAAAGAAAAGAAAGGCGGGGGACAAAAGGACACCTCGTCATAAGCCAAGGGATTGCTTTCGAAGATGCCTCCCTAAGGATTTCGGAGGAGGTGCCAAAAGAGAGCGAGGAGTTCCCTTGGAACATGTTCGGCAGGGAGGAGAAGGAGAAGGCGAGGTTGGAGTGTTTTTTTTTTGGTTTTTTCTCCGGGGGACCCACCCGCTCGCGTTTTGCAAACTGAGTTTTGGAAAATGTCCGCTTCTTGAGCCACCTAAAAAGAAGGCCCCCTTTTCGCACTGCGTTGTTGCCTTGCACGCATTTCCTTGGGCGCTGTTGTCATCCCAAAGACTTGGGTCATGTGAAACCAGTGGGGTTCGCTTTTGCTGTGTAGACCTTGCGCTTTGCTCGCAGGTGATGAGCGACTTGCCCAAGACGCCTCAGGCCCCGGGGGTGGGTCCCGATCCGGGGGATGCTTTGGGCTCTTTGGGGCTGTATCGCTTCTCCTTTCCTTTCGCTTTCTGCTCTCCTTTTTTGTTTTTGCTTCTCCTTTTGGTTGAAGGGGTCCATGGGACATGTGATGGCCGGCGTATTTCCCAAGGAAATGCTTCCCAGATGTACTTGCCAAGCGCAGTTCCCAGATGCATTTTCCAGTTGTATTTCTCAGGTGTACTTCCTAGATACACTTCCCAAGTTCATTTGACAGGTGGCTCTTGGCCCATTTTGGCCCGCCCCGATCAAGCGCTCGTCAGGGCCCGCCGCCTGGCGTGCAGGGCGTGGGCGGCGGCCTGGGCGGCCTCGGCGGCGTGGCGGCGCCGAGCGAGGCGACGACCACCACCACGACGACGCAGAAGAAAGTGCAGGCCGGGGATCAGGGAAAAAACCAACTGGCACCAGGGGATACGGGAAACCAACTAGCAGGGATAGAGGGGGAACCAGGGATTACGGGAGGCTTCCCCCATGCACCTTGAAGTTTGAGATGGGAAACGGCGCCAGGGAATCCCCCCGTATCGGGACCCGCTGGTTCATGTGTCCCAGGGGAAGCCAGCAGCGCGCGCCGGTCTCTCCGTGTTTCTCGGTGTCTTTTTCGGGCATGTGGTTCCACTTTTTTTTGACCCCAAGATCAGACTTCAACCCAAAAGAGTTCCTTCCCCTTTTGGGGTTTCATGAAAACCATGGGTTTCAGTGGGGAAAGTCAGAAAGTGGAATTCCCAGCCTGCCATCCACCAAAACCGCCATGGGGCGTTTTTCCCGCCAGATGCTGGGCATCGACATGCCGGACAAGGTGCGGATGCTGGGCCCCGCGGACATCCCCGGGGTGAACCAGATCCCGCTGGTGCGGGACATCCGCATGCCGGACCTGCCCAACCCCTTGGGCTGGCTGCGGTGAGACAAGCAAGGAGAGGACGGGGGGCCAACACTGTGTTTTATATGTGTTGGTTCGCGCTTTTCTTGCTCAAGAGCAGTAGGAAGCAGTTCAGTTCCAGTAAGATCTGCAAAAAGCATGTCAGTGCCAGTTGCCATTCAGCCCAACTGACCCCTCCCGGAATTTTGCCTCCGAAGTCTCCGAATGGTTTGTTGCGATCACTCAGGCGCAATGCAGCCTGGAAGTTACTAAGTGGCCGGAGAATTGCTTTGGTGACTTTGCGGCGCAGGACGACTCTCAAAGTCTTGCTGAGAGGCGCTTCTTATTGGCAGATTGGCTGTCGACAAAAGGCCGCGTACGTGACCGGTTGGCAGGAAGGCAAGGGGAGCTGTTGGCGTTTGCAAGTTCGACAGCTGCCACGGGGAAACCCAGGCGCGGTACCAGAAAGGTGCCGGAAAGGTGAGGCGAGAGAATCCAGGCGAAGCCTGGACGGGCAAAAAAAAAGGGGCCGGAAAGCGCGCTTGCGAAGCGAAACTTGCGATCGGTGCGAGGGATGCAGGGAATGATAATCATGGAATGGCCCAACTCTAAACCATCCAACTTTTGTGGTTTCCTTTAAGGGAACTTCAAAGCAACTGGGTTCATTCCAACTCATTCCCTAGCGATCGCACCGGCAAGTGAGAGTACAACTTTGCGGCTCCTTGCGGTCGCGGCTTGCGTCTGAGGACTCGCTCGTGGGGCATTCCCGGGTCCTTGGCAAGAACAACGTGGCAAGGCGACCAGTAGCGCATATTGCGGGCCACTCAGATTTGGGGATCGTCGTTTTTTTTTGGGGGGCGCCCCCCAAGATGGAGTGTTTTGTTTTTTGTCTTTTGGTTTCCCTTCAAAACCACTCCAAAAAGGGTACCCCAAAAAAAGAAACAGAGCCAGTTCTAGTGACACGTGGTGCTCTCATTTTTGAGATGAGGTGGGCGACCTACCACCCAAAGACACGCTCCTGTCCCTGGAGCAGGTGCCAGACAAGGATATGAGGCTTGATCAAAAGGTGCTTCATATACCTGGGCCGGAAATCCAGTGCTTGCAGAGCCGTGGGTGAAAACCAATGGTACCATTTTGGGGTAGATGCACCACCCATTTTAGTCTATTTTGGTGGGGATTGGGGATGTTCGCTGGGGGTACGGGATTTTGACCCATGAAGCTGGGAAAAGCTACCCATGGGTCGTGGCGGAGGGCGGTTTGGGGACATTTGTCTCAAGCCCCGTTCCGCGAGGTGCGGTCGCTCTTCGCCGCTGCGGGTACGGCCATGCAGCACCTTTTGAACCTCCAGGACGGAGTGACCCAAGGGCCCCCAGCCGTGTGGGGGGTTGATCAAACACTTCCACCGCCAAATGGCCATGACCATGGGGTAACCTTTCCCATGTCGGTTAACATATCACATCTTTTTGGGTGGTTTTCCACCCAATGGTCATCCCATGTTTACCGGAGCTTTTGATCAACCCCCAGGTCTAGGCGAATCAACTTGCCCGATGTCGCCTGAAATACTTGTTCCTTTGGTCTTTCTACACGAGTGCCTCTCACCGAGCCGCTTGAACACGTTCCGTCGGTTGCTGTTTGGACGACAAGGATGAATGAGATTGGCTGCATACAGAAACCCCAGCCTTCAACAGCAACCACACACACACACACACTCACACAGAGTCTCAGATTGGAGCAAAAAAAGTTCACCAACTTCCCCAAAAAAACTGGTGGTTCTAGCAGGTCCTACCTAGATAGCCAAGTTGCTGCTTTTTTCAGTCACTGTTGCTGCTTTTTGGGGTAAAGTTGTTAAAGTGCATGAAAAAGCGAAGGAGCAGCTGGCGATCCAGGTAGGTTTTCGTCTGCCAGCACCGAGGTCACCCGCCAGCCAGCCACCAGGGTTCGACATTGTGCGTCGACAACAGGGACCCTACAACGACAGTTTCAAGCGTAGGCGGTCGTTGTTGTTGGTGCTGGTTGGCATCCCCCGCTTTTGTGATTCCCGCAAGGGCAGCCAAAGGCCGACCACGTATCTTGATGCCTTGTTTTGCCAGACACCCCAAAGCTTTTCTGAAGACTCAGATTCTCCCCAACAAAAAACAGCCCAGTTGTTCAGCCACGCCGGGCTCCTCTTCCCATTCGTTGCCCCCCAACAGCACGTTGCCCCCCCCCCCCCACCACCGGCAACTGGCCGCCGGTCGTGGCCGCGCAGCCCGAGGATGGCCTGGCGGGCCCTGCGGCCCTGGAGCTGGACGCCTCGGCGGCGCCGGAGCTCATGGCGCAGGGCGCCCCATGTTTTTCTTCTTTTGGGCGGGGCTCGTTTTTTTTTTTTTTTTTCATGCGGTTCTTCTTTTTTTGTTTGTGGGGGGGGGGGGGAAGTCAGAACTCTCAAGACTTGGGTAGTTAGAAGGTTCGTGCGGGAAAGCATGGAAGTACACAGTAGGCCCTCTCCAAGAGGAAAGTCGTCTTTCTACAGGGGTCTGTGCACTTCCATGTTAGCTGGTGCGATTTTGGTACATGTTTTCGAGCCACAGCCGCAAAACCCGGGTAGAAGCTTCGTGCGGGACAGCCCAAGGCGGAAATTGTTGCGGCCGCCGTTTAAGTTCTTGAAGCATGGTTCTGGGTTCACTATTTTTGTTCGATCGGTTTTGATGATGGCCCAGTTCGCTTTTTCGTTTGGTCGTTCGGTCGTTCGGTCAGGAGATACAAACAAAGAAATGCCGTGAGACGCTCACCGGGTGACCTTTTTCCCGGGTGTCAAAGGAGATTAGATGGCTTTTGATGGGGAATGTCTTGACTTCATAGGTTTCCACCCAGGTTCGATGGCCATGGGCCAAGGATGGCTTTTGGACCAAAACCAAAATTGCAAGTTTCAAACAAAAGCCAGACAGCAGCCACGGGACAAAAAGAACACCGCCGGGCCGGGCCGGGGGGTTGGGGTTCGGGGCGGGGGTTTCTGGTGATGGTCAGCAGCTTGTCAAGAAGAATCCATGGAGACAACCCAAGTTTTAGGTTGGCTCGTGAACGTTGACCCAAATCTCACACTCATGGCTCAGAGCCAGCCGCCTCTTTTGGGTTCTTTTGGTGCGTGTTGTGGGTGCTTCCCCCGAATTCCCCCAACTTCCCCCAGCTCCTCCCCTCCGTAGCCACCTCTTCTGGCGTTTTTGGTGCGTTTTTTCTTTTTTTGTGTGTGCGTGTGTGTGGGTGCGTGTTTTGGGTGTTTCTGGTGCAACTTCCCCCAAGTTCCCGTTCCCCCCAGCCGGAGCCGCCGCCGGAGCGGGGCCTCAGGCTTTGGGCCTCGGATCCGGAGACCTGGCGAGAGCGGGAGCCCGAGCCGTCCGCTGCCGAGAGGCGCCCGACGTTTTTGGGGTGAAAACAGTTGCTTGGTTTTTTCAGATCGGTGGGTTTCGGGCGCGGGGCGTACTTTTTTGTGTTGAGGGAAGGTCTTGGCCCTGGGATTCTTTGCAAGGCATATGCAAGGCAGAAGGCACAGAAGGCACAGAAGGCACAGAAGGCACAGAAGGCAAAGCCCGAAACGAATCCCAAAGTCCGGCAAACAGACCCGGAAAGGGCAAAGCAGTGACCTGGCACCTGGGCACCAGCTTTCACGGGTTCCCAATGAAACCCCTCGAGTTTTTCCAGTCCGGATGTCTCAGGAGTGAGGCTTCTGCGGCGTTAGCGGCGACTCCCAAGGCCTGAGAAGGATTTTCCCGTGCCGGGGGGTCCAGGTGGGTGGCTCGTCTTTTTTTGGAGTTGGTACCCCTTTGTTGCTTTTAGAAGGGAAACCGACCTGGACAACCGTTCTTTTGCCATTTGGGTGGGGGGGGGAAAGGCAACCTTGGAGAACAGACGCACCTTTCGTTTTTTTCCGCGATTTGCGGGGCCGGGGCGAGGGAAAACACATGAAAACACGACTCACACCCCTTCGCCAGTTGCGTGCCCTGGAACTCTTCCAGCGCGTGTCATGGGCACCCTGGCCGCATGCGAGGAATATACGTGGACCGGGTCTACGGGGACCCCTCGAAGGGATCGGCTGTTCGCAGGTGCGCCTCAAAATGTTGGCTTCCTATGTTTACACACACCACAACGTAGGACGTTAGGATGCAGACTGGATAGCCCTGACTTGCGACATGGAAGCAGACTGGAGGCAACTCCGAAAGGAGCACCTTCCAGCCATTGCAGGCAGCGTGAAGGGCAGGCCACAGGTTGAGCCACCGAGGCCCAGCTGGACTTGGACCTGCACTCCCAGAAGGACTCGAGCCTCGAGACTGCGACGATTTCGGCTTCGAGAGAAGCATCGACTTTGGTGAAATTTCACGACTTGGGCAAGACTTGAAGCAGATTGGACGGGTGACCCCGATTTTTCTCCGTGATGGGACACAGGGGCTGGAGTGAGGAGGGTTGGTGGTTATGGGTGGCGGGTGTCTCTGAGCATTGAACAGTCGTGCCATGTTTGGAGGGCGCCCTTTTTGTGGTTGGTTCAGGAGGAGGGCAAAGAAGAGAAGCCCGGCATTTTAGGGAGCGCCCCAAGGGAGCAAACCACCATTTTCGTTGGCCAACCGCCATTTCCTTACAGGAGGCTCCGTCCGAGCAGATGCTGCTCGAGCTGGCGAGGCGGCGCCTCTCCAGCGAGCAGCTCGCGGCGGTGCTGCCGGACTTCAACGAAGACGTCGAGGGAGGCGCGGTGGAATCTTCGCTTCGAACGGGGGTGATATTTGGGCGGCTCCTCCTTTCTTGGGGGGATGGTATACCCTCGTGTTTGGTGGTAGGGAAACCAACAGCAGGGCTCCTCTTTTTTGGTTGGATGGTACTTTCAGAAGCTTGGTACAGGGAAACCAACAGGGTCCAACGCTGAAGACACACCCATTTCGCAGCCCAACCCAGGGCAGTTTGATTTTCCAGGGATGGAGAGTATGTTGGACTGGCCTTGAAGCCGGTGCTGGATCGGTTTTTGGGCAGAGACAATTCAAGAAGTGTTTTCATCCCAAGGGCTCTGAGGTGTTTTCCCAAACCTTTTTGGTTTTTCTCCATAGTCCTGGACTCTCAGTCGCTCGGAACCCGGGTAATTGGAGGGCAAGGGACAATCCCCATAGATGGGTGCTGGGTGCGGATGTCCGTGGTAGTTCTTTGCATCGGTACATGGACAAATCCCGGGAGTTGAATGACTCGATCGGCACATGGGGCGGCGATTGGAATGAGTTGGAATGAACCCTTTGAAGTCCCCTGAAAGGAACCCGTTGGATGGTTGGTTTGGTCATGTAGGGAATGTGGTTGAATGAATCCAGGTGCCTTGGTCCCCTAGGAAACCACCTAAAGTGGGATAGCTTTTCTCGGGGTCAGACTCCATAGCTCGGGCCCTGCATCGACCTCGTGATTGCGATCAGTCGCTTGCACTCCAGGCCTCGGCAGCTTTCGTGGCCCCTTCTCCAGCGGCTTCGCGCTGGGGGAATACGTGCCGCTCTGGAAGGAGGCCAGGTGGCACGGTGCGCGCACCTGGGCGCCGCTCGCTTCACCTGCTTCCCGTGTTTTTTTGTTCTTTTCGGGTTGGGCGTCTCAGTTTTGGGTGTCTTCTTTAAGGGGACCCAAAACCCCAAACTGGCTTCATCTAGTACCCAAAACGGCTCAAGCGCAAATTTCACGTACCAGTGGCGGGTGCTTCGTTTTTCTTTTTCCTCTTTTTGGAAACCCCACGTCCCATTAAAAAACCAAATGGCTGTGGGTCAAAAAATGGGGCAACCCCAAAATGGGTTGCCCTGGTAAAAATGGAACCAACCGCTAAAATCTGCGGCCTGATTCCCGGTGGTTTGATTTTGACCCACGCCCAAATCTGCGACGTATTTTCGGCTTGTGGTCCCTTGCCACTGGACCCGGTCAGGTGGCTACCCTTTTGAACGTCTCATCGTAAAAAAGGGGGGGGGGAAACGGAAAAAGAAAACAAAACACAGCAACAACAAAAAAAGGAGCCCCTCCCTTGGAGTTCGGTTTTCGGTTCTAGGTCTTGGCCGCGGACCTCTTCGAAGCCTTCCAGGCCCGGCAACGTTGACGCGGACGGTGTGGAAGGCTTCTCGAAATTGCGTGTTTTTTTGTTGCATGTAGTTTTTTTTGTTTTTTGTGTGTGTTGAAGGCTTCTCGAAATTGTGTGTCTGTGTGTGTTCATGTCTTTTCTTGTTTTTTGCCCCTCTGTGGGGGGTGGTTTCTCCCTAGCTCGCCATTTAAAGAGGGTCTGGTTGAAGATGGTCACTGCAATTTTTCCAACGAATGCAGCAGCCAAAATCGAGCCAACGGCGGGATCGATCTGGCTTTCGCCGAGATCCCCGCGCCTGAGATCTCTTCCAGATTTTTTCCCGAGAGCAGGGCTCGTTTTTTTTGGGGGGCGGCAAAATCCAAAGAGCTTGGGGTTTCGCCAGGTTTTTTCGCCTTCTCCCTTTGCCAAGGCGCCATTGTACATAGGGGACAGGTTTTAGTCCTTGGTTCCATTTACCAGGGCTCCATTGGCTCCAATTAGGGTAATTTTTGACAACAGCCACATGGGTGTGGCTCAAAATTGAGCGATCGGAGGGGCAAACCGCAGGTTTTGGTCCATGTTTCCACTTGCCAGGGCAACCCATTTTGGAATTCCGGTTTTTGGAGCCACAGCCATTTAGGGTACCCATTTTTGACAACAGCCACATGTTTTGGAGCAGATCCATTTGAGAGAAGAGACTCGCCATCGCTCCGGAGACGCCTCGGAGGGCATGGACGCCTCGGAGGGCCAGCGCTTCCGGGACAGCGCTCGACGCGATCGGTCGGGGTTTGCTCGAGTCGAGCCAGGAACTTGCGAGTTACTGCTGGCTGGAATTATTCTAGATGTCAGATGTTGGAGCATTTTACTTTAGTCAGATTTGAGCACAGATCTTGCTTGGACGTTCTTTGCGACTCAGCTTGTGACGCATTCGCAAGTGTTTTTTCTCTCTCTTTTTTTTTCCTCGTTTCCCTGGCATGCCGTGTGAAGGTGCACGGTCCGAGCCTTCAGTCACGGCCTCGGGACCATTGCTTGGGCAATGTGATATTTCAAAGGCACCAAGTTGAAGGGCAGCACAAAGGCAAACCTGGGGTTGATCAAAAGGTCCATTGAGCAAACACGGGGTTGAGGGAAGCCGCCAGACAGGTGCAAGACTTTCACTAAATGGGGAAAGGTTACCCAGGCCATTTGGGGGCCAGAAATTTAGATCAACCCCCATTTCAACCACATGGGACAAGTTGCCCATGGTCATTTTGGGGCCGTTTGGGGAACATTGATCAACACCCACATGTAGACCACTTCGCCTGTGAATGGAACTCGCCATGCAAGTGCACGTCTACTTGCCCAGTGGAAAGAGCTGCTCCGTGTCGCTGCCTCCGGAGTCGAGCATCCGTGAGTTGAAGGCTGCGGCGCAACAGCAGTTGAAGTGCCGTTTCCTGGCACTTGCTTTCAGAGGGCAACAGCTGGATGTTTCGTCTGCGTTGGGTGAGGTAGGCGTGCGAGACGGAGAACACATCGACGCCATCATGCAGTCGGTGAGGTTTGCTTCCACAGCAAGCTCTTTTGCATTGTATGTGCCAGGAGGAACTGCGCTTACGTGGGGCAATCCTGGCCATGGTGGTGACAGCAGCGAGGTGCGAGAGAAGTTGGTGCGAGTCCAGCAGATCCAGGGAACTTCCTCAGCCTTTGCTGCCATAATGGAAAACGGCTCTGTGGTGACTTGGGGCAAGCCTGACTTCGGCGGCGACAGCAGCGAGGTGCAAGAGCAGTTGGTGCGAGTCCAGCAGATCCGAGCAACTAGCCGTGCTTTTGCTGCCATCCTGGAAAACGGCTCTGTGGTGACTTGGGGCAAGCCTGCCTGCGGCGGCGACAGCAGCGAGGTGCGAGAGCAGTTGGTGCAAGTCCAGCAGATCCGAGCATCTTACGCTTCTTTTGCTGCCATCCTGGCTGACGGCTCTGTGGTGACTTGGGGCGATCCTGGCTTCGGCAGTGACAGCAGCGAGGTGCGAGAGCAGTTGGCGCAAGTCCAGCAGATCCAAGCATCTTACTCTGCTTTTGCTGCCATCCTGGCTGACGGCTCTGTGGTGACTTGGGGCAAGCCTGACTTCGGCGGTGACAGCAGCGAGGTGAGAGAGCAGTTGGTGCAAGTCCAGGAGATCCGAGCAACTAGCCGTGCTTTTGCTCCCATCCTGGAAAACGGGTCTGTGGTGACTTGGGGCAAGCCTGACTTCGGCGGCGACAGCAGCGAGGTGCGAGAGCAGTTGGTGCGAGTCCAGCAGATTCGAGCAACTTGGCGTGCTTTTGCTGCCATCCTGGAAAACGGCTCTGTGGTGACTTGGGGCGATCCTGCCTGCGGCGGCGACAGCAGCGAGGTGCGAGAGCAATTGGTGCAAGTCCAGCAGATCCGAGCAGCTGAGGGTGCTTTTGCTGCCATCCTGGAAAACGGCTCTGTGGTGACTTGGGGCAGTCCTGCCTTCGGCGGCGACAGCAGCGAGGTGCGAGAGCAATTGGTGCAAGTCCAGCAGATCCGAGCGACTAGCAGTGCTTTTGCAGCCATCCTGGCCGATGGCTCTTTGGTGACTTGGGGCAATCCTCACTTTAGCGGTGACAGCAGCAAGGTGCAGACTTATCTTGACTTCTTGTGAGACAAAATTGCTCACCCTGTTCTGCATCCCCCAAACATGCAGAGCAAACAACAGCACCAGAAAACTTGCTGCTGCGATAGGCAGGGAATGAGAAATGGAATGACCTCGAGAGAAACCTTCAAGAACCAACCCTTTGGTGCATTTTGCTTGGATGTTAGGACTTGAACTTTTCTTTTGCCAACTAGTGGGTTTTCCGTATAAACCACTAAAAGTTATTTTCACTTGCAGGGCTTCGCAGAAAGCAACCAAGAACCAACACGGTTCATTCCCAACACGGGTTGCCCGCAACGACGTCTCTCGAACCGACCGCCGGTGGATCGAAGGCTCCGGCAAACATGGGACCATCGCTTGGAAAACCACCTAAAGAAAGATCCGACATGTCACCAACATTGTGACCTGGGCTTGTCTCAAAGTAGGGCTACCCCCCCCCCCCCCCCATTTTTTTTTATTGCTCTCTTTTTCTTGGTTTTCCTTGAAACCAACCCCCAAAAACGGGTTCCCCACAGAGGAGGCCCTGCTGGCGCCGGGCGCGGGCCGGGCGCCGCTGAGCGCCTTCCGGGACTTCCGGCGGAGGGGCCCAAAGGCGCGAGGGCTCGAGGCGAAACCGCGGCGAGGCGAAACCGAAACCGAAACCGCGGTTTCGAGCGTAAGACCAAAGCCAAGGGGCCCAAAATGGCGTTTTGGGGTCAAGAAACGAAACCAAGAGATGGGAACTGCAGGTCTTCGTCTCATGTTTTTTTTTTTTTTACATTTCCCAGGGTTTCTGCTGAAATTTGATGCCCAATTTGCTCCCCCACGCCCGCCTCAGGGCGCGAAGTGGCTAGTGATCATTCCATGCAGGTGGCTCCGCTGCTGACGCGTCTTGGGCTGAAGCGGAAGTGAAAACCGAGCGCTTGTGATGCACCGGAGGACAGGCGCAGCTTCGCGGTTTTGGCGGGTCTCTTCTGACTGTGCATGTTCGCGTCATTCTTTTAGATACGGCTTGTATGCTTTTGGATCTTTAAGTTCGTGGCATGGTTGGATTGTTGCGCATCTGGCACTGTTCTTGAGTTTCTCAAGATGAACTGTTTTCGCGGTGTCGCGGTTGTTTGGAAGCACAACATCCAGAGCTCATGGCTTGTTTTTGTTTGGCTAACCCCAGTAATTATGTATGTTTTCTGGTAAAGTGCATGAAGCGAGCTTTGTTGCGCACATGCTTGACTGCTCCTATTTGAACACCTTTGCCCTTTGGCTCAAATGCATCCCGTCGCAGATATCCCGTGCAGGTGCGGCCCGCAGTTCTTTTTTTTTTCAATACTCACGGCTGAACATGTGTATACCCAACAGTCTAGGGCTACCTTCCCCATTCTTTCCAGGGATCCGAATCTTGTCAGGAAACCATCTAAAAAACCCAGGGGAAACCGGGCAAGCGAGTGCGCCCATGCAAGCTCTGCCCATCCAAAGCTTGGCCGTCGTAGCCGGATTCTTTTTTCACGAACGTTCGACGTTCGGGACCCGGCTACCAAATTTGAAAATGGTAAGGACCGATTCCCCGGTTCCGTCGAACGGCTCCGGCTGAGACAAAAGACGAATTGGAGGCCAAGTTGAAGTTCTTGGTGGCTCCCAGCCATCCGGTTCCTTAGCCTTTTAGATCTTTTTAGTGTTTCGTGCTTGGAAATTTACACTTAACTATTTTATCTCTAGAACACCTTTGGTTTGACGTATTTTTTCGTGTTTAGAGGTTAGTTCGTCACTTTTCGCGGATCTGAACACCGTTTTCAGCCCAGAGACGCCTTGTCGTTTAGCCCTCGCCTCGATGGAACTGCAGGCGGTGCGCACGTCTCGAGCTTCGAGGCGGCGCAAGGGCTGCGACGGCGAGGCGCGCTGCCTCGGGCGCCGCGAAGCGGCCCCCCCCCCCCCGCCCAAAGAAGAAGCGGCCCAAAACTTTTGGGCAGTTCCGGGGTGTCCGGTTCCGGTTCCGGTTTTTCGGTGGTTTTTAGGTTGGTTTCGCGGCTGGTTTCGTTTCTTGTCTCATTTTTCAATTTCACCCGTTGGTGAACCACTTTGAGCGGATCTGAAGACGGACTTGGCCCAGTTTTGTGGCGCACTTGGCGCTTTGGGACCCCTGCGATTTCGCGGTGGCGCTTCCGGCACAAAACCAAACCTCAGGATGAGCGTCCTGGACTCACTCCACGATGAGCTGCGCGTGGCCTGGCAAGGAACAGAAATCTGAGGCAAACCGGCGGAGGAACGGCCCCCCCCCCCCTTCCCTCAAGGTTGACAAGGTTTGGGAAACCGGATTTTGGAGGGAGAAACCCGGGCGTCTAAAATCAGAGGGGGTTCACCAATCACGTTCTAACATTAAGGGAGTTGCGATGGCGGGGACTTTTTGACGAGGTAGTCCTATTGGGGCTTTTGAAGGGGTTATACTGTTCTACTATTATTTTTTTTGCATCTGCAACTCTACGGGTTGGACCTGGTGCAAGCGTCTTCATTTGATCACTTTGAGGTTTTGGATGCCAAACAACGAATAGACAGACATAGCGTTTAGACCCCCCAAGCTTGCTTCGGTTTTCAATTTGGTTTCCTCTAAACACCAACCAAAAAGGGGGTTCCCTTAAAGACATTGCTCAATAAGATTAATCCTGGGCAACGCCCGGAGGCTCGAAGCTGGAAGCCCCCAACATGGAAAACCGGGTTTTCCCAAGAATACCCGGAAAATAACCGGGTATTTTGAGTAGGTAGATCAACACGAGCTACGACCCAACTTTTGCTAAGCTCAGACGCCGCTGTTGGAGTTCAAGTAATCTGTGCTGCAAGAAGAAAAGGTGTTGCTCTCAGCAGGCAGTTGTTGCATTGGTCACTTGACAAGACTCTGGCTGACTGGCTGGATCCAGTAAATTTGGCGCCAGCTGTCCTCGTTTGCAAATCCAACAAACACGAATCCAAAGAGCGGTTTGTTTGTCCATCCCTCCTCATTGGTTTTCTTGGATCTGTTTGGAATGCCTGCAGCCACCACATGAGGAACTCACGAGCCATATAGCTGTATAATACGTCTTATGGCCACATATATATATATAAATATACACATTATATATAGGACATATATACAGCTGGTCTTTCGAATTTCTATATTTGTATTGTCTTGTTGCCCTCAGATTCCAAAACGCGATCCCGTCGCCGTCGGCTCTCCTGTCTGCGCCTGTTGCTGAGGCCCAGGCGCACCGCGGGAAAGCCGTGCGGCCGCCGGGCTCCCGGTGGCTCCCGGTGGCTCCCCTCGGGGGGTTGCGCCTCCTTTCGGGCTTGCGCATGGCCCAAAAGAGAGACAAGCTCCATACATAGTGCACGAAAAAGCCTACAAGCGTAAAGTTATCATTTTAGAGTGACATTCTGATTTGACTCCATTTTGACATTGTGCCGGGTGGTCCTCCTGGAAGAAAGGACTCCCCATTCAAAAAGGACCCTCTGAACAATAGGTCGGGTTTGGTCCTTTAAGCAAACCCTCCCAAAATGTGTGTCTCGGAATGTTTCTTTTTTTTCTCCTTTTTTTTCTGGTACTCTTCAATTGAGCAACAGTTCTCGGGTTAGCTGGTCCTTTGAAAAAAAAGAGCCTCCCAAACTCTGTGTCTCAGTGTTTTTCGTTGGGTTCTGGTCCTCTTTGATTGCAGCCAAGGGGTGGACGTCTTGAGCGCGCGAGCTGTCAGGTACTGCCAGGTGGGCCCGTCCTATCCCGCACCTCGGCAAGCGGATCGGGTTGAGCCCGTGCTTTGGCCAGTCGTGTTGCTTCGTTGAATGCTCAATTGGCATCTGCGAGTGCGAACCATGCTTGGCTGGCTTTTTGTTTTGCTTGCTTGCTTTGCTATGCTATGCTTTGCTATGCTTTGCTTCGCCTTGCTTTGCTTTGCTTTGCTTTGCTTGCTTGCTTTCTTTTTCGGGTGTTTCTTCGTGCATCGACGTGGTTGTCATTGTCTTTCGTGGTCGTGGTTCTTGTCGTTCATCGTTGTCACTCTGTTTCTCATCGTCGTCGCCGTTGTCGCAGTTGCAGCAGTAAGAGTAGTAGTAAGAGTGGTAGCAAAGGTAGTGGTGGTAGTGGTTAGAGTGGTGGTCGCATCGTCATCATCACAGTTGGCTTGCTGCTGCTTGCCATTTAAAAGCCGGGGCGAGCAACAAAACAGAAAACACCTCAACCTTCTTTTTTTTTAAACAGCACCAACCAACTTTTGCTCGGTGTTTGGTTTGCCCCAACAAACACTTCGACTTTCTTGCTTTGCAACGGCCGTCGCGGTTGCGAGTTGCGGGTTAAGTTGCCAGGCCTCCTACAATCAATATTGGCCTCCCGGACTTCCCGAGCTCTATGCGGCCGGCTCAGCCAGCTATGGGGTGCCGTCGAAATGGCCACCTGAGCCAAGCAAAACCGATTCGGGTGGATGAAGGTTAGGGCCAGTCCCAGGCGGAGATCCGCTGCGGCCGCATGGACAAAAATCCTTTGGATTTGGGTAGACCATACTACCCGGTTTTGATGATGACTCAAATGGAAAGAAACCGAGCCGGTGGCTCTTGAGGTTGGATGGAAAAGACAACTTGAGTCTTTATTGAACAAATGCCAAACATAGAAGCTGCGATTTTCACAAGAAGCATGCCCTGATTCGAGTATACCCCATGATTTTCATGATTTGTACATGGCCCAATGGCCCCCTTTGGAGCCGTCGGATCCACCCGATGCCTTTGCTTCAACGGTCGGGGCGGGGGGCGGGGGGGTTTTGGTCGGCCGCGAGTCGCCACAATTCCGTCCGTCGGACTGAGGAGTCTGGCTCCGCTAAGACGGAGTACGTGAAGCCAAGGACCTGTCACGGCTCCACTCGCTGGGTTCCGCTTTTTGTACTAATCCAAGGTAGACTTCATCCCAGGCGTTTCCCTTTGGGGGAAATCCACCAATCCCGGGTTTAAGTCGACTTTGGGCTAGTCCAAAAACCGGAACCCTGAGACCACGTGCCTGGGGCAGCGCGAGGCCCCTCGAGTCGTGTGAATCTGCCAGGAGGGGAGCGGAGCCCGGGTATTACTCGTACCTGGACTCCATGTACTCACCGCCAGTGGAGCTGGAAGGCCAGTTCTTTTTAAAGCATGGGTCCATTCTGTATACAGATGGCTCGAGCGGTTGGTATGACTTCTCGTTTTTGTTGTTGTTTTTTGTTTTCTTTTCCCCCTCATTTTCGAAAGCTTTGAGCGCTCCTTCCACTCCTTAGCCATCATTGGACAGCAGTAGGATATGTTTCAAAGGTCGGCAAAGAAATACCTAGGCCGCTTTGCCCCGCTGAGACGCGTGAGATGGGGAGCATGAGGCAACCTTTGGCGGAAGTTTTCTTTCGGCCAGGGCCACTGGCACCTGTGATGCCCGATTATCCGGACGACTGGAGGCAGCTATGCAGATCAGAGCCTGGAATTGGTCCATGGGGGTTGAAGAAAAGGTCCTGGCAAAAGGTCCTTTTCCGGAAACAGGACCGCCATATCGTCACGGGGGATGCAGCGGCCCCTTGTTTTGCCGGGTTCGGCTGGGGTTCTGCAAGCCTGGCGCAGGGTGAACAGCCACAAGCTCTTTGAGGGCTTTGACGAGGAGGAGCATGAGGCCGAGCGGCTTTGACACCCCTGGGGCCCGTTCTTCTTTTTTTTTCTTTTTTCCCCCTTGCCGCGATCCGATGCCTCTGTGTTTTTTCTTTTTGAATCGGCGATTGCAAACTTGCGGTGATCCGAGTGCTCTGTTGTTTCTCTTAAAACAAAAACGGCGATTGGACACGTGAAAACAGAGCTAAGCCATCAGTACAATCGAATCTTGGCATCGTCAGAATCACCTGGCACATTGGCCTAGTAGGGTATTAGCAGTGGAGGCATCCATCCGACAAGAGATGGAACTACCCATGCTACCCCAAGCGCTTTCCTTTTTGGGAGAACTAAACCGGCCCTTGGGTTTCAGTCTCCCTCGTCAAGAAAAAGTCGGAACCCTCGATGGGACAGCTACGGCCGGCGCTTTCCGTCGCTTTACAAGCCGCAAGGCTGCTCCCGCGACGAAGGCGCGGCGCTTTGTGGCAGCCAGCCGGATCACAGCCACTCCCATGGACTCCGTTCCTGTAAAAGTGACCAGGGAGAGTGCCAAGAAAACGCCAAATTGGGATGATCAGTTGCGGTTTGCCCACTGGAGGTCTCATGTTATGCTTCTTTTGACTGCAATGACTTGCATAGTTCTCGGGGTATCTTCCGCATTCTTTCCAGGGATCCTTCAATCCTTGTTTTCAGGAAACCATCAAACACCCGGAAGCAGCCGGTTTTTGAAAAGAAAGATGGTTGAAAAGAATGGACAAGGAATCAACCCCTAAAATAGTGTGCAACAACCAGGCGTAGATTGGTTACGACCGACCGGCTGTCAGTACGGACTCCTGCCAGGACTGGTCAGACCGTGGTAAGTACGGGCCAGGCGCCGGACCAAGCACATGCAGCATGGCCCTCCCCCAGTTTTTCCAGGTAGACGAAAAGGGAAGTGGTAAAACAGAGCCCTGTAGAAAGACTGCTTTTCCTCTCGGAAAGGGCCTACTGTGCACTTGTTAGTTGGTGGGAGGGTAAATCCAAATTTTTGAGATGAGCAGTCTTGAATGGACGCACAGCCAGACCTTTCATGGAGGGCTTTGCAATCTCTCAATTCGCTTAGATGGCTCTGCCTTTGTTTAGGGAACCCCCTTTGGTTGGTTTACAAAGGGAAACCAAAAGGAACACCGTCATCTTGGGGGTTCCAACCAAAAACACGTCACGCCCAAGTCTTGGCTGATGTCAACCAGCCCGGAACCCAACTGGACCGAACAATTCATTCGAGCCCGCGCAAGCTGTGAATCCTGGCAGTTAGCTCTCGGAGCACCAGCGACACGGATGGCCAGGCGCGTTTCGGGTCCGACTCGGACACGGCGCGAACGCGCGCGCGTCATCGGCCAGGGGAGCAAATACCCGTCCAAGGGCTCGGCGAAGCACCGCCTCGGCGTGTGCAAGCCCTGCGCCTTCGTGTTCAAGGTGGGAGCAGTGAGGGAGGGGAGAGCGCCTGTGGGAGGGGCTCCGTTTTCTGTTCGCTGCCTTGAACAAAAGGCCGGAAAAAAGGAAAAAACCAAGAAGAAGGAACAAAAACGCGAGCGAGCCGCGGCGCGCAGACCGGCTGCAACAACGGCTTCGACTGCGAGTTTTGTCACCTCTGCGATCCTGGTGAGAAGAAACGCCGGAAGAAGGCGCAGCCGTTGCGGGGGATTCGACCGTCCACGCGCGAGAGTCGCCTCGGAATCCGTCGATCTTCTGGGTCAAGGTCAACCCCAACTCGTTTGGCGTGATTTTGTGGGTTGATGCCACGCAAGCGTCCAGGAGCGCAAGCAGATGCGCAAGATTGACTACTGAGGCTTGCAGAGACCGTGTGTCGCTTGGGCTTTTGTCTTTGCTTGAGAGGGTCATGGGTATGGTCATGATTCATACACCAAGAACCCCGCGCTCTGGGTGGATAATAGAACCCGCGGGGGGGGGGGGGGGAGGGGGGGCCGGGAGAGCAAGCATTGCAACCTTGTGAACCCAACGTTGCCCAACGGTCGTGGCGCGAGGTATGTGACCAGCGACCTCCAAAGCAGTGAGTCAAACGCAGCCCTGATGCTCAGGCCTTTGGCCCCGAGTTTCCCAGCGGGCCTTGGGTGCTGGCATCACGGGTGAAACGATCAATGATCAAGCAGGCTGCGCAAACAGACATGATGCAACCAGTGACCAAGCTCGGAAAAGCTTTCTTTGACTTCAGCTTTTCGCTGCAAGCCTGCAGTAGTGTAGGGAAGTCGACTGGCGGCTTGGCGTTTTGTGAGCGCTCACTCACCCAGTTGGATATGTTGAAACCGCCAAACTGCCGAGGCAAACCGGCGCGACGGAGTGGCGCCGTTCCGTTCGCCAAAGCAAAGTTCGCGGCCCCACGGCCCTTCATTTGAAGCGGATGCCTTTTCCTCACCGTGGGCAATAAGTAGAAGAGCAGCGTCTTCTGCGGCGGAGAGTTCTACCCAGGAAAGGAGAAAGGAAAAACCTTAGGGCATTTCACGCCATGAAATTTGGTCAACTCCAATGGGTCCAATGACCAAATGCTTCGCATTAATTTGTTGGTTAGATGAACGTCACAGGTGTAGAGTTCCTTGGCTCCTAAGTGGTAGAACAACTCTTCAAAGGAGGCGTTGTGTCTGGCAAGTTCCGCCAAAACCCGCAACCTGTGCCCTGCGTTTCCAAGGGCACCGGCGCTTGGTCATTTCATGAGAGAAAATTGGCGGTTGATCGAAGGCCCCATGATTTTGGGGGCAGAGGTTCCAGCATCGATGGCAGGAGTTGGCCGGGGGGGGGGGGGGTTGGCCTTGCCAGATGTCAATCTATGCACGTGCACGCCCGACAGCCCGTGCTGATGCACAGGATCTCTGTGTTTCACAGATGCAGGATCAGGCACGGGTCGGCAAGACCAAGGGCAGCACAGTGACGCAGAGGGTCTCCGGAAGGAGTGCCGATGCAGTGTGCAGTGGTCAGGACAAGCTTTCCACTAGTCCGTGTGGAGCTTTCGCTTTGCGCGCAAGTCCCTGCACCGGGGATTCACTGTTCGGATTCGTGTGCTCCGGAGCAGAGACCGAGAAGCCTTTGCAGAACAAGAGGGGCGCTTTGCGTGTGTTTGCATGTGCGCTACGGATACCACCAGTTGCAACTTGCTTGCACCGCAACCTGCACCGCAACCTGCACCGCAACCTGGTTCCAACGCATCTCTTCAGCGATGGTATGAAAGATCAGATCCGAGTCTGGAGAGTTGGCCTTCCCCAGGCTTGCTGCATGCAACTCATTCCCCAGACGGAGGGAGTCAAGCCCCGCGAGCAGTGCACGAGCAGAGCGGCGCCCCGCTCGTGGCCCCCGTTTTTGCTGTCCCGGCTGAAAAGCGGCGCGAGATGCTCCGGCCGCAAGCCCAGGAGACACATTTCCTAGATCGCCAAGCTGCGATCGCTTTCTTCTTTCAGTCGCTGTTGCGCTCGGTTTTTGGGGTGAAGGAAGGTGCATGGAAAAACGCGATCGCAGCTGGCGGTCCCGGAAGGTGGCCCTTGCCCTTGGTTGAAGCGGATTTTTTCTTTGACATATGGCGGTGGTGGTCATAGCCAATGGGATCTCATTTTGGGGTAGGTGAATTCACCACCCATTGTAGTGCCTATTTTGGTGGGGATTGGGATGTTTGCTGGGGGTGCGATTTGGATTTTGACCCATGGCCATATGCTTGGAGTTTTTCAGTATGGCCAAGACGATGACCCAAATGAGCCACTTGCAATCAATTTTGGGGTAGATGAAGGTTGGGACACTCTCAACCATAGGTGCGAAAGTTTTTTTTTTTAATCATATCCACCTTGAAGTAGCTGTTTACATGGTGGGTTCACATATCCACCCTTGGTAGCTCTCTGCATGGTTGGTGGTTTTTTGCCATTTTTGGCGCTGAGCGGTTCTGATGCCTCAGCTGAGCTTTTTGCGTCTTAGGCCGCTGCAGCTTCGGCTAGCGAGGCAATTGAGGCCGCCGATCTGGCGGCCCTCGGTCGGGCGTCGGCCGTTCTGCGTGCACGTCCATGCGGAGGACGAGATGCCGTGCCTTTCCCGCGCTTTTCAGAACGAAACTTCCATTGGCGGTGGGTTGAGTCAAAACCGTGTTGGGATGATCCCAGTTTGGTTGGGATTGGTGAACTCACCCATTTTAGGAGCCTATTTGAGTGGTTGGATTGGTTGGTGTTCACTGGGGACTAACCGATTTGGCTTCTGGCCCCATGGTTCCAAGGCCTGAGGGGAAACTCCGAGGTGTTCCTTGCTGGTGGCTCGTTTCTTTCTTGGCCGGGCGAAGCCCGGCTCGGCCGAGTTCGTGCTGGTCCCTTATAATGCCCACTCCGTTTAGGTGATCTCTTGAGCTCGGTGTGGGGGGCAAAATTAAGCCACCAAGGAGGGGGACCGCAGATTCTAGTCCATGTGTCCATTTTCCAGGGCTTAGCTGTTCATTTGGTTTGGCTGTCGCTGCAGCCACAGATTCAGGAGTGCAATCCTGCACTTTCACGGACAAATGCACCCGGCGTTGGGCGCATTGGAGTGTGTTCAACGCCTGCTGTGTGGAGTGAGTGCGCAGGACAAGCAATCCAACGTTGACGAGCTGAAGGCAGAGTGAGCATGAAGTGCATGGAGTGTGATGCCCATTGGGCTCCCAAGCCCCGCAAGTTGTACTTCCCATATCCAAAAGAAGGGCGCAAAAAAGTCCGTGTGCGCCCGATCTTGACATCTTGACCACATGGAACACCGGAGCGAGCTCCAAGAGTGGCCGCCAGTTTTTGTTTTTTTGCATCCGGCTTTCGAGCTCGCTGCGGGCCCGAAATGTGCGACGGTCGTCCGGTCTTCGGCAGCAAGTTGTTCGTATCTTGAACTGGAGTCTGAACGACTAGCTTTCTCATAGAAACAAGCCTTTTTTTCTCGCATGCACTGGCGCATGGGGCTTAGGGTCCGCCCTCATTGTTGACTCCCAATTGTTGTGGGTGCTTCCTTCAATGTGAACTTGGCGGATTGCTGAAGGTGGCCCACTCATTTATGGAGTTCCAATCATAGGACCTTCCCTGAAAATATCTTTGGCTTCCATCGCCGCACCGGTGTCAAGCATTGTGTCCTCTCCCCAACAAATTTCCCCCCCCCCCCCCCCCAATTAAAAAATTCCCCCCCCCCCCCTCCCCGGAAAACAAAAAAAAAAACCTAGACCACGGTTGGCCCGAAAGCAGAACATCGCAAGCGAGGTCGGCCCAACGCTGCAGGATGCGTTCTTTTTCCCTACACGAAGCATTCGTGAAGCAAGCGCGAGACAGCACCAGGCAAGGTGCTCTGCGCAAACTGGTCGGTGCAAGTTGGTCTGCGCAAGTTGCTCTACGCAAGTTGCACTGTGCAAGTTGCTCTGCGCAAGTTGCTCCGCGCAAGTTGCTCCGGCAAGTTGGTCCCTGCAAGTGGCTCCCTGCAAGTTGCTCTGTGCAAATTGCGCTCCCTGCAAGTTGCTCTGTGCAAGCTGCTCTGTGCAAGTTGCTCTGTGCAAGTTGCTCTGCGTAAGTTGCTCTGCGCAAGTTGCTCTAGGCAAGGCGCTCTGCGCAAACTGGTCGGTGCAAGTTGGTCTGCGCAAGTTGCTCTGTGCAACTTGCTCTGCGCAAGTTGCTCTGCGCAAGTTGCTTTAAAATGCAAGTTGCATCTTGCGACGCCCGCCCGCGGACCAGGGAGGAATCGAACCCGCGACCCGCCGGTTCCGGGAGCAGGCGCGCGAACCACGAGACAACTCCCGACCAACTCCCGAAGACCAACAACAAAAGTCGCAAAAAACCTCGAGTTTTTGCACCTCGACCACGCCGATTCCCGCAGAGGGTCGCGCGAGCACCGCAGAAATCGCAAAAAACCATGGGTTTTTGCACCTCGACCACGCCGATCCCCGCAGAGGGTCGCGCGAGCAGGTTAAACATCGCAAAAAACCTCGAGTTTTTGCACCTCGACCACGCCGATCCCCGCAGAGGGTCGCGCGGGAACTTTAGAAATCGCAAAAAACCATGGGTTTTTGCACCTCGACCACGCCGATCCCCGCAGAGGGTCGCGCGAGCAGGTTAAACATCGCAAAAAACCTCGAGTTTTTGCACCTCGACCACGCCGATCCCCGCAGAGGGTCGCGCGGGAACTTTAGAAATCGCAAAAAACCATGGGTTTTTGCACCTCGACCACGCCGATCCCCGCAGAGGGTCGATTTTCGTGTAGTGTCGTCGGCACTACCCCGCCGCCCTAAGAAGAGATTTTAACTCCTCGCAAGTCAATTGCACTTGACTCCTTGCACTTGCAACTTGCACTTGACTCCTTGCTTGTTTCAAGGAGTCATTGCAAGGAGTCATTGCAAGGAGTCATTGCAAGGAGTCATTGCAAGGAGTCATTGCAAGGAGTCATTGCAAGGAGTCATTGCAAGGAGTCATTGCAAGGAGTCATTGCAAGGAGTCATTGCAAGGAGTCATTGCAAGGAGTCATGAGAGCCATTGCAAGTTGCAAGGAGCCAAGTGCATGGAGTCAAGTGCAAGTCGCAAGTGCACGGAGTTAAGTGCAAGTTGCAAGTGCAAGGGGCCAAGTGCAAGGAGCCAAGTGCAAGGAGCCAAGTGCATGGAGTCAAGTGCAAGTTGCAAGTGCATGGAGTCAAGTGCAAGTTGCAAGTGCAAGGAGTCAAGTGCAAGTTGCAAGTGCAAGGAGTCAAGTGCAAGTTGCAATCCTTGCCATGACTCCTTGCAATGACTCCTTGCAATGACTCCTTGCAATGACTCCTTGCAATGACTCCTTGCAATGACTCCTTGCAATGACTCCTTGCAATGACTCCTTGCAATGACTCCTTGCAATGACTCCTTGCAATGACTCCTTGCAATGACTCCTTGCAATGACTCCTTGCAATGACTCCTTGCAATGACTCCTTGCAATGACCTTGCAATGACTCCTTGCAATGACTCCTTGACTCCTTGCAATGACTTTCATGATGATGATTCCTTGCAATGACACCTTGTAATGACTCTCATGAGAACAACTCAAGTGAACCCAGCGGAAGAACCCTTCGCCATGCTTTCGGGAAAAAAACAAGAAGAGGAAAAACAAGAAAAATACAAAAACACTTCCCTCCCCCCCCGCAAAAAAACAACAACAACAACACGACAACAAGGACAAACATCTGCAACAATAAACACTGGGCACCGAGCTCCACGGAGCCTTTTCGCCACGTGACACCCGCCGCCTCGCTTCGCTTCGCCGCAGGCGGCGGCGCGGCGGCTCCTGGAGGAGCCGGCGGTGGCGCAGCGGGTGGCCTGCACCCCGGCGGCGCGGGCGCTGCTGAAGCAGATGGAGCCCGGGGCGCCCGGCGGTGTTGGGGCGGTTTTGGGCCGCGACGGTTCGTTCGGTCGGGGGTTGGGGGGGGGGGAAGGGGTGGAGGGGGGGGAAAGAGGGGAAAGGGTGGAGGGGGGGGGGAAGAGGGGGAGGGGGGAAGGGGGAAGGGAGGGGGAAGTCGGCAGGGGGGAAAGAAGATCTGTTTATGCGCAGAATATGGTATATATGCTTATGTTTGGGGGGTTTGCCTTTCAAAGGTCCAGCAAACATGGGCAAACCAATAGAAAAGGCCACCCAAAAGGATTTGACTTTGGGAAACGTTCGGCCCATGTTGGGCCGAAGGTAATATCGATCACCCCCCCCGCATATTTAGTGAACATGGAGAAGTTTGGGCATGGGTTGGATCCCGGTAGGCAGCCTGCTTCGTGTCCGTGTGGACCCGACCACATTTTTGGAGCCACTCTGAAGCCTAAGCTGCGACAGCCCAGTTCTGCTCCACACCTTGTCTTACGCTGTGCAGACGTATTTCATCAAGTCCAAGCCTATTCGAAACAACATGATTGATTTATCTACCCTCCCACCAATTAACGTGGAACCTGACAGGGTGGTCCCTGCAACACATTTTCCTTTTAAAGGGACCCGGTGTCAGGTTCCATGTTAATTGGCCCAAGGGTATACATGTATATATGTATATATATATATATACACACGTCGTTATGCCTCTGTGTCTAATTCTTGTCTGGCTCTACGCAGAGGATACGACTGGATGTAGAACTGGCAGATCCTCAGCCTCTCCCCCTCCCTTCGCAGAAATTCGGCCTGGCGGCTGCGAGTGAGCACCAAGGTGTGCGAGCGAAGAGCCGAGGGAGGCAAGCGCAGATTCCAGTTCGCATTGCACACTGGTGTGACCAGCATAGGTGTCCTTTTTTGGGTTGTTTTGGTCGAAAAATAGATGGCCCTGGTTTACCTGGTGGTTGAATCATCTACCAGGGCCATCTATTTCCCCTAAAAGGACACCTATGGTGACCAGCATTTTCCGGCTCATCCATGCTCCAAAGGCGACCCAGAAGCTACCGTGACCCGTTTCCTCTGTGAGCAGTTTCCAATGAGCGCGGGAATCATGCAGGCACCCATGCCAACCATGCGGCAACTGGAGGCAAGCGAGAGTCCCGGCATGTTTTCGGTGACAGATGTCGGGCTCTTGGTGTGTCTTCTTTTTGATGGCCGCCCCCCTTTTTTGGCTGGTTTTACGGGGAAACCAGGCGATCAAAAAAAAGACAACGGCCTGGATTTTTATATTATTATTTTTTTTTTGGGGGGGGGGTGGCACGAAAGACAGACCTTTGCAGTTGTACTTCATGCACAACTTCATCCCTTTTATCGGCTTCGGCTTCTGCGACAACTTCGCTCCGCCCTCGGCAAATGTCGAGTATGTGAGATGCTGGAGGCTAGACAAAGAGCTGACGTTTTTTGTTTTTTTAATCGTCCTCACGTCTGCTTGGGCCGGTTGGGATGTACATTTTTTAAGTCCTCACGTGGCCGGTTGGGATGTCCAGTTCATGGATCCTATGGCGTTTTGGATCATGCAGGCTTTGGGACCTGTGAACACCACTGCCATTCACAACCTGCAACGACCTAAAAAAGAACCGCAGCTCCGAAGTGTTCTCTGCCCAGATCATGATCCTGGCGGGTGTGACTCTCAGAGCGATTCGGGTGTCTTCGCTTTCGCAAGCCTCCAGAAGAGAAGAGCCCGGAGCGCGTTCCTCTTCGGGGGCGTTTGGAGCTGTGGTTCCTCAGGTGACTACATCGACGCCAGGCTAGGGGTGACTCTGGGCCTCAGCACCATGGCCGCGGCTGCATGGGGCAACACCTTTAGGCGCCTGGGATGTGGCTGTGGAGCAAAATAGGTGCAACAAGAATGGAACCCCGGCAAATGGAAACATGGACTAAAACCTGCGGTGGTGGTTTAATTTTGACCCATATCCATATTTGATTTGTGGCCGAGTTCCCTGTTCTCCCATGTGCTCTTGGGGAGCCACAAACAATTCACGGGGCTACCTTAGCCTTGAAGCAACCTGTGAGGCAGCAGCTCAAGAGTTGGCTATCTCTTTCTAATACTTTTTTTTTGTCGATTTTATTTTTCTGAAAACAGTCCTCTTCACCTATGGGCGGCGATGTTTTCTTTTTTTCTACTGCCCTTCCAACTTACAGAATGAGGTGTTCTGAAGTGAGGCGTTTGGTCCGGACCCCAACGAAGGCCATGCTCCCCAATGCTCCCCTCACCGCCGCAGTGACGTGATTGGACTTTGGATCTCCGGCTTCATCGAGACCTTCGTTGGAAAGCCGGGGCCCAGTTGGGCCGCATTCGCTGGTCATGCCATCGCGTGATTGTGTTGTTTGTTTTGTTTGTGTTGTTTTGGTTTCTTTGTTTCATTGTTTTCCTCTTTTTTTTTGTTTGCCGTGGTGATCCCAAGCGTGACGTACGCACAGTTTGCCGCAGTGGCACTCAGATTGTCGCGTTTTGGCGGGAAATCAAGGCGTCTGTTTCTGTAAACATTTCATGCCAACAGTCACTTGGGTATGGGTCAAGTCCTTGGTTCCAGAAAAAACCAGGGCGACGGTTCCATTTTGGGGAGTTAGCCCCCATTTCTGTCACCACAGCCACTTGGGGCCGCGTTTTGCCTTTTTACCAGGGTCCCATTGTACCCGTTTTTTGACGACCACAGCCACTTTGTTTTGCCTTGGATCAGGCCCCCGGTGTTTTTGTTCTTCGGATCCGCGGGCGTCGGAGGACCGGGCTCCCGAGCCACAAGCTCACCAGCGGCCAGATGCCGGGCACCCAGCGAGCCCGGAGCCAGCGAGAGAGAGCTTCTGGCCGCCGATGGCCCGGCTCGGGAGAGGAAAAAGCGCAAAAAAAGCGCGGCACGGTGGCCTGGCTCGGGAAAAAGAAGAAAGAAAAGAAAAGAACAAAACAACAACAACAACACAAAAACAAAAGCGCGACGCCTTGTTTCTTGGCGTTCTTGGCTTATTCGGAGTGACCTGATGATGCCAGGGAGCTCCTGCAAGTGCGGGTCGTGAAGAACACCTCCATGATTGCAGGAGAGACGATGCTGGACCCCACCACCTGCCGGGGATCCATTTCGGGCACCTATTTTTGACCCATAGACCACCGCAGGGTTTAGTCCCATTTGCCTGGGCAAGCCATAAGCCATGTCGGGGTTAGCCTATTTTTGACCCGGCCATGTCGTGTTCAGAAAATGGGGAAGACATCTGACGCCAGGCATCTTGGTGGGCTGCATCATGGGCATGCTGCCACTGGTCTACCCTGAGGCGAGGGGCATGGCCTTGCAATCCATGCATGAAAGTCATCGGTGCGGTTGTATCTTTTTTTGGTGGTCGATTGGATTCTTTGCCGGAGATTGGTTGCAGGTCAAGAGGTCTTTTGTTTGCCTTTGTTTGCGGCGAAGTTTCCAACGCGTTTCCCTCCGACCTCCCGCCAGGAGTACCGGGTTTGGCCATCTCGCCATGACCTCGAGGCGCCTGACATGTGACCTTTGCGCCACTTGCCACGGGCGAGCGTCGCCGTGCGAGCGCACGTGCGTCTCAGGTGGCTGCGGGCGCTCACGACCTCTCGTGCGGCCTGCGGTTTCTTTGGCCCCGCTCGCAGCCTGCCTGGCCGTTTCACGCCAGGAGCGACACGAGCGCGTGACTCGATGGACTCAAGGCTCGCAGGCTGGAGATGGGAAGAGTCAAAAGCTTCACAACTTGCCTGGCGCTGTTTTCAATCGCCAGGCGCATGAAGAGAAGCGCCTCCCCCAAGGGGAGGAGAGGTGTTCTGCTGGGCCGCGCCGATGTTGATTCTCATTTGCTAGGATCTCTGACCTGTCTGACAGGACTCAGACTTCCCGGAACTGACCTTTGATGCCCAAGTTTTAAGCGGGCTCAGGTCCGGAACATTTATCCGACAAGGCACAGATTGCTGCTGGCACGGCTGGACAGTGCAGTAGGTGTCCTGGAGACACGCCCTGCTTTGTGGTAATACCGTGACACCAGGTGCAGCGGTAAGTGCTTGCAAAAGTCGTGAGGAGAAGTCTGCTGCTTCTTCAATAAATAGGTCTTCCTGTCTGGCGCAGTTTCATTCAGGGTTCCGTTTCTTGACTACCCCAAAGTCGACTTAAACCCAGGGGTGGTTGATTTCCCCAAAAGGGAAACCCCAGGGTTTAAGTCTACCCTGGGGTAGTAAAAAGCAGAACCTTGGTTTCATTCACATGCTGTCCTTTCGCCCGGCAGCCAACTGGCTCCAGCCGGGTCTCAAAACCTGATGAGAGGCACATAGGCGCATAGCTCAAGGCCGTCGACAGAAAGGCAGGCTGAAGCAGAGCATCCGCGCATCCAGAAAAAAAGTTGTCAGTTTCGGCGATCGAAACTGAGATGAAAGCAGCGGGGCAGCCCAGAACAGGGGATGCCTTGAGCAGCTGCCTTACCTAAGGTCTTACGGCGCGGTGTTTGAGGCTTTTTTTTTTCAAGGGACATCCAAGAGCTCGGCCATGTTCCATGTTCGGGGCTTCCAAGAAGAGAGCCCGGATATTTTTTTCTCCGGTGGCCTTGGTGCCAAAAAAAACCCGCAGCATCCAGGCAAGCTGCGGATGAAGCCGTGGCTGGCGGGCCTGTTGCTGAACCTGGCCGTTGTGGCGCTTTTCCTCCTCCACCTCTGGCCGCACCTACAGGCCTGTCGGGGCTTTCTTCTTGGCTCCCAGCCATCCATTTGGTTCCTTAACCTTTCAGCTTTTTAGTTGGTTTAGTGCTTGGATTTCCATTTAGCCCGCTAAAAGTTAAACTTTTGGCGGGGGATCTGAGGGCCCAGTCTTGCATCGCCTCTCAGTGACTTGGGCTGTTCCTTGCCTCGGGCTACGCAAGGAATGGGTGTCCTTTTCCCATTGGTTGCGCAATGGGGAGTATGGATCATTCCGTTTTCCGCAGCCAGAACGTTGGAGCCCCTTTCCACTCAAACAATGGATTTGTTGGGAATCATGGTGGGCTTCTTCCCACAATGACGGTGTTTCCCCCTTCTTTTTTTTGTTAGGGTAGCCCTTTTGGGTTGGGTTAAGGGGACGCCAAAAGGGGTGTATTTGTTGGGTCCCCCTATTTTGACCACATACCCACGCTCCCTGAGACTCGCAAGTTCAGACCCCGGCCGGTTCCCGAGGTGCTGTTCTCTGATCCGCTCTTTGAAGAGATAGCCCACGCCTGAGATGGTCTTCAAAGTGAACAAAGGACACCTCCTTTCATGGTTGTTGTTGGGAAACATTTTACATGTTTGCTTGTTGTGGTGTAGTGGGAAATCCCCACTGAGCTGCTAAAATTTGAATTCTTGCTGCCTTCCAACGTCAACCAAGCTTTTGGGTGATTCGCTGATACGCGACGGGCCGATAGCTAGGCAATGCTGTTCCGAGATCCGGGTGTTGGATTCGAATGAACCGGGTTTTGGATGGATTCCCGAAGGAAAGGGAAAAAACACAAGCAGCAAGGAGAGGGAGCCTCCACGCCTTTCGGGTGACACACGAGACTCAGGACTACCTCATCGACCCCGACCCGGAGCCCCACGATAGCGATAGCCTGGAGGATGATACGCCTGTAGAGTACGGGCCTGAGAGAGGGGGCAAGGTGTGTTGACACCGAATGCCAGCTACACGGCATGGAACGCAAGTTACGGAGCTAGGGTTACGCAGGTTGCAGTCTCGGGTTCCATTTAACAAGCTGTTGTTTTGGTACATTTTTGCGAACCACTGCCATTTGTGATGCTTGTCCTTTGTAAGCCCAAAATTGGCATGTGGGGGTTGATCAAAAGGTCCGGTAAACATGGCATGACAATTGGTTGGAAGACCACTAAAATGGTAAGAAGAGTCAACTACACGGGCAAAGCTACTCTTGGTCATTTGGGGGCCACCCCCATGTGCGGAGAACGCATTGAATGGTTCACACTTAGCTTTTCATTAAAACACCAAGGTTACAGTTGGCCAACTGGCCGGGCCGTTTGGGAATCTTTTTTCCGAAAGCATGGCGAAGGGTTCTTTTGCTGGGTTCACTTGAGTTGTTCTCATGAGAGTCATTGCAAGGAGTCATTGCAAGGAGTCATTGCAAGGAGTCATTGCAAGGAATCATCATCATTGCAAGGAGTCATTGCAAGGAGTCATTGCAAGGAGTCATTGCAAGGAGTCATTGCAAGGAGTCATTGCAGGGAGTCATTGCAAGGAGTCATTGCAAGGAGTCATTGCAAGGAGTCATTGCAAGGAGTCATTGCAAGGAGTCATTGCAAGGAGTCATGAAAGTCATTGCAAGTTGCAAGGAGCCAAGTGCATGGAGTCAAGTGCAAGTTGCAAGTGCACGGAGTTAAGTACAAGTTGCAAGTGCAAGAAGTCAAGTGCAAGTTGCAAGTGCATGGAGTCAACCGCAAGTTGCAAGTGCAAGGAGTCAAGTGCAAGTTGCAAGTGCAAGGAGTCAAGTGCAAGTTGCAAATGCAAGGAGTCAAGTGCAATTGACTTGCGAGGAGTTAAAATCTCTTCTTAGGGCGGCGGGGTAGTGCCAATGACACCCTACGAAAATGCGGGGATTGGCGAGGTGCAAAACCTCGAGGTGTTTTGCAATTTTGTTTTGGCTCGCGCGACCCTCTGCGGGGATTGGCGTGGTCGAGGTGCAAAAACTCGAGATTGTTTTGCGATTTTGTTTTCGCCCGCGCGACCCTCTGCGGGGATCGGCGTGGTCAAGGTGCAAAAACTCGAGGTTTTTTGCGACTTTTGTTGTTCGAACTGGTCCTCGGAAGTTGTCTCGTGGTTCGCGCGCCTGCTCCCGGGACCGGCGGGTTGCGGGTTCGATTCCCCCCTGGTCCGCGGGCAAGCTTCGCAAGCTGCACGGGGCAACTTGCGTAGAGCAACTTGCGCAGAGCAACTTGCGCAGAGCAACTTGCACAGACCAGTTTGCGCAGAGCAACTTGCACAGACCAGTTTGCGCAGAGCACCTTGCCCAGAGCAACTTGCGCAGAGCACCTTGCCCAGAGCAACTTGCGCAGAGCAACCTACGCAGAGCAACTTGCACAGAGCAACTTGCACAAAGTAACTTGCGCAGAGCAACTTGCGCAGAGCAACTTGCGCAGAGCAACTTGCGCAGAGCACCTTGCCCAGAGCAACTTGCGCAGAGCAACCTACGCAGAGCAACTTGCACAGAGCAACTTGCACAAAGCAACTTGCGCAGAGCAACTTGCGCAGAGCAACTTGCGCAGAGCAGCTGGCGCAGAGCAGTTTGCGCAGAGCAACTTTGACAGAGCAACTTGCGCAGAGCAACTTGCGCAGAGCAACTTGCACAGAACAACTTGCACAGAGCAACTTGTATAGAGACATTTGCACAGAGTCAGTTGCGCAGAGCTTCTTGCACAGAGCAGCTTGCACAAAGCAACTTGCGCAAAGCAACTTGCGCAGAGCAACTTGCGCAGAGCAACTTGCACACGGCAGCGTGCACAGAGCAACTTGCAGGGAGCAACTTGCACGGAGGAACTTGCACGGGGCAACTTGCGCAGAGCAACTTGCACAGAGCAACTTGCGCAGAGCAACTTGCGCAGAGCAACTTGCACAGACCAGTTTGCGCAAAGCGCCTTGCCCAGAGCAACTTGCGCAGAATGGTCACGGGGCTGTGATGCTTTCGGGCCAGCCGTGGTCTAGTTTCAACCTCACACGCCCACCACCCACACCCATACCCACCATACCCATACCCATACCCATACCCATACCCATACCCATACCCAAGCCATACCCACCCATACCCATGCCCATGCCCATGCCCATGCCCATGCCCAACGCCCGTGCCCGTGCCCGTGCCCATGTCCATACCCATACCCATACCCATACCCATACCCAAGCCATACCCACCCATACCCATGCCCATGCCCATGCCCATGCCCATGCCCAACGCCCGTGCCCGTGCCCGTGCCCATGTCCATGCCCATGCCCATGCCCGTGCCCCACCCCACCTCACACCCCACACACCACCCCACCCCACCCCACCCCACCCCCATGTATTTGGGGCGGGTCTCCGTGGCTCCGGCGAGCCCGGCTCGCCCGCTCGCTCGCGCGCCTCGGAGCCTCGCTCGCCCGCGCCTCGGCTCCGAGGTCCGGGGCCTTCGTCCTGCAGCGGGAGGCGGAGCTCGCGGAGGCCGAGGAGCACAGCCTCGGCACCTGGAAGGGGCCAAAGCACCGGGAGGCGCGGCTCACGGCTCTGCGGGGATCGGTAGTTGGGTGAGGGGAAGTGCCACCCTCGAAGAGTTCCAAGGGTTAGGGTGGGAAACCCCCCGCTTTCCCTTCAGACATAAGGGTTCAGGAGGCTGGCCGGATGGATGGATTTGAGGGGTTAGGGTGGGAAGGTTCATGTACCCTCTGAGGGAATAAAGCCATGGGAAGACGAATCGTTTCCGGTCCAAACGGAAGATCCCCAGCGAAGCATTTGAGACTTGTTTCCCATTTACCCAGGCAGAAGGGTTGAACTCCCCGGTCCAAGGCGATGCAAGCACTTTTTGTTTTGGGTTCTTGCTACAGGCAAGCCGTCAAATCCAGGAACTCGAATCGTTTCAGGTCCAAACAGAGTATGATCATTGCTCTACTGCTATTAGGTTGGATCTTTAGGCTTTAACTTGTTTTGGATACCCATCATATTTCCTTTTAACCTCCAAAAGTGAAAAACTTTTCGCTGCGGGATCTACAGCACCCAAAATTGATCATGAGTTGCCCATTCTGGCGAATTGCTTGGAGCAAGTTCAAAAAGTCGAGACAAGTCACCAATTCTTGCGTGCTCAGATGTGGACTCCCGGCCCCTTGTTGGGCGCTGCCTTGGTGGTCGGCATCCCAGTGCCGCAGCAACACCTGCAGTTTTGTATCACTTTTGGCCGAAGTGGGGGTTGATCAATATTCCCTTCGGCCCTCGGGTCGTTTGGAGGTCTTTTTTTATAATTTCCGTGATGGCCATCCCATGTTTACCGGACTGGTTGATCAACCTCCAAGTGCCGCTTCCTTGCAAATTGGGGTACTGTTGAATTTTGTCTGAATTGTAATCAGGAGCTCTTTGGACAATTGTCCACCAACCACTTTGGAGGGGGTTCCCGCCAAATGGCTACCAAGTTGTTTTTTCTTCTCGAGGTCTTGGTGCTCTTCCTGAATAGCGCGGCTCCGTACGCCATCCGCTGCTACGAGCTGCAGCGGCAGGAAGATGCCAAGGAGCCTCGGCCGCGACTGGTGTCGGTCCACGCGTTTTTTTTCCGAGCGCCCGCCCGGTTTTCTTGGTGGCTCCCGGCCATCCGGTTCCTTAGCCGGCTATGATGTTCAATAGTGAACCCTTCAGAGGTTGACACAAATGCCCACCGAAGTTTTATGTCCACCAAGACAGGCAACCCATGTAAGGGAACGATGATGATGATAGAAGAAGTTTTGACCTCGCGCATGAGTCACAATCAAAACTTAGATGAAGGTCAGCTAGGGGACAAGTTACGAGCAGACAACTTGTGCGAGTATCCGTGCTTTTGTCTTTACAGTTGATAGTATGTTGAATGCCAGGGTTTGACTGTGCTTGTTAGAGCTTGTTAGTTGGTTCAGTGGTCGGATTTCCATTGAACCTACAGAAAGTTAGTCGCTTTTAGCAGGGGATCTGAGGGCAGCTCAGTTTTGGGAGCGTGTTCTTGAGTTGTTGCATCGGTCAATTCCGTGGGACACAGGGGCTGTCGGGATGGATTTGTTTGGCGCTTTGGGGAACAGAGCGAAGTGCCCAAAATGAGTCGTTGGCTTGCCACAAAGGGCACGTGGACTCTGGAAGTTGCTTGCAAACCCATTGCCAGTGGCTTGCGGCACGCTTTTGGCAAGGGGCGTTTGTTGCGGGTGCGGGGAGGCCGATCCGTCTCATGCCAGAAGCTCATTGGTTCAGCCAAGGACACGGCTACCGCAGAGGCGGCGAAAAAGCGGCGCTTGCGAGGTGCTGAAGCTTCATGCATGCGGTTCGAGCAAGAATCGGCTGGTGCTCATTGACTAGGGCTGGCTGTTGATTCACATTGCTCCAGATGGCTTGAAGGCAGCTTTACATGGATCCAAACATGGCCTTAAGAGTAGCTCACCTTTTGACAGGTATTGACATGACATCGTTGGCATGAGTTGAATCAATACCCAGAATCCAGAGCCCCTCGCTGCGGATACAACTTTTCAGGGACCCGCAGTTCCGAGCTTCTTTTTGTTCTTTAAGCAAACAAACAAACAAACGATGGAACAATCATCAGCGAACAACCCTTGGAGGCGAAGGCGCTTGTTTGTCACACAATTCCCGAGCGCGGCCTCCCGTCGGATGGCTCGTGCCAGAGAGGCGACGTTTCGGGTGGGGGGGCCTTGGCAGAGAAAAAAAGCGCTGGAGACTTCTGCTCCCAGCGTGTTGGTTCCACTTTTTGAGGACGGGCTGAAAGACCACCCATGAGTTCTCCTTTTGGGGGAATGAACCACCCCTGTGTTCTTGTGACCCTAGTGAAAATGTGGGGAACCCTGTTTGCTCCACTCGGGACGATTGCTATGCCGCCCCCTGCAGGCCTGGAAGCACTGCCTGGCGCTCGCGTTGGCGCTGTGCAGCCTGGACGCCAAGTGTTCGTGTTCTTTTCGAGGGTGAGGCTGACAGGGCTCCGTTTTTTGACCCCAAAGTCGACCAAAAAGCCCAGGGGTGGTTGATTTCCCCAGAAGGGAAACGTTTGGGTTTGAGTCTACCTTGGGGTAGTCGAAAAGGCGGAACCATGGTGGCTGATGGCAAACCGCAGGTTTTGGTACCCAGGTTTCCACTTGCCAGGGCAAGCCATTTTGGGGAATTCCGGTTTTTTGAGTCACAGCCACATGGATCATTGTCAACTTGGAATCCTTTCTTGCAGATCCCCCCTGTTTCCTTCTAGTGATGTGTCCATGGCCGGAGCGCAAAAGCCTTTGTGTCTGTGCTGTTTGGCTTTGATCGTCCGTTTCAATTGCCCTCACCAACTAACATGGAACCGTTCGTGCCCCGGTCCCTTCAAAAGGAAAACAGTCCAAACCAGGACTTCCCCGAACGTCGAACACCGTTCCATGTCAATCGGAGGGCAGCGAACAGTTCGGCGCTTGAGGCTGGCGGCTCCTGGGTTGCGCCTATGCCGGCAGAGGCATCAGCCCGCTGAAAGCGGATATCGAGGCCGCAGCCTCCGAAACGTCCACGGATTCTTGAAAGCGGAACATCCCAAGGACCTCCAATCCCCATGCCATGTTCTTTTGTGCTTGCACATGATGGCCCGACCTTTTCCTTGCTCTGGGAGGTTGTTGCTTTTGCTAGCCCAGGAAAGCATTTCCACTGTCAGACGCATGGCCCGCGGCCCGGTTTCCATGAGGTGCTTGGCGTGCTGCGGGGCCGGCTGGTGGTTGGCTTCCACCCCCAGCTGGAGGCACCTCCGGGGATCAGCAGCCGTTGCCGGACCCCCCGAAAATGGCCCAAGGCTTTCCCTCTTTGGTTTTCGTCTCACCACAAAAAAGGCCATTTGGGGCTGCCCAAAAAAAATCGCCACCCCGGTCTTTGTTGCTTTCTTGAGGGTTCTCTTTTGAGGCCACTCTAAAAACAGACACCAAAAACATGCCTTGCTCAAAGAAACAGGAGGAGTTGATGTTTCCCTACAAGTCTTTGGCTGAAAAGTCTCTGGCTGAAACCAGGGAACTGGAAGGGGTTGAGTCCTTGTCCAGGTTGAAATGCAAGTCTCTGACCGCCAAGGGACTTGTCAGTGGCTTCAGATGAGTTGGACCCAAGTGCCGGAGGCCGTCCACGTGTACGCCAACAAGACGAGGCTAAAGCCTCTCAAGGACAACAAGTGGCGGGAGCAGGAGCGAAGAGAACTCACAACCCACTCCCTGAGGTGCTGGACTTGAAAAAACTTTTGGGAGAGACCATTTTAGTGGTAAATTAATAAACAGTTTGGACTTTTTTGGGCCAATCCACTCGGGAAGTGAGACATGGCAAATGGATGTGGCGCAAATTAAGCAGCTGGGGCAAACCGCAGGTTTTGGTCTTTGTTTCCACATGCAATTTTGGGACACTTTCTTGAGCCACAGCCAAATATCGCTATGCCGCTGGCTATCATGAAGATTTAAAAGCTGATATGTAGTGCTTTGGGAGCGTTTAGAAAGCGTGCCTCAATGCCGTTCTGGGAGCAATCAACATCCACAGGGTTTGCACTTGCTTGTCATAGATGCCCTCAGACCCGGGTCAGGACAGGCGGTATGGCGAGCGAGATTGCAGGCCATGCCCACGATGTGACTTCAGTGTTACAGAACACAGAGGGCTCTACAACCCGCAAATCTTCCGAGTTGTTTTTTTTCGACACAAACAAAGTAAGCCCTGGTTGATTTTATAGCGGAGCACCTCATGGTTAGAGGGATCATTGACCAGTAGGTCAAACAACTCCCCGGCTCAATGCGTCATTCGGCCGGGGCTAACATGACTAGAAGCTTTCGCTTCGCCTCACGGCTTGTGCATTGTCTTAGGTTCGCATGTTGCGTGCCAACTGCTGGCGAGGTACGCCGAGTTTGCGATTCCGCCTTTACCAGCCTCTATCCAGGTGATTGGTGTGGCGCCTAGTGTGCAGCGGCAAATGAAGTGATACGCCTTTCGCATGCTTGATGCTGGGTTGTTTGAAGAAGTCAACTTTCAGTCTCGTCCCTGAATCATCATGCTAGGGTGTGCTGTTCAACTCCTTCATTCCGCGCGCAGGCTTTGAAAAAGCCTGTACGCCTGGACGACTTGGCTGTGGGTCAAAAACATGTACCCAAAGTGGCTTGCCCTGGTAAATGGAAACATGGACTAAAACCTGCGGTCCGATTCCAGGTCTAATTTTGATGAATACCCACTTGTGAGTGCTCAGGCCGTGCAATCGGCGGCAAACCAGTGCGCAATGCCGTTGCCCCAGCCGTCAGCCGCTCGAAGCGCCGGACGCGACGGGAGCCAGGCGACGCATTTTCTGCCGGAGGACAACGTGCCCACGGCCGCGCAGTGGAACGAGCGGGCGCCCCTGGACATTGGGAATGTGAAATGGAATGATCCGAAGAAAAAAAATCCGCCCCCCGGGATTCCTGCTTGGTGAACGGGATGCTAAATGGAAGGACCAAATTTCACGAAAAAGATCCCTTTTCCCGGACCCTTTCCTTCAGCTTTACTTGGGGATCGGACCTTTCTGGGGGTGAAATGGAATGGAAAAAACAAACTCCCCCGTAGGTAATTATGGGGTTTCCTTCAGCTTTAGGAAGGGGATCCATCCACCGGGTCATTCGACTCCAACGCCACACTCGGAACGTGCCATGGCCTATCGCACCGATCGCTTTGAACCTTTGAGCTTCCGTCGCCCTCAGGCAGTTCATGCGGCCTAAGGCAGCACCGCGATTGCAGGCCGGACGCAGAGCTGTAGCCTTGTAGCTTCTTTTTTTGTTTGGTGTTTAGTGGTTCATTGAACTCACTAAAAGTTGGTCACTTTTAGCGGGGGATCTGAGGACAGCCCAGAAATGTAGAGATTGGAAAAGGCGATGGTGCTGTGGCTTCACACAAACCTTGCCAGGGCAAGCGCATGGTCAAGGGACTTCAAGACAGGCCCTGGGCAGCATGCTCACGAGTCGAAGCATGAAGTTGACTCTCCCAGCCATCCGGGTCCGTAGACTTTTAGCCTTTTAGTTGGTTCAGTGGTTGGATTTCCATTTAAGCCACTAAAAGTTAGTCACCTTTTAGCAGCGGATCTGAAAACGGGCAGCCCAGTTGAGGGGGTTAGATCAAGACGAGTCGCTCGCCAGTGGATGGAAGTGAGCCGAAGCGAGCCGAAGCGCCGCGTGGACCCGCGTGGCCGAAAACTGCCCGCTTTGCTCGTATTTGGCTGTGGCTCACAAACATGTATCCAACATAGCCCCCAGGTAAATGGAAACAGAGACCAAAACGTGCGTAACCCTAGCTGTTAAATTTTGAGCCACACCCAGTTGTCTTGCTTTTTGGGGTTGCTGGTCGCTCGGGTGCCCCGCTGTTGCGATGGACGTCGCCCGCGATGGGCGTCTGGCCACGGAGAAGGTGAGAAGCATGAAGCGTGTGGCTCAAAAAACCGGACTTCCCCAAAATGGGTTGCCCGATCGGTAAGTGGAAACATAGACCAACACCTGCGGAGCCAGCCCCTCCTGTTTCATTTTGAGCCGCACCCATATAGAAGCATAGAGAAGCATGGTTGTTTTTTCTTCTTTGTTTTACACATTTCTCACTGAGTTGCATGTTCCCTAAGGTTTAGGGCCAGGAACTCAAGCCGAAGCTTCCGAAGTCGAGTGAGTTCCAGAAGCGCTCCACCTCCAACGGGCCGGCGCCATGTGGAGACGAGGGAGCGCGTGGACTGCGCTCGGCCGGGCCGTGGCATTTCCGGGCCGAAGAGGCGCGCGGTGCTTTTCCGGCGGGCTGGGGAAAGCCGCGGAAGGCCAGTTGCTCCTAGTTGTTTTTTGTTTTTTTTAACCAAGAGTGCTCCGTTTTTTTTCCGGATGTTTCTGGGTCGGCCCTTGACATCAAGCATGCTTGTCCTTGGATGTTTTTGGGGGCTTTTCGCCCTTCGGCGCAGTTGTTTTCGCCGCAAGGCTGGAGCTTGAGTCAAAGGCAGGGGCAACGACGCGCAATCCCCAAATGAGTGGCTGAAGTTCAGAGGTATTCGAGCACCGGGGTCACCAGCCAAATCACCGGCAAGCGGTTGGCAAGCGTGGCCGCGCGGGTCCTCAGCTGACTCCAGGTCTCGCGTGTCACGTGGTGCGACTGGAAATTCGTGGCGTGAGGTCGGCTGCCTGGCGTTCGTCTCCGCCGGAGTGCGGCCCTCAAGCGGATTTTGCCGCGTGCCGCGGTGAAGCGAAGCCTTTGACAAGGTGTTGAGGCCAGGGTTCCGTTTTTTGACTACCCCAAAGTCGGCTAAAGCCCAGGGGTGGTTGATTTCCCCAAAAGGTATTTTTGGGTTTAAGTCTACCTTGGCGTAGTCCAAGAAACGGAACCCGGGAACTGAGGCTTCCTTACAAAGCCCCAACTGTTGGACCAGATTGCGCACTTTCGGGCCGCTTGTAGGCGGTTTACGACTTGATGTCCCAGTGGGTCTCCAAGTCGGAGGCTCAGGGACCTTGTATTTGTTCTTCTTTTTTTTCTGCACACTTTGAACCAGCTTTTTTGTGTGTCTAACTTTTATTTGATCCAGGCGGATCGAGGAGGAATGGGCGGAGGCCGCTGCGTGGTTGTTGCTGGGACACATGTCACATTTTTGCTGTTGGTGGTTTAGTGGTTGAAATCCCCAATTGCCAAAACCCGACCGGCGGTGCGCGAGGACTGGGATGAGGAGCTCGCGGACGAGGAGGGCGCGCCCAAGGAGATGGCCGCGGCTTTCGTTCCGAGCTGAGAGCCGAGCCTTCCCGGAGGCGAGGGGCTGAGAGGTGTCCCCAAAGCGCCTTGAAGATGGGAACCGAAGATCTCCGCAAGTTCGGCATCTTGTGCCGAACGCCGAAATGTGACCAGATCAGCTTTCGGCGTTGAGGCGAGCTAACGAGATTTTTCGGGGCATGCAACAGCTCGTTGGATCATGAGGTCAATATGCCAAAGTTTGCAACTTCCGAGACTTGCACCTAGGCTCTCGCCAGATCGCTGCGCTACCAGCGCAGCAATGTGGGCCTGGCGCCCGAGTCTTCCCGAAACAATTGAGCCGCAATCAGCACCTGGGTCAGCAGACTGGTGGTTCTTGTCTTTCTTTAAGCTTTGGTTTTGAGCGGACCTCTTTAATTTTGCGGTTTGGTTGTGACTCAAGTGGAGCCGGAGCCTCGTGGATCTTTGTGACGGCCGTGTGCTCCGTCACATTTCGCGCCTAAAGCGAGGCACGCGGCACCTGCTCTTCGTGCGCCACGCGCAGCCGGGGGAGGAGGCGGAGCTGTCGCCGCTGGGGCTTCAGCAGGCTGAGCTCGCGGCGCAGAGGCGATCTGGGTGGGATCAAAGGCTTCGCAAAACCCCCGTCCATTGGGAAGAACCGCCCATGGCTTCAGTTTACCTTTCTCTTAAAAGGGGGGTCCCCCAGGTCATGCTGGCACCGCGAAGACTTGAATCCGACGTTGCCAGGATCTTCAGCCAGGTTGGGCTGTCCAAGTACAAGGCGGCCTGCGAAAGTGACAGGTGGTGGCTCTCTAAGTCGGGGCTCAGGTGATTTTCCACGCGCCCTCGGCCGAAGCCAAAGCCACTGCAGACGTCATCCAGAAGCGCCTGGGGAAGGCCGAAGTTCCGAATTTTTCCGAAGGCGGCTGAAGGCGAGAGTGACACGTGATCTTGGAGCAGGTGCTGGCGAAAGAGTCGGATCTGCTGGTGGAAGGCGTCCCCATGGTGCCTCAAGCTGCATTTCAGGAGTCTCTAGTGGCTAATTATGTGTTTTTTGTTCAAGACTCTGAGAAGAACCAACTCCCAAAAACCCCCAGAAAGGGCCTTCCTGTGGATGGACAAAGTCCATGTAACGCAGCACCGAAGAGAAATGATGGTTTCTGCCTCGATTCCCCAGCGTAAATATCAGCCAACGCTATGGTTTCAACTTAGAGACAGAATCCGTTCGCACCACTTTGAAACCACGGTTCAAACTTTCAACCGTGGTTTCAAAGTGGTGCGAACGGATTCTGCCTCTCCACAGTCTTAACTGCTCGCCCATGGCCTCGCAGGTGCCAGACCCAGCCCCGGCCGCTCGGCGCTGGACGACATTTTGCCGCTCACGCCTCTAAATGGCCATGGGTCATGAGCTATGCATTTCTCCATTGGGCGGATGAACAAGTATGTAGCACCAGGGGTACCAGGGGTTTTGACCCACAGCCAAATCAAAGGTTGATCAATTCACCGGGGGTGTCCCGTTGAAATCGGTGTCCGATTTGGGCTGGCGCCCAGCTCGAAGCCCGGAAGCCCATTTGTTGACTACGAAGTAGACTTAAGCCCAGAGGTGGTTGATTTCCCCAAAAGGGACACCTCCCTTGGAGTAGTCCAAAAATGTGTGTCCCAGTGTGAAGAGTCAATTAATGATATTGTAAATGTTGATGAATCGTGCTTTTTGTTGTTAAAAGGCCATAGTCAGCGTGTCTAATTGGTTATAGTTTAGGAGCAGTTGCAGCAGCTGCCCAAAGATGTGCGGCGCTCGGAGTTTGTGTGAGCGAGCCGGCCCACTCTCCGAACCTTCAAAAGAAGTATGGAGCCAAGAGGTGTGCGCCATGCATCATCCAGTGCCATCGATAGCCCTGCTGAAACCCATGCAGTGCTTCTTTTTTTCTCCAGATGTTGACGCTTGTAGCTCAGGTCCTGTTCAAGGACATGGTTCGCGCAGAGGGCGCCTTGCGAACCCACCTCGCGGCAGACTTAAGTGGACTAGCTACTGAGACCATCTGTTCTTCTTTTCTTTTGTCCGTTTTTGCGGCAGAGAGGTGTGGAGCACGCAGTTTTCACGGTTCCACGCCGCGGGCTTTCCATTCAGACGGCCATGGCCAATCAGACGCCATCGTTTTTGCGGCTGCGCCGCGCCTCGCTCGCTGCGTGTCGTTTCGAGCCCCGTCCCAGTGGCGCCCTGCGGGTGGCCCCGAGAGCACCGCGGAGATCGTCGTGGGCCACGGGAACCAGATGCGCTACGTGCTGTGCGCCGGCCTCGGACAGCCGGAGACAGGCGAATGGGGACTTTTTTTGTTTTTTTTGTTTTAGATTTTTTTTTTATTTTTTTTTTCGGGGGTGGATGAAGAGGTCTGGGTTAATTAAAGGTGGGGACTGGCTGGCGGAGGAAGGCGGAAAGTCTGAAGATCGTCACGTTGATGAGAAGGTGCCGGTTAAAGGAGGGATGGAAATGCATTGGCTGGAAAAAAGAGTATTTTTTGAGCTCTCCGTTTGGGGAGAAGGAACCCTGCCCCACATCTGGGTATGGGTCAGAATTAAACCAGCAGGATATGGACCGCAGGTTTTAGTCCGTGTTTCCATTTGCCAGGGCAAGCCATTTTGGGGTTAGCCTTTTTTTGACAACCACAGCCATCTCAAGCGGCCTCTCGGCAGATCAAAAGGCCGAGCCCTGCAGCTGAACCCCAACGTTTGGTCGCGCTTTGCGGTGCGGCGGCCTAGACGTGGCAGCTGGAAGGAGCCTGGTAGTGTGGGGGGGGGGGTTGATCCATGGTTGTGGCACACAAATGGGTCAAAATCCAAATCGTACCCCCAGTGAACATCCCAATCCAACCACTAAAATAGACTAAAATGGGTGGTGAATTCACCTAGAGCCAAATGACCAAGTCCAATTATTTCCATGTTGGAAATATCGTGTCTTCCCCTGATGGTCATCCCATCTCTACCGGACCTTTCGATCAACCCCCATGTGTGAAGACTGGATTGCAGCCGGGTCGCAACTGTGTGCAAGCCTGCGATGTTGTAGTCAGAGCTTTTGCTAGAAAAAACAACTGAGACACCCCGCATGCTACATAGGCTCGTTGAGAGAGCTACCCCCTACTCGAAATACCATCTTTTTTCAGGGTATCATGTCGACCCTCTACTAAAAAGGCATTATTTACCATGCAAAACCAGGTTTTCCCAAAAATACCCTGAACAACGCGGGTATTTTGAGTAGGGGCTAGGCTGCCTTGAGCGGTCTGCGTTTCTATGCGCGCGACGCGTCGCTGACACCAGGCTGGCCATGCCACGGTCTCGTGGCTGGAAATCAGCAGCGACGGCTCTGCGGCTTGGCGGAAATCGTCTAAGTGCCTGTGGGTCAATAATAGGTACCCCAAATGGAATCCTGGTAAATGGAAACATGCCTAAAGCCTGTGGTTCTCTGGCGATTGAACATTTTCATGCATACCTAAGTTGGTTGAGCAGCGGGGTGGATGCTGGCTGGTCTGGTTCTCACGTTTCAGGTAAAACGGTAGATCAGCAGAATATGTTTACTTTTTACAGTAGAATTCTTAGAAGGGTAAAACCACTGTACGTAGTTTTACCGGGAAAAAGAACGACCGTTCTACTCTTTGAGGAAAGCCACAAACCATGTTCCCAGTGTCCGGTTTTGCTGAGGAACATGAAGAACACGTTTTGCTAAGGAAGAGCGTAAGTTCGTTCTGCCGTAGCACCGTTTTACCTTTTCCCCGTTTTACTGGGAACACAGTTAGTGCTTTGCACCTTCAGCTGGATGGACGCGCGTTCATTTGGTGTGCTTCGGGTTTAGGCACACGCCTTGGCTTCAAATAGGTTTAAACAGCTGGGCAGGTTTGGCCTTGAGGGCCTGGTTTTGTGTTAAGTTGTTAGCAGGGAGTCGTTTGTTCGGCGCCTAGGGCATCGCGAAACTTATGGAGTTTGATAGTTCCCGACTTGCGCAGCGCTACTTGCAAGGATGAAAGCCCGACTCAGCAACAGCATCCGTTTGCGCAAGTTCAATTCAGCAACTACGCAGCAACAATTCGCGATTCAGGTTCTATGTAAACAGAAACTGCGACTCAGCAACTATTTTGTCGCAATTCAGCGACTACGATTCAGAGACGATTTTTGCCTCGACTCAGCAGCTGCCGTTCAGCAAGGCTTCAGCAACTAGAGCTCTGTGTGAGCGCCTGCCAGATGATAAGCGCAGCCACTTCAGAGAACCTGCGCAACATTGTACTACGCTTGTGCTGGTTCCAAAAGCACCGCAAGCCGATTCCTGGGAAAAAAAGGGTCACAAGAGAAAAGACAGCAGGTGGTTGCGAACTGTAGTGCTGGACCTGTTCTTGATAGATTGGGCATCTAGCATACAATGTTTTCTTCTTTCAGGATCCTGGGACCTGATCCTGTTTAATATGACTGTTTTGGGGTCTTCTTTACTGTCAAGCCTTTGTGGGGTGGGGGCTGGCAATGCAAAATTTCGATGCTAGATGAAGTACTAGGAATCTATTCCATTGATAATTGGCAATAAACAATTCTGTATGAGTAATCTGAGCTTCTTTTTTGTTAGCAATACTAAATTTGGAATTGGCAAGTCCAAGTCGAACCCACATCTTCCCCCTCATTTTCCACAAAAGAGGCTAAGGGGGCGGGGCGAGGGACCATTCAGGAAGGGGCAAAATTGGTTTGGGAGTTCTTTTCCGCGCGTTTTCCCCCTGATGCCCTACCGTTTTAGTGAGAGGTAACATCCCCCATGTCTTTTTGGGCTGAGATGAAAAGAATGCCAGTCAACTTGTTGGGCCTTGGGAGTTTCTTGGAATGGAAACATGTTGGCTCATGACATGGTTCGTTTTGAGCCTTTGGAACCATGTTGAGTTGGAGTTTCACTGAATCATGACATGTTGGATGAACTTTCCAGTGACTTCAGGGACCCGCTAAAAGTTGAGTTGTCACGTGCAGAAAATCTGGAAACGGGGGCAGCCCGGTCCAGAGAATCCAGGGAGAACCGCCTCAAACCGACCGTCGATGCCCTCAGGTGCTCCTCCGGGAATTCGGGGGCTCCGGGCACCTACCGCCGGAGCTGCGCACCTACCGGTGAATCCGGTGAAATGCGCGCGTTTGGCGAATTCGGCGCGCGAATTTTCGCCCTCTCCGAGCGGTGAGCCGAGGGGGTTTGAGTTGATCCGCTTGCATTGGGTTTGTCCGATTCGGGTTGAAACCCCAAAGAAACACAAGGGGTCGATACATATGGCTGGTCGAAAGCAATGGAATGGGATCCCATTTTAGTTGGTAGGTGAATTCACCACCCATTTTAGTCCATTTTAGTGGTTGGATTGGGATGTTCACTGGGGGTACGGGGTTTTGACCCATGGCCATATGGCCTCAAAAGAAGCCAAAATGCGGGTCGATTAATATGGCCTGCTTGGTTCTCGATTTGCTTTGGTCGTCCTTTGGTTTTCCGTTCAAAGTGGCCCGAGAGCTTCACGAAAGACCCGTGGGGACCTTGCGAGAGCTTTCGGATCGCTTTTTTGCATCTTGGGCTTAGAATGAGGGACCCTGGGTGGTTGCGTTCCTTCCTTTTTCTGTTTCAAGCCATCCAAAGCATGGGACCCCCATTGTGAGACTTGCCCACATTTACTTTGATTGAACTTATGACTTATGGCTGTGGTTGAGCTAATGTGTATTTACATATATATATATATATAGTGGATACGTCTCTGAGAGTAAAAGTACATACCCCAAAGTACATACCCCGAAATAATGGAAACACCTTCTCGGGGTAGGGATGTGTGCTTGCCACTTTCACTGTTAGCCTATGCCAGGCGCTACTCGTGATGGTTTGTGTTCAGCCCCGGGATGGCAAAAGCAGTGTGGGCAGAACAACGCCCAGGTGATGCCCCAGATTTCGTATTTTGAGACCGGTGCTGAGGAACCCTGGACAAAGCCCACCGGGGCCGCAGAGTACATACCCCAAATTTCTTCAATTTCTTTCGGGCCGGGAAAACACAGCATACCGTGGGGAAAAAAGTACATACCCCAAAATAGTTGGTTATGGGTGCGTCCTTTGTTCTGGGGCTCCTTTTTTGGGGTATGCGGGGGGGTTGTGGGTCTTGGGGTAGCTTTTTGGTCATTGGGGTGGGGTTGGCGGGGAATTCGGGGGAGGGATGCCGGGTGATTTCGGGAGAGTTTTGGGGGTCAAGGGATTCGGGGGGTAGAAAAGGGAAATCCGGTGCCAAGAAACGCAGGTGCAAGTGAAAATGGGGCACGCCGCCTTTGCAACATTGTATAACCCCTATATAACCACTCTATAGTCAACTTTTTTTGGGTATGTGATTTCGGGGTATGTAGAAAAACCCTTAGATACGTGATGAGTGAAGGGGAGTGGTGATGCTTGCCAATTGGAGGCGAACTTAGAATTGGAACTACGTTTGACGTTCTCAAAAACATATGTCGTACCAACACAAAAAATATAAAGATTCACAAACTAAGTTCATCTTGACAACCTCCTCCCCTTTTTCGCAAGTACGAAAATGCTTCTCATGGCGGTAGCAGATTGCCGAATCCGCACGATAGACAGCAATTGATACTTGCGTGTGTCTCATAGAGCATCTTTGTCGGGAATCTTACTGCGCCTTACTGCTGTTCACGTGAACACCCTGAGTGTTTGATAGTGCGACATGCGATGTGTGCGTCCCATGTTGCAGTGGTGCCACAGATGTGACGCATTTTGACAGCTACTTGATCTGGTGCTCAACAGCGGAATACGAAGACACGGGTTCAGTTTGCGCACACATGAAGTTCTACTGATCTTGAAGAACTCGAGCGGGGTTTCTCTTGAGAGATGCTGAGTGCAGCCAAAAACCCATGGCCTTCTCATCGAGCGCCTGCTGGAAAGCCCTAGTCTCAGCATGGCGCATCCGTATCAAAAACGAGGCCGCGGGCCGCCCATTTGCCACAAACCCTACCAGCATCTAGTCCGCCCAAGGGCAAGTGTCAAAAGGAAAAGGCAATCCGCGAAATCTGCAGTGATACTTTCTTTCTTATGTCTTCTCTGAGTTCTACAGACGGTTAAATATAAACAGGCTAAGCAAATGTCTGCTAAATCTGCAGTCTTTGCATGTTACATGTTTATATCTCATTCTAAATCTCTGCGCTCTAGATTTCTGTGTTCTGCAGAGGTACTTGGGGTAAAGAGCGTCTCAAAATACACACTTAATGCAATCAGCGTAGTCTGTCAACCCAAGGAGTTTTGTGCAAACCTGCCGTTTCCTTTGTCTGGTGAATATCTTCAAGCATTTTTGTTTTAGCTGTTGATACCTGTGCTTTCCTTTCTTCTTACCCAGATATGCCTGATCGTAGTGATCCTGGTTCACATTGTCGTCGGTCATGTATTGAGCTTTTGTCCCGGTGCTCCTCGCTTGAAGGGTCGAACTCATTTCACCGCGGTTGCCCTGTTTGCCTTTTGAACTTATTTGTTTCTTTATTATTATATATTCAAGCGGGTTTTCATTGAACAAACATTGGGCCACATGCATTTATTTTCTTCTTTTTCTTCTTCCTTTTCTTCTTCCTGACACATTTCCGACAACAAATGCCTTGTGATCTACGAGGATGCCTTCCAGACCTGGCGACCTCGAGATCTCGAGACTTCCTCTTCTGAAGCCAGGGAGACTTCCAGCCTTCCCCGAGGCAATTTCCCCAAAAAATCGCCTCCCTCCCCACGTTCCCAAATGGCATCTGACCTTTGAGCCACGTGCTCAAAGCCGATTCGCGGAGTGAAGCTTAGTGAGGGGGCACTCCCCTGGCCATAAATGGCTGCGGAATTCCGCCCTCTTAATTTTTGGCGCCTTCAGGAAGTTCATCTTCCAGGTACCCTCGCACAGTCGCTATTGTTAGACATGCAAACTATACAGTTCGAAACCGCGATAGTCGCAAGGCCTGCGAGACCTTTCTCACGGTCGCAACATGCGCCGCCCCTTCTTTGCGCGCCAAGATGAGCCAAGACCGCCCCAGGCTGACAACAATGTGTTGCGTGCCAGAGCAAAGTGGCCGCCCTTGCCTGCGTTTCTTGGTCGCGCTGCTTCGCACTTCTCTCCTGAGGTCTAAATGATTTTGCAAGGCTGATGTGCGCAGCTGTTGTTTTTCTGGTCGATGCTGTTTCTTTTCTCTTTTTTTTTTTTTTGGGGGGGGGGGCAGACCAGAAACACAAAAGGCACCGCTCGCTGTGGCGAAGCAGCCGAGGCTCGAGCACATGAGCTAGCGGAGGCGGTGGGCTGAGTGCTGGAGATGGTGACTTTGTTTGAGCCGCTGGTCGCCAAGTATCAGTATTCTCATGATCAGTTGTTCAGGGGCACCCTTTTTCCCTTTTTTTTGGCTGGCTGCCCTACTAAAAATGGTCTTCCTTAAAAAGGGTTCTTTTTTTTCCAGGGTCACTGAACAACTGAGTATTTAGAGCAGGTTGTGGCGTGATTCTAGGGGTTTATGATGTAGGTCTGCGTCGGTGGCCTAGACAACGCTTTGGCCCTTGAGGGGTTGATTCCTTGTCCATTCTTTTCAACCACCGTTCTTTTCAACAACCGGATCTGTTTTGGGTTTTTGATGGTTTCCTGAAAGGAAGGATCCCTGGAAAGAATGGGGAAGGTACCCCTAGAGTGATGTCTCAAACACTCCTCCTCCTTGAACGCAAAAAAGAAGCGTTTTGCGGCAGATTGCAGCTTTTGTGACTGGCTACATGGAATTTGCAGCCCGTTTGTCCTCATCTCAAGCGCGACGGGTAGACGGCTAGACACGAGTCGCCAGACCTGAGCAGTTGGGCAAGATGTACGGCCGCTAGGCTGCAGCTCCGGATTGACCCCCTACTCCAAATACAAACTTTTTTAAAAGGGTATTTTGTCGAAAAAAAACTGGGTTTTCATGGTAAATACCTCCTTTTGCAGTAGAGGGTCGACATCATACCCTCAAAACAAATGGGTATTTGGAGTAGGGGGGATGTGAGGCGTGTGTTGCGAACAAAGCGGAGGTACTAACAAGGCGGTTTTTGGTTACGCCCGTCCTTGCCTAGAACAACCCAGGGTGTCTTTTTGCCACCTTTTGTGAGAAAGTTGGCGACCCCCTCGAAAAGGAATCCTTCACTAGGAGATGGGTCGATCATTTTTCCACGAAAGCTGGCAAGCAGACCGCTTTGGAACAACCAGTATTTGCGCACCGTGGCTTGCCCGAATCCAGCACGCGGCAATTTCATGGCCCTTTTTCTGGGGGTTGTCCGGTGGAAGTTCACGCTAACAGCAAGCAGAAAAAAAAGCACGCTTCCCCCGAATGACCCGGCGTCAAATAGGGTAGGATGGGTAGGCAAGCCTTTTTGTATTACGGTTTTATTGGGGGTGCGGCCGATATGAACGTCAACCATATTAATCTAGAATCAAGCGTCAGGTGAAGCTTCCGGCACGTGATATGAACCTTGAGACCATATTGCCAGACTCAAGCCTCAGGCGAAGCGCTCTCTGCTCGCTCACTCCCTCTCTTGCAGGTCACGCGGGCCGGGAGATCATCCCCCTCTGCAACAAGCAGGTGGACGTCGACAACCTGAAAGAGATCAGAGATGCGCCCGAGAAGCGGCGGCGCCCGCCTGAGATAACTGGACTTCGCAGGGCCACGAATGTCGGGCACCAAAAAACATATCTGCCTTCAATTGGGCCACGTGCTCAAAGCCGATTCGGGTACCCTCCCTCCCACTAACATAGCACCTGTGGGAGGGTGCCTGGAAGATCAATCTCCTCTTGTAGGCACCCCCCTATCAGGTGCCATGTTAGTGGGAGGAAGGGTAGATGAAGGTGAGTAGGGAACACTCCTCTGGCCAGAAATAGATGGGTGCAGATATCCGGATTTTTCACTTCCAGCATGGTGCTGGCTTTTGATTATGACGCAATCGGTTTGAGCTTGGTGTTCCAAGTTTGAACTCCGACACCAAACGTGCCGTTTGCACCCGACTTCGTGCTGCCACAGGCAGAACAAGATTCAGGACTGCCGGCAGATCACTTGGCAAGATGTCCATTGCGGAAATGGGTTGTTGGCACATGTCAATGGGTTGCTTTTTGCATTTTTTCCTCATAGAAACGAGCATGCAGATCTTATCAGTCCAGCGACACCCTGGTCTGTCATTGCATGAGAAAGATCACAGCCATTCGTTCAGGAGATCAGGGCTGGGGCAAGCCTCCTGCAGAGGAATGGGCGATTCCCATCCAATCGAGACTCGGATGCACTTGGAGCGTTGCTTTCCGCCGGATGACAAACGCCTAAACTAGATCGAACTTCAATTCGCCCAGTGTTCGCTGCTTCCCAAGAAAAGTCCACGAGTCAAAAATACGGAACCACTACATGGCTTGCCCTGGTAAATGGAAAGGACGAAAAAACCTGCGGTCCATCTCCTGGAGGTTTAATTTTGACCCATACCCAACAAAATGTGTTTTCCTTCTTTGTGCGCGCTTGACCCATACCCATGCCCAAAGAAAAGGGGGCTTCCATGGGCTTCCCTTTCAACATGTACCCCACAAACGGCCGCTTGGCCCACAAAAGAACGGGTGATCATTATTTTTTTGCCCCACAAAAAACGGATGATTATTACTATGTTTTGGGGGGGACCCCAGGATCAGACACCTTGTTCTTCGGTTTCGACACGTCCACGCGTCTTTGCGGCGCCTTCCACGTCAGGGCCGTGCCAAGACTGCGCCTGGGCGGTGCTCTTTGGGGTCGTGGTGATGGCTGTGGTGGGCTTCTGCGTCTACTACTCGCAGGCGAAAGCGCCGGAACCCGGGGGACTTTTTGGGGATCTGATCCCCACCCCTTAAGTATGGTGGAATTCCTGGAATTCCATTGGTTCCATGTCCATTTTTGAGCAAGTCGACTTCAACCCAGGGGAACCCTTTGGGTACATGATCCACGGGGTTGAAGTCATTTTGGGGGTCAAAAAGTGGAACCCTGCTCGCAGGCGCGGGCGCCCCCTTGTCGGGGGCCGGGGGCAGACGAGTCCCTGAACGCCTTTTTTGCCGCCAAAAAATGGGGGGGAGCCAATCTCAGGTCGGGGACCGGGGGTACCAAGTTTGGTAGTTGTATGCTCCAAAGTGAGAAAGGGGGTACCAACTCAAATTAAATTGATATCCAGGTGTTCAAGGCAAGTTTGGGGCTCTTGCTGGTGCGATAGTTAGGGAATGACCGAGTCCGGGTGTTGGGAATGAACCGGTTTTGGCAATGCCCGAAAAAGCAAACCACAGGGTGGATGGTTTTTCTTGGTTGTTCCCTCATTCCCTGTCGTTCCCTGAACCAGCAAGATTTGGGTGCAGTGAATTCGTATCGGTACCCTCCAATCATGGAAGCTGACGCTCGGAGGGGTTCGGAAGACTACTTTCTTTTGGGAAACCTCCTGATAGCTCTGATTTTGTTGATAATTCTAGCAAAACATATCGTCGATATGAATTATTTGATTTTAAATGTAAGAATTTGGAAGAAACATAATTGATTTATATGTTATATATATATTTTGAAAAACATATGTTTGGCTTTGAATGCAATATGCATTGAATTCGTCGAATCGCTCGCAGGGCTGGGTGGAAGCCCATCTCATCCCTTTTTTGGGGCTCCAATCCTGAAACATTTGGGGGAACGGGCGTAGCGCATGTTGGGCTGAGCAGCTGAGCAGCTTTCGGTTGGATGCCTTGCCCTTGGCAGGAGATAGACACGACCATCAACGATGATTCGGACTTCATCGCTTCTTGGCCATTGGCTTTCCAGTCAGAGGCACTGCGCAGTTTTCCTCTGTTAAAAAAAAAAAAACGCACTGTGTGGTTTTCCTCTAAAAAAAAGCAAGCAAGTCGAACAACAAGAACAACCCAATGCATGGAAGTAACAGCATTCACACTCGCATGCGGTTCATCTCAGAATGGGCGGACGCACGATCATCTGAGCGTGGAAGACATCAACCACCTGGCGCTCACGGTCAACTTGGCAGGCTGCTTGGGTCATTTTTGCAGCAACAAGATGCCAGCACAGGCTACACGTGTTTCTATGGAGGCAACTGGGGAATTGACAGGGTCTCCTTCCAGCATACCCCCTACTCCAAATGCCCTCTTTTACTAGGGTATGATGTCGACCCTCTACTAAAAAAGGAGGTATTTACCATGGAAACTCAGGTTTTTCAAAAAAACCTTAAAAACACGGGTATTTGGAGTAGGGGGTACTTGTCCAGGATTGTAGAGAGCTCCTGGAGTTTGCCAGGACAAATGGGGCACTATGGCGATCGGAACACGTGAACCACACGCGGATCCATGTGTCCATTTTTTCCGAGCAAGACATTTGAGCACACCAGAGATCATGTCTTGGTTTTGGCATCCCGCAGCATTGTATGCCACCACCAAACCGCTACTGTACCAAGCTTGCTGGTGCTCAGTAAGGAATCTGGGAATGCCCCTAAAAAAAAGAAAAAAAGAACATTCCTTGTGCTTTCTAGGTTCATTACCACATTCCCTACTGAGCACCAGCAAGCAAGGGGGGAATAGACTTCATCTGTCCTTCGAGCTCGGGAGGCATTGCAGGCACCGTGGCCTCTTTGTTTGTGGCCTTCTTTTACATGACCGCCGCGCATTCTTGCCCGCGGCCAATCGTGTGCCTCGACCAGCAGTATTTTTGTTCCTGAAGCGCTCGGTTGAGCCAAGCCGAACACCGCCTTGGGTATCCCAGAAGAGAACCGGCAATGAGCCCTTGTACTGCCGGACGCGGGGCGTGTAGTTTTTCTTTTCGGGTTTCGGTGCCTTCTTTTCCCAGGTTGTGACTCTAGCCAGTGATCAGTGGGCTCAGGTATACCTCGCTCTACTTGGTCCCCGCATTGTCCATCCTTGGTGGAGCAGTGATGTTGTACTTTGGCTTCTCAAGGCTGGGTTGAGCAGTCGGGTCACATGTGGCAAGCAAGACACGGCATTTGTGGCGGCACTCGTTGACAGTATCGAGCTCCGTGCAGGCTGAATGATCCACATCTTTCTGAGGAAAAGCAAGGTGCTTCCTATTCTTTCCTCTTCTCAGGACGGCATCTTTGGCTCAGATCTGCGAACTCTGACCATTGGCAATACAAAAAACCGGCCACGTGTATGAATGTGTCAGAGGCGCGACTCGAGACTTGACCGAAGCTTGACCGGATCGGCAGGATTGGCCCTGATGGCCATGGGTATGTGCTACGGCTTCTGCGTCTTCTGCTGCTGGTCCCGCTACATTCCCTTCACCATCCAGGTCCTCGAGATGGCGCCTCGCCCTGAAAAAAATTGAGGGCTCGCCCAGCGCAACGAAAACACCGGATCTTCAGTTGCTCCACTCACTTTCGCAAGGAGAAAAGCCCCGGGAAGCTCCCAGAGCTAGGACGGATTTTTCACTTCCAGCCTGTTGGGAGCTGGGAGCTTCCATGTGGGTCTTGGTCAAAATTACACCAGGATATGGACCGCAGGTTTAGTCTTTTCCAAAAAACCGGGGCAACCCATTTTGGGTACCAATTCTTGACCCACATCCATGTGCGCCTGAGGGAGAGGTTTTTGTTGGAGCGTCAGGTGGCAGATGTCTCCAGCCAGAACCCCTGTGCGCGGCCTAGCCCGGGCGAGGGGCGGGGTAACGGCAGCTCTTCGCTTCAGATCGAACCGGTGAGTCGAAAGCCGCGGACGCTGGTTGGTTGGGAACTCTACTCAAAGCGCCGTCTTTCTTCGGAGTGGGTTCGGTTTTCGGGCTTTTTTTTAAGCCCTGGCCTGTTTTGCGACCAGCCAGTTCGTTGTCCCGAGGCAGTTCTAAGCCTTCATTCGGGTTGTGTGAACCTCAGACAATCCCAAATATTCAGCTGCACCCCATTTTTCCATGCAAATGGTTGCGCAAATGGACCTCTGTCCAAAAAAAAAACGAAGTTCTTTTTTTGTTTGCCCAAAACAAAAAAGACCGAGAAATTTGAGGGTAGCGCGCAGTCCCAACCACAAATGGGTGCGGATTTCTCTGTTGATTCCTGGAGCTCGGGGGTCATTCCCTCATTCCCTGTCTATCGCACCAGCAAGTCTTGATACCGATCGGTTTGGACTACGCATCCCGGGATTTCGGCATGTCGCCGTTGGAATGTTTATCCGAAATGGCCGTTGGTCAAACCCCTTCTGGCCGCAAAACAACGCAATCCCCGCGAAAACTCGTGGGGGGTTACCTGGCTTCGGCTGTTCTCCCGCTTAGAGAGAGCAAAGAAAGCGCTGAGGCATGATCGTGGTCTCGGTGTTGGGGGCGTGTGCCTCCAGCGTCTGGATCGTGATGGTGAGTGTGTGCTACGCCATGACCATGCTGAAGCACGAGAAGGACTACGCCAACCAGAACAAGCCGCGCGGATGAACAGTTTTCAGCGGGGGAATTTGGGATCAACTTACTTGGCACGTCGGGAAAGACGCAGTTTTTGTTCTTTTTAATTAAGATCCTTTCCAGAAAAGCCTAGGGGTTCCATTTTCCAGGGCAAGCCATTTTGGGTTACCCTTTTTTTTGGGGCGCCCACGCCCAATAGCAACCCCAAACTTGAAAGTGTTCTTCCAAGAACGAACTCGCGTCTCAACATTGGGACCACAACTGGGATGATACTCGATGCGGGTTCTTCTCAGGCCACAATCCATGTATCGTTCAGAAGCTGATTTCGTCCTCCCGTGAACGAAATTGAAACTCTAAGAGTCAAGTTGGGTCTCCATCCAGTTTTTCTCCTAGCCCTTCGGGTCAAATGGCCGTGGGTCAAAACCAGAATTGTACTATTTTGGGGTAGGTGCCCCACCCGTTTTAATTAATCCATTTTAGTGGTTGGATTGGGATTGAACTCACTGGGGGCACGATTTGGCTTTTGACCCATGGCCAAATGCTTGGACACTTTGGCGGAGCGAGGCACTTGATGACCCCACTGGATTTCGCACCTCGGCGTCAAGACAAGTGCCCAAGGTTTGGCTATACGGGGTTGATCAACAGGTCCGCCAAACATGGGATGACCCTTGGTTGGAAAGCCACTAAAAAGATGAATGGGAAAAGTGGCCATAGTCGTGGCCGGGGGCCGAAGGGACTATTGATCACCCCCGCACCCCCCCCCCTTGTCGGCAATGATGCTCGGAGACGGTGCGACCGAGGTATTCGTCCTCACACTGGGCTGGGGCTGTGGAGTCATTGCCATGGTGTGCCATACCGCCTATTGTGGGGTTTTCACGCGCTGGTACTTCGCACAACCAGGCGCTCCGTCGCTTTCTCCGTGCTTTCTTGCGCACAATTTCTCGCTCGAGTCCTGGAGTCCTGCCAGGGAACTATCTTTGGAAGAGCCTGCGCGTGGCTTTGACCACTTCCTTTGGTGCCGTGTCTGCAAAAAGACGAGAAATCCGCCCTTTGCGTCGTGTGGCGTTGCTGGCAGTTTTGAGATGCGGGCTGTGTTTCTGGCGACGCTGCATTTGCAGGGCTAGAGTTCATTTCAAGGTTTGCCGCTAGCAAGCCGTGTTGAGCGCTTGAAACAAGCCCTACATCAGACCCGGGATCTGTCTGGCGGGTCACATGTGTAAAAGTTCATGTCATGCTTGACACAAGCCCTACGCAAGCAGTAAGCAGCCCCCAGAGGATCCGAGAGAGCGCCTTGAGATGAGCTGAGGCAGCATCTGCTTCGGCTCCTTCACCATTGCCGCCATCCGAGCGGTCGAGGCGCTGGCCGGACGCCCAGACAAGAAGCTGCGTGCCCGGGGCGGCGGGTGGCTTGTCCTTCTGTCTTTCTTTTCTTTTCCTTTTTCTTTTTTTTTGGGGGGGGGGGCGGGTGAAGTCGAAATCAAAACCCGAAGTGATTCTCTTTTTTGTTGTCGGGTGGGAGGTGGAGTCGAACTCAAGACCCGAAGTGAATTGTGAAGTTCTTCCCAAGAAGACCGTCACCAGGAAAACAAATCCGGTGTTTTCAACTCGTCCCTTTGGGTTTTCGGCTCAGGTGAGGTCCGCGCAGCGGCAAGCGAGCAGCGACGGCGCGGGCCTCGAAGGGCCCAGAGGGCCCGAGACGCGCGGAGCTCGGGGCGCGCGGCGCGCGCGCGGAGAGCTTTCGGAGCTGAGGCAACATGGTGGGCTGTGTGCTCCTGTGCATCCTCGACATGTTGATCGGATGCATAGGACAACCAAAATAAAATGGGTGTGCTTGGGTGCTTGTGTGTGAGTGAGTGTTTTCTTTTTTTTCTTCTTGGGGCGGGGCGACCCCCAGAATGGTGGTTTTCCAATCGGTTTCCCTTTAAGGCCAACGAACAAGGGGTACTCCTCCCCCCCAAAAAAAAGAAAGAGGAAAAAAAAACCAACTCTCCATACCCCCCAAGAAAAAAGGGAAAACAACCACATGTTGCTTGCATTTGCTTGACCCAGAGACCGCAGGAGATCTTTTGGAGTACTTCAACGACTGGGTCTACGTGCAGTGCGCCCTGCGCGGCACCTCCTTCTGCGAGTCCGTGAAAACCACCTACAGCCTCATCGTGTCTTGGCTCAGGCCATCCGATTTCTTAGCTCCTTGTGAGCTTCTTCGTTGGTTGTGGGTCAAAACCTAAGGTGCCTGTTTGTGGATGGTTACCACTCCACTGTTGTCTTTCTAGAAGGCTTTCTGGGTGTTCACCGAAACACCGGGGTTTTGACCCATAGCCAGTTGGTTGCACAGCTTGCAGGGGATTTCTGAAGACGGGCAGCCCAGGTTTGCAACAACGTCCAGCGCCCCGGCGGGATCAAAGCTCCGCGATCGCCCTCCGTGAGTGCAGAGTGAGGGCTCGGCAGTTGGAGGGTCGATCAAGCCAGTCGGGAAAACGGGGGGGGAAACAAAAAAAACAGCAAACATTTGAGCCACTTGGCTCCAAACCGATTCGGGTAGATGAAGAAGAGGCGATCCCAAGACATGGGTGCCGCCTCTTTTCCAAAGAAATATTGGAAAAAACATGGTTCCGGGTTCATGTTGGTACCGGATCGGTTTTGATGCCTCAACCCTCGCAGCTTCGGACCGTCGAGAAACCCTCCGAGGAGCATCATCGCGGATCTGCTGATCAGCTCCGTGGTGAGCCTCGGCGGGCTCTTGTGCGGCCTGGTGGGCGCGTGCGTGGGCGCCGCGATGGCCTACGGGCGCCGTGGGCTCAGTTCGTAATTTCGCCCTTGGCGTCGAAGCTCCGGTTTGGTTTTTTTCCTCCGAATTTTTTGGTTTCCCCCCAGGCCCGTCTGAGACGAAAAACACCGAACCAAGGGAGGCAGAAACGGAGACGGAAAAACGAACCGCTCCGAGGCTGCCACGACCACGACCACCCGTACATCACCGCCGTGGGGGCGCTGGTGGGCCTGATCGGCGGCTTCGTCGGAGGCGGGAGCTTTTTTTTTTTACGCCCGTGGGGCGTTGTTTTTTTTGGGGGGGGGTTGGGGGGGGGGTTCGGGGGGGGGGTTGGGGGGGTTGGGGGACCTCCGAAGGCCTTCGAACAGCTAGGGACTTTGTTTTTTTTGGACTGCGAGCTCGCACCGCGTTTGGGATGGAGCTTTTGGTGCAAATTGGTTTCTCGTGAGACTCTTCACAAGGCAAATTGCAGGAAGCCCCGCGGCATTTCAGGCGGCACCGCCCTCCAAATCTTCAGCAGCGGCAGCAAGGCAATCCTCGTGTGCCTTGGAATGCTTTGGAGCCTTGAGTTAGGAAGTCACATTTCCAAGGTGTCCCCTCACCCCCAAATCACTCCCCCCCAAATCACTCGGAAAAAAATGAAAAAAGACAAAAAAGGAAAAAGCATACCCCTGCTAAACGCCACAGTCTTTCACGAGTTTTTTTTTTTGCCGCAGTGGACATGTTCCGTTGAAAAGTCCAAACATGAGGTGCTGGGCGGAGGATCCGGACCCCCTGCGCGAGAACCACGAGTACGAGGCACCCAGAAAAATGGATCCGTATTTTTTGTTGGGGGCAGAGCTGGCTGTTCGGGCTCGGAGGTGGTGAAAAACGGTTGGTCGCCCCAAAAATGGGCTGTTTTGGTTAAAATGGACAGGGCCGGGACACTGCGGTCCACCTGACGATTCTTTTTGGTTCGCCCAGACCCGAATGGGTTCCAAGAAAATCGGGGTCGGGCTACATTGGTGTTTGGGTGCAAGCCGGAAGCCGTTTGAATGCAACCAGTGACGGCAATGGCAAGCTGTGGCGACAGCCCGATGCTCGCACGGGCCATTTCTGCCAGGACATCCATACGGAGCTCAATGCAAAGATTCACGACGCTGAGTACAACTGATGCGTGTTTGTCTTTTATTTATTTCCCGGCTGGCAAAGATCCAGCCAAGGAAGCACGCAAGCATTGCAGGCAAAGACAAAGAGGCAAAAGCAATCAGCTGGAGAGAGCTGGGAGAGGTCTGGCTCTAGCAGTACTCAGTTCTGTTTGCTCCTTTGATCCTCTGCTTGCGGACATTTGGAGCTGCACATGGCGTTAGGATCCGAAACGATGGGGAAGATCCGCAACCTTTCACCAGGCATCGCGGGTACCGGATCGACTTCCACGCCTGGTTGCCCAGAAGAGTTTCCATCGGAGCCAGGGGGTGAAGGAACCAGCTCAAGGTTTCGCGGCCAGCGCTGGAGCCAAACTTGGCATTCGCCTGTGCCTTGCTCGCTTGAAAGTCACATGTTGGAAGTGTTCTTGATTCGGAGATCCCCTTTAGCGGTGATTGAGGGAGATCCAGCAGCACTCAGCTGGTTTAGCAGCGGGGTAGGTGCTAACACCGCCTAACCCTCTGGTGATCGAGGGAGATCCAGCACTCGTTTGGAGCTCCCGGGGAGGAAGTGTCTTCCTTGTCCGAGGTGCGGAGAGTCTGAGCGGAGCGCCAAGGACACCGGGGAATGGATGCCAGCGTGGCGAATCAGTTGGACGCATGGGCTCTCGGGATTCCTTCCGCCTCCATGAACGAGCCAAAAGAGTCTGCTCAAAAGATCCACACCTGAAATCGCGCTGGGAAAGCCGCTTTTTTGGGACCCAGTCAAACCATCAAACCATCACATCCCAACAAATCCACGTGGACCAAGTCCGTATCGCCACCCAGCCCGGCCTCTTTTCCAGCCGGGAAAACGAAGGGCGGCCTGCTGATCGTTGGCTCGCAGCTTGGGTTTCCTGCCGCGTCTCGTTTCCGGAGACTCGGTTTTCCAATGCCCGAGCCCATCCCGCGCTTGCTGGACTTGGGGCAGATCCTGCAGAGAGTGCAGAAGCAGCAGGCCGAGTCTCAGGAGCCAAGCCGAGGCATTGATCTGGGACCGAAGACGTGGCTGCCCTTTGGTTCCGGAAACGGTTGAGCAAGTAAGCCAGACTTCCCCAAGAAAGACTTGAATCCAGGCGCCTTGAAACAGACGATGCGAGTAAGACTGTCAAGCCTGGCCAGGATGGGTGATTTCGCTTTCTCGTGGTTAATACTTGGGTTTTGTCAACAGCATTGAGCCATGACCTCATGATCTGGGATCGATCCGTTTTTGGAAAACGGAGAAAACGAATGAACCAACGGCGGGAGTGGAAGCGTCAACATGAACCAACGATCAGAACCTGGAGGCTTAGAGGCTACTTGCCACATGCCATTTCGGCAAGAGAGGCTCTTTGCTAGCCGTTTGCAGAGACATGCATTCTATTGCAGCGGTGGGACGGGCAGTATGTCCGCACTTTCAGAGATGCTTTGCTTGGCACGAGCTTTTGCATCTCTGATTCTTATCCGATTTATGTTAAGAGCTCGAAGCCGACCAACATGAAACCGGCACTCATGCAACACCACCACTGTGCTCTGCTGGTTGCAGATTGGTCAGTCAGAGAGGTTTGTTTTTCTTCTGCAATCGACCGAAGAAGGGCTTCCTTTCTCGAATCAAGAAAGACCCCCAGTGAAACACTCAATTTTGGCTAAGGCATCCTTCGAGAGTGTCCTTCCACTCGACTCGATCGAGCAGCAGCCATCTCCCGCCCCTGTTGATGTAGTTTGTGCAAATCAGTCATAGTTGGTCTCAACACCGAGACCACTCTGTGGATGTCGGCTCCCGTTGCCAATCGGTCAGGAGAGCTTGAAGTTGTTGGCGGAGCAGCATAAACAGTGGCAGGCGACGATTGTGTCGTCCCAGTCTCAGCCTTTGGCGAGACTCACTGAGAGTAACTATCAATTGCGCTCCAAAGCACTTGGCGTGGCTGCGAAATGCCTGAGGGCGAGAGGTAGTGCAAGGTGGATGCACATTAAAATCCATCCACTACGAGCGTTGTGACACAGCATTCCAAGCATGTGAAGATGTTCGAAGAGTGGCGATGCCAATCCTTTCAGATTCAACGGGATTCAGTTTCTAAGAAGGGTCTTCGTCTTCACTGAAAGAGCTCTCTACGAGCAAGTCTGAGGTTGCTGGATTATGACCGTCCCATTCTCAATACTTCGAACGCAAAGCACCTTCCGGCGTCGAAAGTGCACGAAGTCGCTCAGCAGTTCCAGCCAGAGTCCGGGCTTCACCACTTGGTCTCAGATCGCTCCGTAACTCGGCTGTGGATGTGCTGCAGCCAAATGGGGTGCCCCAACAAAACTTGTTAAAACCATTCCTATGGTTTCCTTCAAGGGAAAACCTATATAGGTTCATTCCCAAAACCCGGACTCGGTCATTCCCTTCTCAGCGCCAGCAAGGAAACCGACAGGTTCATGTCGCTTCCCTTTTTTTCTAGCAGAACGCTGGTGCAGTACTTTGGTATTGATCAGACGCCCGCGTTTTGTGCTGTTTGCTCTGAGCCATTTGCCTTCGTTTCTGGTAATTTGTAGTGGTGTCCTTCGATTAAAGTCACTGAACAAGGTGCCAAAACGCTCAGAACAGATTGACAAACATGATGTGGTGGATTAATTAACTTGGTGCCGGGGGCATGCTCTGGATACAAAAGAAAGTGTCATCCTGTGTCGCCATTGTCGGGCGTTGCTATGCGCGCGACCGAACCGAGAGTAAAGCGTACGGCTGCTGCTTTGAAGGGGTCCTTTTAACTGCACGCTCTTTTCTTTTGCAGTGGGTTGACTCTGCGTTTTGGACGTCACGCAGGCTGGTTTGAGAAGGCAGCTTCAATCAGTGCCGAGTTGTGGTGGGTCTACAAGGATTGTCTGCAATGTTTGGGAAGCGTCAAAGTGAGGGGTGTGTCGTTTGATATGCCAATGCTGGCGGGAGTGCAAACGGGGGACCATGTTGTCAGCCAAGGTGGCCGTGATCAGCATTAAGGGAGGGATCTTTTTGGTGCCTACTGCCATGAGTCCTCCAAAGTGAAGACCGTCTTGTGAGGGGTCGACCTTTTCCTCCACTGCTAGGATGAATGGGACCGTTTTGCTTGCCAATGCTGCCGAGGTGAGCGTATGAATCGCGTTGTAGGATCCAATACTGTTGTAGGATCCATGCTGCCGATGCTGCGGGGACCGTGCCCATACTGCTGGGAAAACTTTAGACGCTGCCAAGAATGCCAGGAGCCAATGCTTCGGGTGCGTCAAGGGGTATGGGTCAAAATGCCACCACCAAACCGCCGCAGGTTTGAGTCCTTTCTAGGGTAACCCATTTTGAGGTCTATTTGCCCACAGCCGTTTGTGGCGAGCGACCCAGGCGCGCTCCTCTGCAGGGCGAAGGCAGTCAGTGCGAAATGCCACCTTGCAGCAGATGGTGGAGGAGGTGCATGCGGACTTGCACTCAGCGGGCGAGGCCAGCCGATGCGACGGGGTCAATGGTTCGTGGGCTCATGAAATGTTTGCCTCGGGCATGCTCGACATGGCACTACTTGATACTCGCGGAGTGCATCTTACGGTTTGCCAGCTTGACATTCAGGGATGCGAGGCCAAACAGATTGTGTTGGGCTGCCTCAAACTGAAATTGAAGGAATCGGTTGGGCAGTTGGCGTAGGGGCCTTGACTTGACATCCGTCAACTCCATTGACGGCTTTCATGCGAAATCTATTAATCTCAGACGAAATCCGCCCGGGTGCACCATTGGGATCACCGAGTTCAGAAAACACTCCTCTCTGGCAATGGTCATGGGCAGGAGCTCAACGGAAAAGGGCTTAGCATGTGTTGATCTTCCCCAATCGCGTTCTAAGGGGCCACTTTCCTCGCGTCTTTTTTTTTTTGGCCCTCGCAGCCAAATTCCGGCGTTTCCTAAATATGGGGGGGGGGGGGTGGCCTTCTCAGCATGTTTTTTAAGGGAACACATGTGTGAACCTTAGACTTGGGGAAGCTAGTCTTAAATTGAACGGACCGGTCTCATTTATTTTTTTTTGGGGGGGTGTCCGTAGCATCACCCAAGCTTCCCCTGGTTTTCCACACGGCGAGTTTCGGGTGAGTGTCGCGTCGAGGATCTGAGTGCACAGCGGAAGCGGTGCTTGGACTTTGTGAGGAGCCCCTGTTTCGAGCAGCTCGGAGGTCCGTGCAGACTTGCGATCGGTGCGATAGGGAATGAGCTTCCGAGTCGTGGGAGTGGATTCCATGAAGGGAAACCAAAAGGGATGGCTGAGAATCAGCAAGCGAAGCCCGGGTGGTTGGAGAGGGACAATCCCCTTGCCAGAATTGGGCGCCTTCGCCTTGGATTCTTGAAATATGGTTCTGGGAGTATGACAATCGGTTTTGATTATGATTCACCCGAGGTCAACGCAACACCTTTCTGGGTTTGTGGCGGGGCGCTCTGCCTTCAAATCTTTGGGGCACATGGAAATGATGACACGGTCGCGACAAAGTAGACGCATTTTATCTGCATTTGCATGTGGAGGCCTCAAAAGCTGGCGGGGTGGACAGTTGACGCCAACTACATGAGCTGCTCCTCTGGATTTCACCCAGGTACATCACTGGCGGCATCATCATGTGCAACATGATCACCATTGGCATCGAGGCCTCACCAAGCCTCGATAGCGGTTGAAGCGGAGCCACCGATGGGAAGTTGGAGTCGCATCCTTCCGCTGTTTTCTATCGTAAACTCACCCAGCCAGTGGACACACTGCAATTACACTTTTTTCCTTGGCTCTCCCTTTTTGCTAGTGGTGGTCCAAAAAGTGTACACTTTTCTTTGGCTGGTCGCTGGCCAAGTGAGTAAACGGTTCTGAGATTCCACGCGGGAAAAGCCGGGGGAAAAGATGAATGAACTGCGCCGAATGCGTCGTGAGTTTCTGGTGTGCAGAATGAGCCCAACGCTTCTCCAGGAAGAGACCACGCTGCAAGACGGCGGGGCCGACTGGGGCGTGCAGGCCATTTCGCGAGATGCGTGAGTTGGGACTTCGGAAAAGACTCGCGGTTGTGTTCTAGACAAGGTCAACTTCGGATTACTTGAGGAACATACTGATTTGGGGTGTACTTTTCAGCTCACCTGCCTTGCCAAGAGCGGCCTTAGGTTTTGTTTGCAGGGTTAAACCAGATACCTCATACCAAACGGGAAGAAAGATGAAATAATATGTGTAGCGTGTGGTTTTGGTTTTCCATGTGCTCTTCAATGCAGCCATGGTGTTTTGTACTGCTTCATGTTTGGCTTTGTGCCAAGGCGTCAGGGTGTTACATGCAATGAAGGAGTCACATGGAAGGCCAGCGATTGGAAGGCGGGGGGCAAGACCTGAGCTTGCTCAAAACCGATTCGGGTAGATGAAGGTTAGTAAGAGACGATCCCAAGCATGAATAGCTCCGCATATCCGCCTTCTTTTTCCTGTACATGGTTCTGGGTAGACCATTTGAGTACCAGGTTCTGATTGCGACTGAGCCACTTGCTCAAAACCGATTCGGCTAGTTCAAAGGTTAAGGGACCTTTTCATTTTTTTCCAACCAGAAGAATCGGGCCTTTTTCTTGAAACACGGATCTGGGTAGACCATTTAGTACCAATCGGTTTTGATTGTGACTCACATGGAGTCATATCCCGTTGAACAAGAGGCCCGCAAAAGGAGTCTAAGGGGTCAAAGGCAGGGGTAAAAAAGCAACCCCCCGAATCGGCCCCACCCAAAGGAACCTCAGCATCCTCAGCTTAAGATGGCGTGTTTCAGTTTGTATTTCTGCCACCTTGACAAAAACAATGAGGGGAAGGGCAAGTAGAGGATGCCAGCCCTGCAGAGGCAATCTACCAGATCTCTATTCCCTCATTGCTCCCTCAGGTGTTCAGACTGTCCAGACTTGCCCCCTTTGCAGCAATGTCCTGGTATCTTAACACTCCCTAGGGAAGTTGTTCTGTTGAGGTCCTTCAACGTGTTTGCCAAAAGTATACGCACTATTGCTGAACACGAATCAAGGAACCTACCACAAATAGCCACAAAAGTCTTGGCTAGACAGACTCCCATTTCCAAAAGAAAGTGAAACGCCGAATCGCTGCCAGCCCTTTGGGGGAGCGGCTTTTTTCTTTGGCATTCGGATATGCTGATTCATCAAAAGTTCGATAGATATAACGTTTGGGCTTTACGAGTTTCCTCGCGGAGGGGTTCATAATATATCATAACATAATTGGAGCCCTGGAGAGAGCCGAAGATTTCTTGGACTGCGGGGCTCAGGTTGAGCGAACCTTCCTGGCGATTTACATCATCGAGCTGGTTCTGCGGGTGATGGCCCATGGCATTCGACGCTAGTTCTGAATTGGCTCGTTTCCTCTGAGCTCCCCTTGGGAACGCGAAAGGGCCAAAGGGCAAACGCCAAAGGGCAAACCCCCTGTGCGGCCAAATCAAAGATGGCCCTTCATTTGAGAGGCCTTTGTTACGTTCCTTTCTCGCCCTATACCTCCTGGTCTATTTTTTTGCGAGAGACTGAAGAGGCTCCCTGGGGAGCCCCTGGATGCTGCTGGACCTCTTCCTGGTGGTGGTGGGCTTCATGTCGCTGGTGGCCTTGGGTCCAAAAAAATCCAAATCGCGGCCTTGCCTCGCAAGAGGTTCGCCTCCCATTTACCTGCCCCCCAATCCCAATCCCAATCCCCAAATGGGCGGTGAATTAATTCACCGGTCCCATCCCAACACCCCAAAAAATGGGCTCGGCTTTCCAGAACGGCCCCACGACCCTTCGCAGCGCCAGGTCTTCGCGCCGCTGGCCCAAAGCTCCGCCCTGGACAGCTTCGACAAGCTCATGGTGGCCCGGGGCCTGCGGCTGCTGCGCCTGGCGCGGGTGCTGCGGCTCTCGCACCGCTTCAAGGCCCCGACGGCGGACTCGCTTCGCGGGCGCGGAAGAGGAAAGGGGGGGACCGGGGACCCCCTGCTCCAAGTACCCGGCCGTTTTTTTGGGGGTATGAGGTCGGGCCTCTTTCCTAAAAAAGGAGGTGTCGACAATGGGCATGCGTTTTTTTTTGTTCTTATTTTTTTTCCGAAAAAGTACCCGAGAAGAAGTGGGTATTTGGAGTAGGGGGTAAGTCAACTGGACCTCAGTTTTTTGTAGAAGAACGGATGGACCTCAACGAGTCCAAGAGGAAAATCCAAATGGTTGGTGTCATTTGAGTCACTTGCTCAGAGCCGGGGTGATTGGAGGGTAAGGGACTCTCCCAGCGAATTTGGCGAATTCCTGGCTTTGGAAGTCTGGAAACATGGCTTCTGGGCTTGCGGCATAGTTGAATCCCGATCGGTTTTTCATGACAAAAGCCGTGGGACAGTTCTTTCGCGGATGGCTCGGGACCCTGCTGGCCTGAAATCGAAAACATCGGAAGGCTGGGGGTTTTTGGATCAGAACGGGGGGCCAGCGGTGGACATGGCTCGTTTTTTCCCGTGCGGTGCCAGAGCGAGTGAGACTGGGAGACATTGTGGACGGAATTGGGTTCCATTGCCAAATGCCGTGCCGTAGAATGTCCTGGTGCCGCCCTCCCGCCCTGATGCCAAATCCCACCTTTGCAGTGTGAGTTGGGATTTGGGTGGGAGTGCTGCTTGTGGCGACAGAAATGACGCGCGAGCTTCTTCCCAGGAAATGTGACTGAACACCTGCAGCGCTGTAAGGACGGAAGCTGGCAGCCGGCGAAGTTTTTCGAGGGCCCTCGTTCCAATCTGACGAAAACAGTGTAGGCGCGCCGCTTCTCTGGGCAAAACAGCAGCTGGCGCTGTCTTGAAGGAATCTGACGCGCCGATGCCAAATCTGACAGAACAGCCAAGCTTTTTCCCTTGGCCAACAGATCAGGGAAACCAACTAGCAGGGAGAGACGGATAAACCAGGGATACGGGAGGATTCCCCCTAAATGCACCTTGACTAAGTTTGATATGGGAAATGGCGCCAAAGGAATCCCCCCATATCCCCGCTCCCTCCGTATCCAAACAGAGCTCGCGGCTAGCGCCTGGCTGCCTGAGAGGCAGTTTGCCGCCTCGATGCCAAAAGCGCGTGAGCTTTCTCCCACAGCGGGGCCACAGCCGGCGCTGAAACTGACCCAAAAACAATCCGGGCAGCTGATGAACCAAACCTGACCAAACCGGCTTGCGATCTTTTCCGAGCAACCTTTGACAGTCTGAAGCACATCAGAACCAGCCATTCACTTAGGGACCGACACATGTGGACGGCTAATGCAAAACAAGACTGGCGTGCGACCAGCGCCGCTGGGTTGGTGATGCTCGGCTGGGCTTGGTGGACAATTGGCCGCCAACGGGGTCTCTTTCGTTCGCAATTGTGGCTTGAGGTTGTTAACCAAATTGGAAGTGCGCGAAACGCTGCAGAGACCAAACTCGTGATCATGTTTTCCAACAGCCTCCGATGATCAGTAATTCTGTGTGGCTTGAACTTGCCGACCTCTTTGCGGACCCCCCTGAAAAAGGGCGCGTCAACCGACACCGAAACACATCCCACAAGAGGCCAACACAATATAAAGGCCCGTTGTGCAGATGCAAGGTCTTGGATGGGGGAAGGGGCTGAAACGGTGCCACGCGTGCGCTTTTGAGGCAGAAAGGCGTGGGCCTTGCGTCCAATTTGTGTTTGCATTGCGCAGCGAAGGGTGACATGCCGATTTGGTATGAACAGGACACGCCCACAGGAATAGCCGCATCTGATATTTTTGGATTTGAACACTTTATCGGCTCCCATGTTGAGATTCTTTTGAAGCGGACGACAGCTGGCCCTATCAGGTCGTTTGGCGACTTGTGAATGGGCTGCTGACCGCCGGGGGGACGATGCTGTCTACAAGTGCCTTAATCAGCTTGACGCTCTTCATTGCTGGCTGCGTGGCAGTTGAGATCATCAGCAAAGACAGCGACCTCATCAACAACCCGTCGACAGGGCCGATCGTCAAGCAGTATTTTGGCTCCTTGCCCAGGTCCTCCTTGACCCTGCTCCAGTTTGTGACCATGGATTCCCTGTCCGCCATTTACTACCCACTCATCGTGGAGAAGCCGCATCTTCCCCGGAATTAGTTCCCCTTTTTGCCTTTTTTTGTTGTGGGGGGGGGGGGGTCCCCTTTGCTTTCCACTCGCCAGGCAAGAATATACATAGATATATATATATATATATATATTGTTATTATTATTATTATTATTATTATTATTATTATTATTATTATTATTATTATTATTATTTATATTTATTATTTTTATTATTATTTTTATTATTATTATTATTATTTATTAGTATTATAATTATTATTATTATTATGATTGTTATTATTGTTATTGTTATTATGATTATGATTATTATTATTATGATTATTATTATTATTTTTTGTATTTTATTATTTGTATGTTTATTATTATTATTATTATTATTATTATTATTATTATTATTTATTATTTTTATTATTATTTTTATTATTATTATTATTATTATTATTTATTAGTATTATAATTATTATTATTATTATTATGATTGTTATTATTGTTATTGTTATTATGATTATGATTATTATTATTATTATGATTATTATTATTTTTGTTTGTATTTTATTATTTGTATGTTTATTATTATTATTATTATGATTTTTATTATTACTATGATTATTATTATTATTATGTTTATTATGATTATGATGATTATTATTATTATTGTTATTATTATTAGTATTATTATGATTTATTATTATTATTATTTTTATGTTTATTATTATTATTATTTATTATTATTATGATTATTATTATTATTATGTTTATTATTATGACGTTTTTTTTTACTTTTATTATTATTATTATGTTTATTATTATGTTTTTTTTTTTTTTTTTTTTTATGTTTATTATTACTATTATTATTATTATTATTATTATTATTAGTATTATTTAAATATTTTGCCGGGGTCCCACTTTTCCAGCCAAGGTATCTGGCTTTGTTCTTCGTGCCGCTGCTGATTTTGATCTCCGTGTGCCTCATGAATCTGGTGACGGCCGTGCTGGTGGAGACCTCCATGAGCTTCTCCGCCAGCGAGCACGAGCGCGAGCGCGTGGCGACCAAGGAGAAGATCAAGCAGGCGGGGCAGACCAAATGGGGCGGTGCTCGGCTTCTCTGCCTCGGGCCAAAGGTGATTTTCATTTTGCTTCGAACATGGGAGTTCGGATGGTTAGACTGGTAGACGGGTGTCGATTTCTGCTTTCTGGTGGAGATTTGGGAGACGTGAGTTCGTTTGTTTGGAACATGAGAGTTCGGATGGTTAATTAGACTGCTTTCTAGAGGATTAGGAGACTCCGCAGCCTTCACAAGTGAATTCGGCCAGGCTCTTCCTGATCTTTTCCAACTGTTTGATGAGTGGGATGCTGATCGCAGTGGTGCCATCACGCGAATGGAGCTGGAGAAACTGCACATGGACGTCCTTCCGGACTACCTCGTGGATGTCATGCCAGTTGAGAGCACCTTGACAACTTCGGTCGCTCTTTTGACAACAAAAACTTGCCGGTAAGCTTCCAAGAGCCCGGAAACTGGCTGGCTAAGATGGCCGGGGGTCACAACCCCAGGAAACGGCTGGTGGACGTCAAAATAGCTGGCAAATTTTGATCTTCATCCCCAAAATGGAGAAATCCATCAATGCAACCGATGGCCAGATGGGTGTGATTGCTGGTGCTGAGCTTGGGTCTTTGGTTCCTCCGACTGGACGCTTCGCGCTTGCGATTTTTTTGGGGGGCGATTCTGTGGCCCATGAATTCCTGACGTGCAGAATCCAAGTGGCATCTCTCACATGGTGACATCGTTTCCTTCTCAACTGCACTTCCTATCAACAGGTAACATGGTCACCAGTTTTTCAGCCTACGCCAAGACTAAAAGAACCCTAAACCCGCCCTAACCAAGCCCCAAGGCAGCCAAAATGAACACCGAACATAGGCCGAGCGGCTCCAATTTCTGGCCCCAGAAAATCGCCGACCATCTTTTTTGCATAGGTGGAAGCCAAAATCAGAAGCTGGACATGCCGTGAGCCATCCAACCGGGCAGTGACCTGCAGCATTTGTTTTCCCATGGCTATGTTGCAGCTCGGGCTTGGGTTGCTCCGAGGCTCGGTCTTTTTGGCATAGCTCAGGCACTCTGTAAGCCACTCTGCTTCAAGTGGGCCTGCCCTCACATCCACCGGACTTCTAAGGCATGTCGGAACTCTTTGACCTCCTGGACGTGGATGAGACCAACTCCCTGACGCGGGAGGAGTTCGTGGAGGGCCTGCTGCACCTGGTGCTGTTGGAGATCCCTCCCTGGGCGGTGCAGTACCTCAGCATGCTGCGCCTGATCCGCTCGCAGCTGCGCGAGGTGGGTCGAAATCCAAAATTCAAATCGTGCCCCCAGTGAACATCCGATTCAATCCAACCACTAAAATAGGGAACCTAAAATGGGTGGTGAATTCACCTATCCCACCCAAAATGGGATCGGTTCCAAAACGGTTTTGACCACCACAGCCAGGTGAACCGGGAGCTCGCGAGAGAACGAAGCCTCCCGAGCTGGTGGTCCATGCAAGATGTCGCATGTTGACCGTGCGACATCTTGAGGATGGTCTTTTTTCCCCCCCAGAAACAGCGCGATGTCAGCGGTGAGGGATGAGGGATGTCTCACTTCGGAATAGGAAGATATCTTAATCAAAAAGGAAGAGCTGGAGTTACAAAGGTGTCAGTCTTTGTTTGCAATTGCCAAGGTGCCATTTCATTTTTTTTTTTTTTTTTTTTTTCTGAGCCACGCGCCTGAAGTGGTGAAACCATTGAAGGCTTGGGGCAGTGAGGTGATATTTATCACCGGCTGGAGGAATCGACAGCTCTCAAGAGCCACGCTTTTCCATCCATGGAAGTGCAGGAGACACAAGAGGTAGCAGAGGAGCCTGTTTTTGTGCGAAGCAAGTGCACGGCGCCCTGTTGCGCGTTGACAGGTTGCGCCTTGACCGGCGGAAAGGCGACTTGCCAGACAAATCCCCTTTGTCCAGAGCAGTCAAAACTCGCTTCGTGGTTTCCGGGAAGCCCTCACCTTCATTTGAGCCACTTGCTCAAAACCGATTCAGTTAGATGAAGGTTAGCAAGGGGCAATCCCAGCCAATGCTTGCGGCTTCTGAAAATCCTGTTCATGGTGGGTAGATCGCTGTACCGGGTTTTGATCATGACTCATTTGTTCCGTGTGTGGTCTTGGCTCAGCTTTGAGCATGAGGAGCGAGCCGACGTTCGGTGCGAGCCCCAGTTGCCCCCTTCCGCGGGCCGAGATTTGTTCGAGGCAGAAAGGGCTGCGCCGGTTTTCATGCGCCCCTGCCCCTCCCCAATTTTGGTTGGTAGGTGAATTCACCACCCATTTTAGAACCTATTCTAGTGCGGGTACGGCAATTTTGTGGCTGTGGTGGTCAAAACCGTGTTGGATCGATCCCATTTTGGTTGGTAGAATTCAAAACCCATTTGAGTAGGGATTTTAGTGGGGGTACGGGATGTTAGGGGCACTGGGTTTTGACCCAAAGCCGTGTGGATTCTTCTTTGGCACTCATGTCAAAGGGACATCACCAATGACTGTAGGGCTTGATTCTCCATTCCTTTCAAGCATCGTTCTTTTCCAAAACCGGCCGTTTTGCCTGGGTTTATTGAGATTTTTTAGAAAGAAGGATCCCTGGAAAGAATGGGGAAGGTACCTCTAGAATTACCCATTTCTGTCAGACTCCAAACTATGTGGTTGACGGAGAGGCCTTTCGCATCTCGCAGCGGTTCACAATCGTGACAAGGTTGCAAGCTTGAAGTCACAAGTGTCGCCAATTCTGTGCTGCGTCGTTTTTTGCAGCTTGCCGGGGACGCTTGCCTTTTTGTGCATGGTTGGACTTGCAGTTGCGGCTTGCAAACACAAAAAAAGTCAATTGTTTCTCAGTCTTCTGTTGAAGCCCAAGCACAATTTGTTCAACTCGGCAATGCTCCTGTGCAATACACGGTGAAAACGCCCTGCCGGACTTGCTTTCCCATGGGCCCCATGCTGGTGATGCCTTGGCGTTGGAAGCGACCCAGCTGGCTGCAGCCACCCAACACCACCTCAACGATGCTGAAAAAAAGCGGCTTTTGCGGGCCGGGATGCTGATGCAGGTCGGCGGTGCCCTAGGGGTTTCCGTTTTGGCCCTCATCCAAAGGGCTGCCCCTTGCCCAAGAGATCCACGCCCAAACGCCACTTTTTGGGACCCCCCCCAAAAAAAAGCCCATCCCAACAAATCCACGTTGACCACTGGAAAGGCCGGACGACAAGAGTGCAACACGTATCGCCAGCCCCACGGCACGACTCGCCATGAAAAGCGCTTCGGCTCAGCTTGGGCGCATTCGGAGGGCTCGTTGTGAAGTCTGAGGGAGAAATGCGGGCGCGCAAGGACTCCTCTTTGGAATCACACACAGAAGAGCGTGTTCTGTTTCTTCAGGGAGCCATGTGTTGGGATAATTTTTGTAAAGGAACGCAGCATGAAAAAACATCACCGGTTAATTTTGAGGGTCTATTGTGAGAGCACCGCCCCCGCGAGAGCTCCCGGTTTCAGAGAGGAGACACCGTCTCAGAGGCGGAGCGGTCGGAATATGTCGTGCGCCGAGCCTCGGCGCCCGGACTTGGAGCAGATCCTGCAGAGGGTGCAGCGGCAGCAGGCCGAGTCGCAGGAGCCGCGCGGTTTGTTGGGGGACGACGCGCCGGCCCGCTTTTCGTTGGTGCGTGTTGCCAAGGGATGTTGGGACTGAATAACTTTTGATCCAACTGATGGGTATTCCAATTAGACCACCAAAAGTGAACTTTTTGCAGGGGAGCAAAATTTGTGGTGCACCGGTACCAAAACGGTTTGACCCACAGCCAAGTGGTACCCACCAAACCAAGAACAAACGGGCGGAACCTGCTCTTGAGAGACGACAGCTTAGTAGCCGACAGCTTAATAGCCCAAGGCCATAAAACTCGGTTGCTTTCTAGTCTATTTTAGTGGGGGTTGGGATGTTGACTGGGGGCACGATTTGGATTTTGACCCATGGTTACTTGGGAACCCCGACCCCAAAAATAGCGGCGAAAAGAAGTGGGCACGTTGTGTTCCGAAACGGCCGGGACTAAGACTGGCAAGCCAGGACGGGCGATGTGGTTTTGTCTTGAGCGCCCGACCGAAGAAGGGCTTTCTTTAACTAATCAAGAACGATCCCCGGTGAAGCATTCGTCGAGTCTGCGCTTCCATCCGACTCGACCGAGCAGAGATGTCCCTTCCGCCCCTGCTGTATTGAGCCGAGAATCGTCCAGTCATGGTTGTCGTTGAGACACATTTTACATTTCTGCTTGTTGTGGTTTAGTCGGAAATCCCCACTTAACTGCTAAGATTTAAAATGTTGCTCCCCTTCCAACGTCAACCAAGCAGTTCCTCTCAACACAGAGACCACTCTGTGGATGTCGGCTCCCGTTGCAGCTTGGTCAGGAGAGCTTGAGATTGTTGGCGGAGCAGCATAAGCAGTGGCAGGCGACGATTGTGTCGTCCCAGTCTCAGATTTCCTTTGGCGAGAGTCATTGAGACTGGCTGGATGAGGGCAATAGAAGGTTGCCTGCATTTGAGAGTTCTGTACATTGGGTTCATAGCCGGCAAACATGTGCAGATGCGCATAGAATCAGCGCTGCCGATCTCTTGCCAGATTCAACTCAACGGCCGGTTGGAATTGGCAGGTTACCTTGGGTGCTCCCTTTCAGAATGGGCAAGGTCTTCATTGAAAGAACCTGACGGGCACGTCTAAGGTTGCTGGCTTGCGACCGTCCTCTCGCTTCTGTGAACGACTTCCCCGCATCGGATCTTCAGCCGGCGAAGGTTCACGAAGTGCTGGAATCCCCTGGGCAGTTCCTGCATGAGGCCTCGACTCAATCCCTGGCGGCTCGGCTGTGCCCCAAAAAACAGCCTGGGCTTTGGGCTGGGACTGGGAGCGAGGTGGAGACTGCGAAGGTCGCATCGAAGGCCTCTCTTGGCCACTGGGGACTGGGGTAGGTTGTTGCGACCGGGAACTGAAAAGAGGGGACCTGTTTTTGGGTGTTCGGCCGGGAAACCGAGGGGAGCCAATGCGGACGCGTGCAGAGGGAGGACAGTATTATGTCCCAACAAAACTGCCGGGCTGAGCGTCAAAAAAATGCTGCCGGAAGAGCGGGGACCCCGACCATGCCCATGTGACCAGAGCTTTTTCTGCCGGGAGCGTTGTCCCAGAGGTATCCTCCCCGAGTGACAAGCTGAAGCCAAAACGCAAGTCCATCGTGCACCAGATGGTGGCGGAGGTGGAGACAGAGATGCACCCGGAGGAGGAGGAACGCATGGGAGGGGTACCTTCCATTTCCATTCTTTCCCGCCATCCGGATCTTTCTAGAAAACCTCCGGAAACCCCGGTAAAACGGATCCGGCTTTTGGAAAGAACCATGGTTGACCAGAATTCACAAGGAATCAACCCTATGGGCTGAGGAGTGCTTTTGCCAGGTCGACCTGGCTCCCAGGCATCCGGCTCCTGAGGCTGTCAGCTTTCAGCTTGGGTTGGACATTTTCTCCCGAAAAAAATCCGCCCAGCAGGTAGCCGCTTGTTTTTTTCCCGCAGGCGGATCTGAAAACGGGGCCCGGCTTGCGGGGCACGGAGGCGAATTGGGGTTTGTTTGGGATGGGAGCGCTTGGGCAAAACCATGGAATGGGCTTGTGTACCTGAAAACCACTAGTCGTGGGCAAGAAAACACACACAAAAACACAGGTTGGGCCTGGAACTGAGTTTGAAGGCATTGGTTGGGTTGGCTTAAGTAGGCGTCTTGACTTGAAATACGTCAACTCCAAAGATGGAAGGACGGCTTTCAGGCCGATCAATTCAGACACATTCCAAGCTTCAAACCATGTCCCGCAGATGACCGTCAACTTCAAGAGCGAATGCAGCGCCGTTGAGTGCCACTTAGCTTCGGAAACACTTTGTAGTAGGAGATGGTCATGAGCTCCAGCTATCTTGGAAACGGGCGTAAGGCTCCCGATGATTCGTGGGCTCTCAAAATGGGTTGTTTTCAAGGGCCCCTGAGGGCTCCTGCTGTCTTTGACCCTCGCTCAAGTGGCAAGCACCCATGCAGTGCTATTTGGTGTTAGTTGAAAACGGGCCTCTCAGCTTCTTTCCCAAGAGAAAAACACACGATTTTGGGGTTTTGAGCCATATTCCCTTCGGCCGGGCATGACCATGGGTGACTCTTCCCATGCGGTTGACATAGGTTGACATATCATCTCTTTGTTTCTGGGCTTTCCCACCAATTTTTTGAGGGTCATACCATGTTTCCGGGACCTTTTAAAGGCAGTTGTCCCACCACCACCGGGTCCTTCCCGTTTTTTTTTCTCCCGACCACCACTCGACAGATCCGACTCCAACCGGAAGAGTTCGCAGGAGGAGCTGCCTGCCTGGCGCCGGCGGCTTGTGGACTTTGTGCAGTCCCCCTGGTTCGAGCGGCTCGGCCTACGGCTGGGCTGGGGCTGGGGCTGGTGCTGAGATATGGGAAGTGGAAGGGCCCCGAACCATCCCAAGGTGTTTCAATGATATGGACATAGTGTGGCCATGATATGTCCAAAGGAGTCCTCTTATTAAGTGGATTTTTTGGCATATCTGTCGATAGCAAGTCTAGTCAGGGCTTGTGCCGCGGGGGGCCTCGCCCTTGATGTTTCGCCCAGGCACATCACTGGTTGCATCATCATGTGCAACATGATCACCACCGGCATTGAGGCCTCTGCTTCATCTCAGTCGTCCCGACATGTGTCCAACACTTGACAAAGCTCCCCCCAAGCATACTTGACTTGCGATCGGTGCGAGAGGTGCAGGGAATGAGAGTGCTGGAATCCCAAGAGTTTAGCCATCCAACCTATATGCCAACTGGTGGAATGTTAATGGAAATAGATCCCTGGTTCATTCCATTTCTCATCCATCCGATCGCACCGATCGACCTGCAGGCAGAGGCCTCGCTGCGAGGCGAGACGAACTGGGGCATGCAGGCCAGCCAACAGCTCGCTCGAGTCGGGCGAGTCGGGCGAGTCGTCGCATGGTACTAAAAACCCAAATATGGCTTCCAGATTGTTGTCCTGAAGGAAAAAAGAACGGATCAGAATATGATTGGCAGTTCTTGGGAGACTGAAGGGCAACCATATCTAATTTGTTCATCTTCTTGTTTGGTAATTACGACTTTGGCATTTGGTGCAACCCTGCAAACCAAAACCCCAGTTGGCTGCTTATAAATTGTGCGCCTCGCCAGGGCACCTAGACCCAAATTGTGTGTAGGGCTGATCCTCCGGTCGGCTTCATCTTGGCTGTGCCGCTTGCATGCCAAGGCGTCAGGCCATTGGAAAATGCATGGCCAAACATATTGAAGGACTCGTTGCATCATGGAAGTCCGGCGAATAGAAGGCGAAAGGGCTGTAAACAGCAGGAGTCATGTCCCGTGAACGTGAACACGGTTGTTTCGGACTGGCTGCGAAGGGCGGCCACGATGACGACAGGCCGACGGGCCGGATGCGGCGAGTGTGTGACCGTGTGACGTGCGTGGCGCGCGCAGTTGTTTCGTGGCACGGAGAAGGCTTCGGAAGGGGAGCAGTTGGAAGGGAGCGACGGAGTGACGTGGCTCGCTTGTGGTTTTGTGGCCGTGGCAGCTGTGCTCCTGCGTTCGTGCCGTTCCAGTGTTGCCGTGGCGTGGAGCTGTTTTTCTGCGGAAACACGACGGCGCGCGTGAGGCAGTCCCCGGGTTTGTCGGCCCGCGCCGTGGGACAATGGCCTTCATCCGGACGGGCTGCGATGACGACACTGGTTTGTGACGCCTGGCCGGGCGTGCGCAGCGGAGCGGAGCGGCGTAGCGCGGGCATCCGGTAGTCCTTCAAACTTTGCTGCAAGGTAACATCCACGGGAACACGTGTCCCAACTTGAATGCATGTCAAGAGACGTAAAGGAGTTCCTCCGTTGTTTGAGAAGCCAGCGGCTAGAACTGGCCGATTTCCACATCCCTTTTGGGCCCGTTTGCAAATTTAGTTTCCTTTTGGGGGGTAGGACATGCCACAAAGAACCTGCGTCAAGACTCCGGGCCTCAGGTTGAGCGAGCCTTCCTTGCGATTTACACCATTGAGCTGGTTCTGCGGGTGATGGCCAATGGTATTCGACGCTAGTGCTGAATTTGGGGCTGTGCCATGCGCATCTTGAAAAAGGGAAGCCTTCAAACGGTTCAGTTTCCTCTGTTCTCTCCCTGGAATGTAACATGCAAAAGGGGTCCCCCTATCTCAGGCTCGCACGTGCACCACGCTTCCCCGAAATTTCTCAGACTGCAGTGCAGACCCTTTGTGTGCTGAAATTGGTGCCGCCAACTGAACTCCCGAAAGTCTAGGCTGCCTAGGCTCCTTGCTTGGCGAGTGGATGCTGCTGGACCTCTTCCTGGTGGTGGTGGGCTTCGTCGTGTTGGTGCTGGGCCCGCTGTTTCAGGACTCCCCGCTGCGGGGCCTCGACAAGCTGATGCTGGCCCGGGGCCTGCGGCTGCTGCGCCTGGCGCGGGTGCTGCGCCTCTCGGCCCGCTTCAAGGCGAGGACGCAGCGAGCCATGCGAGTGCGAGCCGTGCCAGCCGTGCCGGAGGTGTTTTTCTTTTGTTCTTGGAGGGGGGAGAGGGGGGAGAATGCGAACTCTGGACGGACAGGCGGGTGGGTGGAAATCGGGCATCCGTGGAACTCTCGGAACCAAAGGATGGAGCCAGGATGGCCTGTGCTTCGTTGGCACTGCGCGCCGCGGAAGGCTTCGCGCCGAAACTTGGCTTCTGGGCTGCACGCCCTGGCGATTTCGCCAAATTCGACCTGGGATACGGCGCCGACATGGCGCTGTCCAAATCTTGACCCCAACCACCCCCCTGGGCAGCTCGGGGCGCCCGCCGGCAAAGTCTGACGGAAAGCAGTTCACTGGGCCAGAGCAGCCCGAACCTCGATGACCGCAAATTCCGTGCAGCTAGCGCCGTTCTGACGGAAGCGACCAAATCCCCGGATTGGGTGAGCGGCTAGCGTGGAGTAAAGCTGCACCTCCAAAGTAGTTCCGGCCTCGACGGCTGCCAGGTCGAACGACGCTTAGACCGCGGCTTGGTTTCGGCCCCTGCCAAATCTGAAAGTGTCAAGGTCTGCAACCGCTCGCCTTTCGCCCTGAGCCTTACTTCCGTTTGCTTTCAGCGTTGAGTCTGCAAGATTCGTGGGGCGAAGTGGTTGACAAACGGAGCTTGTGATTTATAATGCGCAAGTGACGAAACGTTCGAAATTGGGATAGTCGCTTTTAACATGCGTGGGGGCTTGACGGTGTAGTGATCTTTCCCACAAAGCAGAAAATGACACCGAATCTCTGGATCTTAAGAGGCCAACAACTTTCAGGGCCTGTGGCGGGATGCTGGGACTGCGCTGGGTGGCATTCTCTTTCGTGTTTGTTGTTTTGATGAATCGCAAGCCTGGGAGCTACAACAAGAAACGCAAAGCAACAATAGTGCGTGGGAAGACTGTGTTGAACGCACGGAAGCAGCGGTGCAAATAGGTGGGCCCAGTGTGCTTTGTTTGAGGCAGCACATCGTGCTCCCTGCTGCAAATTGTTGTTTTATTTGCACGATACACTAGGATGACATGACAATTCTGGTTTGAACAGGACACGCCCACAGCAATAGCACCCCAATTTTCGGGATGAGCACCTTGGACAACGGCTCTTATGTTGGGAATCCTGTGAACTCGACTGAAGATTGCCTTGACGAGCGCAAGCTGTTCCGGAAGTGCGAGTTGGCATCAGGTGGTTTGGCGACTTGTAAATGGGCTGCTGACGGCGGGGGGCACGATGATGTCCACAACTGCGTTGATTATGCTGACGCTCTTCATTTCTGGCTGCGTGGCAGTTGAGATCATCACCAAAGATCCTGACCTGACCAACAACCCTTCGACAGCCCCGATCGTCCATGCATATTTCGGCTCGTTGCCCAAGTCGTGCTTGACGTTGCTGCAGTTTGTGACCGTAGATTCCCTGGCGTCCATTTACTACCCACTCATCGTAGAGAAGCCGTATTTGTCCCTGTTCTTCTTGCCGCTCATGATTTTGATCTCCGTGTGCCTCATGAATTTGGTGACGGCCGTACTGGTAGAGACATCTATGAACTTCACCGCCAGCGAACAGGAGCGAGAGCGCCTGGAGACAAAGGATAAAATTAAGGAGGCCGGCACGGGGAGACCGACTAGGGGCGGTTCTTTGCTTCGGGCCAAAGGTGATTTTCCTTTGCTTCGAGCATGAGAGTTCGGATGGTTCAGGCTGCTTTCCGGTAGAGATTTGGGAGACGTGAGTTCGGCCAGGCTCTTCCTGAGCTTTGCCGTCTGTTCGATGAGTGGGACGAGGATCACGATGGTTGCATCACGCGAGCTGAGCTTGGGAAAGTGCCCGTCGACCATCTTCCGGACAATCTCGGGGACGTCATGCCCGTCGACAGCACCTCAACAAATTATGTTTTCGCCCTTTTGCTCAAAGGTACAGCTTCAAAATAGCACGGCAACTCGCTGGCTGAGATGGATGTGATTTTCACTTGTGGTCCCTTCGATTGAGATGTTGTTGCTTATTTTGTGCGGAGCACCTTGGTGTTTTGAGGGGCTGAGTATGCATCTCAACATAATTATTTGATCATTTGGTTTGCTCTGGTTGCTGGTTGCCGGGGTGCTACGGTGCTCCCGACTTTGCCAAGATGTTTGACTTCTCGGCATTGCCCCTGAGATCAGAAGCCAGCAAGCCATGCAGTGGGACTTGCACACTGAAAGCGATCGCATGGTCAGCAAGCCTGTGAGGTGTCTGCAGTGCGAGGCGCGTGCACAGGTGCTGGTTATGCTGTGTCCCCATGGGACGATACAGCCTAAGCCACTCTGCTTCAAGTCCTTACATCCACGGGACTTGAGAACTGTGCAGCCAAGGCATGTCGGAACTCTTTGATCTCCTGGACGTGGATGAGACCAACTCGTTGACCCGGGAGGAGTTTGTGGACGGGCTTCTGAACCTGCTCCTCCTGGATATGCCTCGCTGGGCCATCGAGTATGTAAAGATGTTGCGCTTGATTCGGTTGCAGCTCCTTGAGATGAATCGGAGCTTGACAGCTCCACAACTTCGGAAGCTTCCGCCTCAACAAATCCTACGGTCACTGTAAGTTGCGTGCATCGCTCGGAAAAAAAAATGGCAAACCTATTTGTTGCGACTTGTCCCCCTCACAGCACCGCACCGCAACTTTTTTGACCATGGCTTGTTTGAGTCCCGGAAACAGGCGAAAGCCTGTCAGCAATGTTTCACTTTGGATTCTTCGGATTTCTCCCACCTGCGGCTACTTATCAATATGTCGCCTGAAGTGGTCAAACCATTCATGGCTTGCCAGGGCGGATGTTTTCCCTTGTCTAATTTTGATCTTGAACGCCTTTGTCATTGTGCTGGGCGTGTCCCAGCTCGAGAATGGGAGCGCAGCTTGGCGCTGCCTGGCGACGCGAGTCAGTCTTTTCGTTTAATGCAGCCCTGCTGCTTGAAAAGGCAGAGGGTATTATCCGAGTCCTGGCAACGCTTCCCGCGTTGACCCGCAAAGACCCGGGCGCTGAGATGAACCTTGAACTGTCCAAATGAGCAGTGACCAAAGCAGTTTCGTCGTTCGGAGAAGGCTGACCCGTCGTTTTGAAACGGCTGACTGGTCGTTTCGAGAAAGCTGGTTCGTCGTTTCGAGAAAGTTGATTTGTGGTTTTGAGAGAAGGCTGACTCGTCATTTCGAGACAGCTGACTCGTAGTTTCGAGAAGCTGAGTCGTCGTTTCGAGAAAGTTGATTCGTCGTTTCGTGACTGGTCGTTTCGAGAAAGCCGATTCATCGCTTCGAGAAAGCTGGCTCATCGCTTCGAGAAAGCCGATTCATCGCTTCGAGAAAGCTGGCTCATCGCTTCGAGAAAGCTGGCTCATCGTTTCGAGAAAGCTGACTCGTCGTTTTGAGAAAGCTGATTCGTCGCTTCGAGAAAGCTGGCTCATCGCTTCGAGAAAGCTGACTCGTTGTTTCGAGAAAGCTGACTCGTTGTTTCGAGAAAGCCGATTCATTGTTTCGAGAAAGCCGATTCATTGTTTCGAGAAAGCTGATTCGTCGTTTCTAGAAAGCTGCCTCGTCGTTTCGAGAAACACAATTTATGTTTCTAGCAAGCTGATTCGTTGTTTCAAGAAAGCTGACTCTCCGTTGATTCGTCGTTGTGAGCATGCTGACTTTATTTCGAGCAAGCTCATACATTGTTTCAAGAAAGCTGACTTGTACATGTGGTTTCAAGAAAGCCGATTCATCTTTGCGAGAAAGCTAATTCGTCGTTTCGAGAAAGATCTTACCTTCGTGTTGTGTTTTCTTCGGTTCTTTTGTAAGTTTTCAGCATGAGGAGCCGAGTGCTGAGGCCAAATGTGCGAGCAGCTTTCGCCCCGCGTCCTTTGAGGATCCCTCAGGCGGGCCAACATGAAACCGAAAGCTCGAGACCGCCGGCCACCGGAACCCCCATCTCTTGTCTTCACTTCGCTTCCTTTCTAGCCTTCATTTCACTTTGCCTCCATCTCTCAGTTTCCTTCACTTTGCCTTGTTCCTCCACTTGATGTCCTTGATGTCTCTTGCTTTCCTTTGTTTATTTGAGGAGCTTCATTTCTTTGCTGCTTTCATGTCCCTTCATGCCCCCTCCTTTCCTGGACCCATGTCGCATCGCCATCCCCTGCATCCGCAAGAGCCGCATATCCCTTCCCTCCAACGGAGCGGGGCGGGCCTCTAAAGAGCCCCCCGTTGCGATCAACATTTGATGCTAAGATCCACATCCAAATTTCACGGGAAAGCCATCCATGTTCGGCTGGCACTTTGTTTGCTTGTTTGGTTGTTTGCTTGTTTGTTGTTTAGTGTTGTGTTGGTTTGCTTGCTCGCTTGGTTGATTCGCCGGCTGGCTGGCTGGCTGGCTGGCTTCTTGGCTGGTTAGTTGGTTGGTTTGTGAGGTCTTTGTGTTGCGTTGGCACCTTTCACTGTATGTTGGCAGCAACCAATCCTCAGCAGATCAAGTAAAGTGGTCGTCCTCGTGATCAAGCCTTCCGAGTCTGTTCAGTCTCGTTGCTCAGGCGGGTGAGGCAAGCTAAGAGCTGCGGCAGGCGGGCGGACGGTCAACATGTCTGCCTTTTGGCATTAGCGATGAGTCATTTGGCGGGTATTTTCTGGGTTCCGGGTTCCCGGATCCCCGACAAAAAATGGGACAAGCCCCCAATCACCGCTTCACACCTTTTTTGGGCAAGATACTTCATGAGAAGATGTGGCCATGGGTCAAAATCCAAATCGCACCCCCAGTGAACATCGCAATCCCCACTAAAATGGACTACAATGGGTGGTGAATTCACCTGCCCCAAAACGGCACCACTGGTTTTGACCCAGAGCCATGTCAAGTGAGGGGAGCTTGTTTTCGAGAGCTGACTTCGCCTCGTGGACTTCGCGCAGCTGCAGCTTCTTGAGTGAGGTCGGCGTGAGCCAGAGCTGAGGACTTTTTTGTTGCCCGCAATGAGTAAAACAGCCCACAGCCCACAGCACACTCCCCCTGCTTTTTGAGCACACACACATTTTCCTCCAGGAAAATAAAAGAAAGCAACTCCTCCAGGAAAAAAAGAAAACAGCAACCTCCAGGAACAAAAAGAAAGAGCCAAAACAACAACATCTTGCTGGAGCTTTTGTTGCCGAGGATCTTTCCTGGGCCTAAAGTGGCGTTCCGCCTCTCATGCCGCGTCCATCCGAGCGCCCGGATTTGGAGCAGATCCTGCAGAGAGTGCAGAGCCAGCAGGCCGAGTCTCAGGAGAGACGCGGTGCCACGTGCTCCAACCCGGGGATTGCGGAGCTCCACCGCGGGGATTGAAGGTTCGTAAGGGACAATCACCAGGGCTCCTGAAATGATACATGTTGCTTGCCCATTTGAAACATGGCTCAATTTTTCAACACCAAAATAAAGTTGGACACCAGCATTTACAAGTTGCAATGTTTTCAGGTGTATAATGCATCCGGATCCCTGCAATCCCAACTATGAATAGCTGCGGATATCCGCCTTCTTAATTCTTGAAGCATGGTTCTGGGTAGACCATGTTAATACCGGTTTGATTAGGACTCAAATGTGGCCTTGGACTGCCTTTGTCATCTCTCGAAAGGTTCCACCCGT